TTATGGTCGGCATGCTTTAGGCCACAGAAAGCTTTTCTGTAGCTTTGATGTCTTGTCGACTGGTGCCAGTTGTTACTTGATGATTGCGTCCTCTTCGAGCGATGGCGAGTTTATTCTTGCCTCCTCGAGTTGGAAGGGTGGTTGGCTCACTTCTGACGAGTGTGTATGAAAGGAAACGCGGTTGATGGATGGGTTGTCATAGCTTCAACTTTTTTTGTTTTGTACTTGTATCGTTGAACAATAAAGGAACGATAAAGAACGTATTTCTACGAATCTATTTTTTATGTTCTTATGTTATTGCACCTGAACTTTGACCCGCGCATGTCATGCATCACTCTCCGTTTCTTTTTTTTGTTCAGCATCCATCCCCAGTCATTGTCAAATGCTTGCACTGCTGTACGCACTGCAATCGATTCTTCCAGCACCAGGAGGCACTAGTACTACACCACCCTCAGCAGATATAGAACAGGGCAGCTTAGTCAATATGGACGTTGCCGAGACGAATTCGACGCATTTAACAGCAGCACAAAAGTATGAACTCATTACACGCAACCTGCCTGAAGTATTGGGTGGGCCAGAAATAAAGAAAGTACTAGATACACGCGATTTGTCCTTGTATTGGGGTACTGCTTCCACTGGAAAGCCTCATATTGGTTATTTCGTACCAATGACTAAAATCGCAGACTTTTTGCAGGCTGGGTGTCATGTATGTTTTTGATGATTTGAGACAGAGGTTGGATGTCATTTGATGCGTATATACATGATTGTTCATTCGCTTGTCTCTACTAGGTGACGGTACTAGTCGCTGACTTGCACGCATACTTGGACAACATGAAGGCTCCATGGGAACTCTTACGTCTTCGAGTCCAATACTATACCGAAATCATAAAAGCAATGCTCATGTCCATGGGCGTCCCCATCGACAAGCTCCGCTTCGTAACAGGAACTTCCTACCAGCTATCCAGAGAATACACCCTTGACGTCTATCGACTAGCTGCCATCATGACGGAACACGATGCCAAGAAAGCAGGTGCTGAGGTCGTCAAACAGGTCGAGTCTCCTCTCTTGTCTGGTCTGTTGTATCCGGGCTTGCAGGCTCTAGATGAAGAATACCTAAAAGTAGATGCTCAATTCGGTGGTGTGGACCAGCGCAAGATATTTGTGCTTGCAGAACAATACTTGCCTAAACTAGGGTACAAGAAACGGGCACACTTGATGAATACAATGGTTGGTGGTCTATCGGGCTCTAAAATGTCGTCTTCAGAACCGGATTCAAAAGTTGACTTGCTCGATGATGCTGATACCGTCATTCGAAAACTGGGTAAAGCCTTTTGTGAAGAAGGTAATATAACAGAAAACCCAATATTGCAGTTTATAAAAGTAGTGCTCTTCCCCGTCGCCTCTTTGAAATCGCCAAATCCTGTATTCTCGGTCAAACGACCTGAAAAGTTTGGTGGTGATGTGGACTTCCATTCTTATGAAGAATTGGAGGTCGCATTCAAGGATAAGAAATTGCATCCTGGTGATTTGAAGAAGGCATCGGCTATGGCTTTTAACGAATTGCTGGAACCGATTCGTAATATATTTAAAAGTCCTGAGCTTGTCAAGTTGACTGCAGAAGCCTATCCTGCTCCCAAACCAAAGGTTGCTGATGATGTCTCCAAACTAGGCAAGTTGTGGTGTTCAGACTGCATGACTGCATTATCTTCTTGGATTTTTTGACTCAACAATCTCGTCTCTTTACCCTCTAGATCTGGTGGTTGGTAAAATAGTCTCCATCAAACCACATCCAGAAGCCGACACCCTCTACATTGAACAAATCGACCTGGGCGAAGAAAAACCGCGCACTATAGTATCAGGTCTGGCCAAATACATCCCCATAGAAGACCTACAAAACCGTCTCGTAGTCGTCGCAGCAAACCTCAAACCAGCCAAACTCCGCGGTGTCTTGTCTGAAGGTATGGTCCTGGCTGCATCAAACGCAGACAAGACTATCGTCGAACTAGTAGACCCACCTGCGGGAACACCTGTTGGTGAACGTATTGTATTTGATGGGTTTGAACATGCCCCTGAAGCAGAGATTAAACCGAAACTAAAGATTTGGGAAAAGGTGTCGTTGCATTTCAAGACTAGTGAGGATGGAGTTTGTGTTTATAAGGATGGGGTTGTGTTTGGCACGTCGCTGGGTCCGTGTAGTGTTGTGTCTTTGAAGGGGGCTGCGATATCATAAAAACAATATAAGAGGATGAGGAAGGAGGTAGTTAGTTATATATAGACGTCATCCTGATATTGCAAGGACTGATCCAAGTTTGGTGCGAGTGATTCAGGTAAAAAATGGTGCTAGAGTCCTGGAGGATTTTTGATTCACAAATGGTTTTGAAATCGTTATTCGATACTCAAGAAGTTCTGCAGATACAGTTGAAAATACAGCTCCTTGACCACATACACAGACGAGAAGAAGTATTCCTGAAAACGACCACGCAAAACAAGGGCCAATCGTTATAAGCACACTCATGGGTAGTGACCCAAACGAGGAATAGATCAGAACTAGCGTGTCTTCAAATCTCAGATGCGACGATGTGTATATCAGAGGCTGAGCTCAGAGAAGAGGTCTGATATTTGTAGTTAAATGCAAGAATATAAATAAGCCGCGCGAATGGATTCCCAAGCTATGGTACTAGCAAATCCAAACGACTATTGTTGAACCAATTGATAATGAATATTTCTGTATTTGCCATGACAGAAGAAAACATTTGGTTTCCTTTCTATCTGAAGAGAGTTGCTGGCCATTGCTTCACTGACATATCCATCACTGAATTTCTGACCAAACGAAGGTAGGCAGGCCACAAGACGTCCATAACCGAACTTGACCAAGGCAGCTTTGACAGTACCGATAATTGATACACACAGCAGCACCACGATACAGCCCAGCCACAGCATCTGTCATCAAGCAAGTAGCTCCTAGCTTTCGCACTTCCGGGATGGCGACCCATATCTCTGTAATCATACTAGCGATTGCAGTGTACAACAGTTCGGTACCCCATTCTTCAAGACATTGGAAAGATATCCATTTCGTGCGTATGCTGAAGTGGCGGCTGCAACTCCTGTAGCTCGAATGGGTGGTGGGTTGTCGTCTAAACCGACAATGGGTTAAACACACTCACAACAAGTACACGGAGAGCAAGGAAGGTCAGCTACAAAGTGAGATTACCATTCATGGCTGGTACGTCGTCGTCTGAACACGGGCACGACGTTTGTTCATCTCATGTGCAAGCACACTAAATTCAGCTTGCTCTTCAGTGGTCAAGCGATCAAAAGCCTCGATGATCATCTATAAGACGAATCCGATGAGATGTAAGCGATATCAGTACCATTGTCTCGTCAGAAAATCTCACGTTTGCCGTTGGTTCAAAGATCAGATACGATCAAGTCAAACGCAGGAGTACAGAAGGTGATAGCGACAGGTGCTGTACCGTGTAGACAAAGATATCAGAAGGATTGATCCAGACAAGGAAAAGCCACTTGTTTCGACTTTCCGACAGCTGTTGCTTGGAGATGAGAGGTGACCAGCTGAACCATGTTGCACAGGGCAATTAGGTCTACAACTTTCGTGATCTTGACTGTTCTTGACTGTTTTGCCACGTATACGGTAGTTCGTCTCTTGGATTTATATCAACGAATGACCAATGGATCTCATTTAACACGTGAATCTACCTCCAAGCGCATTTAGTCACAGATTTGAGAGTTCATGAGATTGTGCATGTTTGAAACATTGGGATCTTCAGATTTTAAGGGCATCATCATGAATTGACAGAGATTGATGATTTCGAATAGCAGCTCTTCTAGTTCTCCGTATCCTGCGTTCAAATGAGACCCAGGTTCTTCGTGTTTGGCGAATGGATCTGCGACAGCAACACGAGTATGCGACTTCTGGCTACATAAGGCACCAAATTATCTCTACCACACTCTCACACGCACTCTGACATTCCTCAACCCAACTCTCCTTTCCTCAAAAATCCGAAAAAATGTCGCAACGAGCTCAAACAGTCTTGAAGCACTGTACAGACATTGTTCGGTAACCACCATCCATTCCATATTATGCATCCTATCATACTAATCCTCTCCTCTGATTCATAGTCGCTTCGACTACGAGACATACCTATGCACCATCTTTGCTCCAAAAGAAAGCCAGGCTGCCTTCTTTGCCATCAGAGCATTCAACGTGGAATTGTCCCAGATAAGAGAACATGTACGTGATGCCAATCTGGGTCGCATGCGCATGCAGTTCTGGAGAGAGACCATTGCTGCTGTCTACGAGGTATGTGGTTTGAACATGTGGTGTTTGGATCAAGACATTCGGAAGATTGAAGCTTTGGTGTTTATAGGGACGTCCGTCAAGTCATCCAGTAGCTGAACTCTTAGGAATGTGTCTTGAACACGTAGACTTGTCACAGTCGTGGTTTAAGCGCATTATTGCTGAAAGGGTACCATCCAACAACCAATCGTCATCCTCCTCAGCCCCTTTCTTTGCCAACACTTCTTTTCACATCTCATAGGAAGCAAACCTCATAGACCCACAATACACAACTATATCCGACGTCGAAAAATACGCTGAAAACACAGCTACATGCCTCCTCTACCTCCAACTCGAAGCTCTCGGACTGAAAGATGTACATGCAGACCACGCTGCATCTCATATCGGCAAAGCACTGGGGATTACAACACTGCTACGTGCGACGCCGTTTCATATTCGGGATAGGAGGTTTTATTTGCCTAGTCAGATATCTGCCAAGGTACGAGACGACAAAAATAGTTGTATGATATACCTCAAGATTGACACTCTTTGATCATAGCATGGAATATCAGTTGAAGAAATCATACGTAAAGGTCCAGCAAATGAAGCATTTCGACAAGTAGTGTATGAGGTAGCTACTGCTGCTAATGATCAAATCATTACGGCGAGAGCGCATGGTAAAGGTGTTCCTAAAGAGGCTGCTCCCGCTCTTTTGCTCTCTGTAAGTGCGGCTCTTATTCCTCTATTTGCATTATCCTTCTAAGTCTCATCGATACTATTAGATACCATGTGAGGAATACCTAAAGAGATTGGAAGCTACAAATTTTAACCTGTTTGATCCTAAACTGACTCAAAAGACTTGGAAACTGCCTTGGACGATTTGGAGTGCATCTCGTAATAGTAGATTCTAGAGTTTCACACTTAATTTATATTATAAAATACATGCGCATGGCCATTCTGTAGAGTACTACAAATGTTTGAATGTGAATGAGATTTGAGTATAGGTTGCATCTACTTGATTTAGGTGTCGTCTCATCGAATCTGAAGGGGAGCGAGCGAGAAAACATCGCATAGTCTCTCACACTTCCACCTCAAGGAAGTCATCCTACGTTGACTAAAGTCTGAATAAATTCAAGGAGAGTTAGTAGTACAGAGGCATTCTCACAAAAACTAGGAGAATCGAGTCATCAGCATCCTAGACACAAAAGATACAACTCTCTCCAAGATACCCCCAACCCGTTTCTGGTACACTCGTTGGTTTGACAATAGTTGGCCACTTGCTACTTTAATCCAACAATCCACATTCTTCGACGACACTTCCCCACTATATTGCCCCTTGTGAAAATCTCTGATAATATCCATTAGGGAAAAAAAGAGTTGACTTCAAACCTTTGATGATTTCGCGCATCTTCTCAGCACTGCTAGCAATACCATCTAGCTCCTGGCGGTTCTGATCAACCGAAGAAGTGTCCCCCATAACATCCTGCCAAGAGAGTAATCCAAAATACCTTGTTTTGGATAAGAGCATGGTATCATTGAAGACAAGCACGTACCAGCCGTTCACTGGAATCACGTGGGAACGGTGGTGATTCGAAGATTGTCTGATAGAAGGTAGCTGTAAGTGGATTATGAGCAACACGTTGTAAACGCGCCAAAAAAATGGAACTAGCGATTGGATGGATTAGGGCGAACTCACATTCAACAAACTTCAAATCCAAAAGCAGTGCGTTACAGTTCCCAGTTCCCAGCTACATGTCGATTCCGTTCAGTTCTCTTTCAAATCAAAACACCTTGAAAACGTTCAATGATACGTTAGCACACTGAAGGAGAAAAAACCTTATATAAGGATCACACCAAATTGCTTTGCAACACACCTTCTTATCCTCAGGCACGAACTCTGGCCAGTAGATATGCTTGATATATTCTCCCTACACCCAACCTCAAGCCCTTAACACGAATGGCACTTTTTAGTGCCAATTAAGATTTGTTTGTGATGGAGAGCTTGTTTGCTGGACGGGAAGTTGTTATTGGGAAGAAAGAGGCACTAGAAAGGACTTGATCTTGTATATTGGCAAAGTGAACAGGTCATGCTGTGAAAGGGTTCTTCGTTCCCCACTTTGAGGATTAACATCTAAATGGATCGAAATATCGTTAGGCGAAAAAAACAAAGTATGATATCACTCTCTAACATACTTGTAAGCCTGTTGGAACCAGCCATGTTTGAACATTCAGTCGCCCATACATAGCTTCTCGAGAGGTGAGTGTCCCAATATTGGCACCATTGAAGTTCAAGAGACTAGTTAATTTATATCAATAAATGCAAATGACGTCTCTCTGCTACAAAAGTTGATGAGGGGTATATTCGGTTGCAAATTCTTCTTTAATTTAGGTATGTGCTGACGGCATCTATGAAAAAAACCGAATTTGAGCGCATGAAACAAAATCCCAATTTATGTGAACACATCTCACGTTTATCAGGCCTATTGAAAATGAGAAAGTGTTAGGCCACAAAACATTCCACACCACAAGAACTGCCAGATATCAAATTCCAAAACGTACACGCAGAGAAAGTACGACTCCATCGAATTCCTAAACCGTTTCTTGTACACTTTTGGTTTGACAATGGTCGGCTGCTTGCCACCTCCACCCAATAATCCACTTTCCTTGACGACACTCTCCAGTCTCTTGTCCCATGTGAATGTTCTGATGAAATCTACCACCAAAAAAATGCCTTCAGAATGATCATTCGAAGGTTTCGACGTATCTTTTCACCACATACCAACAATTCCAACCACGAGCTCTTGTCGTTTCTGATCAACACCAACAAGGAGAGAGTAGTCCATAACACCTTGCTTGGATAGGAAGATTGTATCATTGAAGACACAGGCACGTAGCATACGTTTGCTGTGCTCGCGTAAGAATAGTGGTGACTCGTAAATGTCTATAGCGTGAAATGATTTCTGGTGAGGCTTTCAAAGCAAAAAAAACACCATTGGACTATCGTCATGCGGTGAAACTCACATTCGACGAAATTCAAATCCAAAAACACTTCACCACGTTTCCCAGTTGATTGTACATGTCGATTCCATTCAGATCCTTTCAGATCAAACACCTTAAGAGAGAAATAACAAGTCAGCGAAAAATTTATGTCACATAAAGCCAGCATTACACGGCTGCAAACATACCTTGATATCTTCCCGTCCAAAGAACAAGTCCTCCATAACAAACAAATCCAAACGAGTGCTCTTGTTGGTCAAGGTATGTTTGATTTTGATGGTGTAAAAGCCAAAAATCTTGGCCAAGGCAGTTGGGAGCTGGGAAAAACGTCTGAGGCCACAGTCAAAGTACGCTAAACAGCGCGCTCAGAATTACCTTAGTATTAGCAGCACGAGACATATGCTCCAAATACATTGGTGCAAAATGCTCAAATGCCTCTCGTTCGGCACGATTCAATTGCTTGATCATGAACCTTGTATCTATAAGAGTTCAGGACCTTGGGTAGATACAGCCTAGACTACTCAAGAAATCTTGCATTCGAAACTTTACCTCGAGTTTTCAAGAAAAGCATACGTGATTTTCCTCCAGATGAATCATATTTGAAACATCGTGCCAGAGATTCGATGTAGAGTTTCTCAATTCCACAAGCAGCTCGAAGTTCTTCAAATTCTTCAGCATAAAACACCTGACAGTTGAATTTGACCTGAGACCCGTCTAAACGCATCTCAATACTGTGAGTAAAGTCGGATGCCTCTATGTCTGTTGACTTTGACTGGCCGAGATTTGTTTTCTCACCTGGAAGTTTGCCAGCTTCTCCACCAATATCATCAAACTCGACACAGATCGGTTTCTCGCCCTCAGCATTAACACTAGCACCAGACCGCATTGCAGCAAGAGCCGCTTGATATTGCTTGGATCTGTATGACAGCAAGACGAAAAACAGCAGTGAGCAAAAACGGAGCAGTTCCAACGAATCATTAAACGTACCGCAAAGTAAATGCAATAATAGAACTAGGCTCATCTTCACGCAAAATGACTGGTGAGTCTGGATGAACATGTTCAAATGGAGACCTGTTTAATGAAACCAATAAGTGAGAAGGAAAAACAAGCGGCCAAGCTGGAATAAATTACCATGGATATTGCAACTGCCCCGTAATACCCGCAGACTCATCCTCGTCTCCATGAGTCTCCTCGTCAAACTCTTCCAATTCATCATCTCTCGGCACAGTCCATTCGAATTGTGGCCCTCCAATACGTTCATCAGCAATAGATTCAGTAATACAACCAGACGGCACGAAAAAGTGTCGTTCTCCTAATGGTGCTTTCGATGCTGGAGTCTTGGTATCTAGAGCATCAAGCACATTGACTGGCAAGAATGGAGTTGGTGCCAGTACTTCTTGGGTCATTGGGAATATATCAGAAGGAGCTACTAGAAGTACTTGATCTATTGCATCGGTATTGTGTAGGAAGCGCTTCGTGGATGGGTCCTTGAAGTGTTTGGGAGTCCAGTCTTTCAATTCTACCACCTAAATTTTGCAATGCTCGTTAGCAAAAAACGTCCCACTGAATGGAACTATGCCGTACCTCCAGGTTTGCTGGATCAGGCAATGCGTGAGCCTTTAAGAATACATCCATAGCTTCCCGCGAAGGTGACGTTCCCAATACTGGCAACATATCCGTTTGTGTCTCTCTTGGTGGCAAGGGTGGTGGAATAGTCACAGCAAGTTTGCTACTGTTTGTGATTGCCAGAGACCGTTTCTCATTCGGTGTGAGCGATATACCGAATATCTTCGCAAATATAGCATCCCATCTAGTCACATTACTCAAAAGCTCATGGTAGACAACGCTCAAGGCAAAGGTATCATCTTTTGCCGAGTTTGTGAATGCTCTTTGTAGCACTTGTAGCATATGTCTACGATCTCCAGCAGCTTGCCTTTGCAAACTGAGTATCTGGCTACGTCGTTCCTTGAATTGATGAATGTTTTGTGTGGTTTGATTATGTTCACGATCATGGTCAAGTAGGGACTGGAATCGTTTTCGTATGGATGCGTAGAGTCGATCGATCCGAGTATGGAGAGCGTCACGATCTTCTTCCTTGTTTTGTTCGTGTACACGTGCATCCCATTCTAGTTTCATGGATGGAAAGATGACTTCATACAGGTCAATCCTGCTGTACTCAACCTTGATTCCAAGTCCCCGATACGCAAACCATCTAAAAGCATATGCTTAGCTGACTTCTTGCGGCGGTATTTTTGGTTTTGCTTCTTCCCACATGCAAACCGTACCTAACGTGACATCGATGAATGTCATGGGGACACAAATTTGCTCGACAAGGTATTCCAGTATGATAAAATGTGAGCTCCAAATACTTTCCAAACGAGAATGCCCATGTATCTTCAGACATCTAACGAAAAGAATCCGACGATCAACAACAAAAAATAACCGTTTGGTTGTTGGGGCAAAGCTGACTTACCGGCACTGGCTGAGTCGACGCATGACAAATACGACACTCACTCCACATCAATATACTCTCATCCATTCCAGCTATGGGACATGCAAGTGTTTGCAAGATAACATTCACCTTGCCTTCACCATGTGCATAACTCCGAACATGATTCAACCATGGACGTTCACATCGACACAAGTAGCTAGACAGCATATATACACGTTCGATATATCTGCCTAACGGTATATCGGATTCTCCATAATAGTCAAAAGTTTGATATTCAGGAGGATGACAGGGCGTTGTGAGAGCACCACCAGAAGTAGATCGAAGGACTATAATTGACTGATAATCGAATGGACTCAGAGTCAATTCATCGATTTCATGATGCCCATTCTCCATTCCAGGTCGGATTGATATTGGTGCTAGCGGTGGTAGAGGGCTGGAGGCTCCTACATTTCGATGACTAGGGGTTCGCGCAGCCAGTTCACGCTGCTTCGAAAGGGTATATGGTGGTGGGATAATTACATTGGGCGATGATGAGAGAATGGTCTTCTCATAGACTTGAATAGACTTTTCAAGTGCCGATTTTTTACTGCGTGTATTAGTATTCTCGTCCTCGATTACAGGTGCTGGTGCTACGGAAGCTACTGACGTAGGCAATAAGGCGAATTCGTCTTGGAGAAGTGAGGTCTCTAGTCTCAGATTATATGCTACTTGGATCATAAATCGTGCCAGAGTCTTGATTTCACCTAGTTCATCTGCAGGTCGACCTCTCAACACTAGTGTACATCCTACTTCCTTACGTGCTCCTTCAAAAAGCAAGAAGGATTTGCGATGTCGTGGTATATCTGGATGGAAGTAAGTCTGCATTCGAAAGAGTCGACATGTCCCGAGGCGAGGTGACTGGGCAAGCTTCTCGAATGTTACGATATCCGCCTGTGTACTTCTAGCTATAGATTCCATTACAGATGGCTTTACATTGGCAATCACAGTAACTCGAGCTTCGAGCAAGTATTCCATTGAATACCGACTGACACCTCTTTCGACCAATACAAGATCTGGTTTCAGAGTCAATATACGAGCAATCAGCTTTTGCGCGTGCTCCTTTTCTTGAGACACGACTGCTTCAATACTCAAATCTACAGTTTCAGCAGCTTCTACGGGTCTATATTCGAGAGCAAAGGCCAATAGTAGGATTTGTGGATTGGCGATGGGCACTGGCATTAACTTGTGTGGCACACTCTTGGAAAATACAACGCCATCTATATACATAGAATCAGAAGGTAGACCACCTGGAATACGTTTGATTTTTACATAAGTATTCGGATCTGGCGAGTCTCCAGATTTGACATCAGGGTGTAGCGATTCAGATACTTTAAGCATTAGGTTTATAAATACGGGCTCCCATTCTGCTGGGTTCCCAATATGGAATTCGTGAAGCACTTGGGATAGGAGTGCTTTCAGGTGATTGACTGCTACAGCGTTGATTTGTATTGTTGAAGCAGGTCTTCGAATACGATGAAGTGTCGGCCGTCGAGTCACAAGACCACCAGACGAAGCTGGCATCTCACTACCTTCAGCTTCAAGTCGTTGTATAAGATGCTTGAGACTCGCTGGAACACCACCTCTACCAGTATCACTCTTCTTTCTAGCATGACCAGGCCTAAAATCTATACCAGATGTACTCAGTGCATTGGCAATACCGACAGCAGCAGGATTGATCTCTTCTTCGTCGTCATCGTCTTCGTCTGACTCGTCATCTGTTTGTCGTTCAACGTCTGATGGATATTTCAATGATGATGATTCATATAGAGCCTCGTGCAATTCACGCTCTAATACACGAGCATCAGATCCCCGACGAGTAAGAGTAGTTGATGGTGAACCACGATGGTGTCTTTGTATGCTCCAGTTCTCCTCGTGCGCCAATGCCAAGTCATGATTTGGATAATCTAAGCCCCGTACTGACAAGTCAGATAAGGACATCCGATCATCATCTATACCACGACGATCATATGCGTCGGCATAGCTAGGAACTGGGTCTTCATCCTTGCCCTGACAGAAGACGCAAATCCTGAGAATCGTTGACGTGTCAGATCCCTTTGAATGCATGGAGCTATGGAAAGGACGGCAAAGGACACTTAAATAAAGCAAAATATTGAATTCAAACCTCATTTCGCCCGAGATCTGAAAGTTTGCAGCACTTTGCACGACAGCACATTTGGAGCAAAATACCTGGAGTGTTGTATATGTGAGCAAACTCGCTGCAACGATGAGGTAAAGACACGTACTTGTCCACAGATGCGACAATGGTGCTTTCTTCTGAGAACTGAAAAAGGCTGATTGCAGCCATAGCATTTAACTGCCTGTATCCAAAATCCACAAGATTAGATCACGAAAGCTCAAGATCCGAACCAGTTCCTTTACAGACCTTGGCATCTTCCATCCAGAACTCTCTGGAGCGTAGCCGTCGAATAGTATTCATACTTCCAAAAGAATCATCACCAGTTTCGCTGGAGGGAGATCTCAACACAACATCACTTTCTGTTGGTGTTTCGAGCGATTGAAAGCTATCATTTGCATGCTCGTACGGAGCAATCGCTAATGAAGATGAGCTTCCACTCGTTTTCCTTTGCTTTCTCCGGTGCGGGGCAAAGAGCTTCATTATATCAGTCACCACCTGTTTTCCAAACACCGATCAAGCGAGGGTTTAAGAGGGCGAGAACGGAAAGAATAAAAAAGGACAAAATCACGTGTCAAATATGCCACCGAATTCAGCGAATACTAGAACGCGTCCGCCAAGTCTCATTCGAATCGTGATGGAATTGGATGGCTGAAGTTTATAACAATTTAAGAATTATGGATAGACACTTGTCAAAATCAGTTACAACGCACAGCCTATAAGTGTTTCGACCTTCCTCAGCAACCATTAACCACAGGCGAGCCTTAGCCTTAACCAATGGACAACCCTTGGACTTTCCCTGGTGCCCTCACGCAATCCAAACCTTGGTCGAGATGCGTGCTAGTTTCGCTCCCGTTCTGCTTCGAAACACATCCTTAGCCAACATTGATGTGTTTGTCATTGCCATAGTAAGAAGTCCCGTCAACCTTGGATGATGTTTGAACTGTGATGCCATAACATTGGTCTGTTGGTATTGAAACTAGCAATCACAGTGGACGAGAGCGGGTTGCGCTATGGTAAAAGCTCCCTCCCTCCCTTGACCGACGACATAAAGATACCGCTTCCCAATGTTCTGCAAAGATTGCTGTTGATGAAATTGGAGTGAGATGTGAGTAGCAGTAGTGCCGATTACAAGAAATAGAATACAAAATGGGCACTAATGACATTTCCTCTTTGCTCTGCAACGATTACGCACAGGCGAACCAAAGTCTTAACATATGGACAATCCGATGAAGCCATCACGCATCCAAACCGAAGTCGAGATTTGTGCTAGAGGCGCTCCCGCTTTGCTTCGAAACACATCCTTATCCAAAGCTGATGTGCTTGTCATTGCAAAAGTGCAAAGTCCAATAGACCGAAGTGAATGTTTGAACTGCGAAGCCATAACCTAGGTCTGTTGGTATTAAAACCAGCATGCACAGTGGACGAGAGCGGATTGCGTTTTGGTGGCGTTTTGGTATGACCTCCCTCCCTCCCTTGACCTGACAACGTGAAACTGCCGTCTCCCAAATGTCCTGCAAATGTATATGAAGATAGCGTGAGATATGAGTAGGCCTATAAGGCCATTTCAATCCCTTTGTTCTCATTGTATACTGCAATCCAGAGCAGTGTCTCCCCCTCCCGATTGGCAAGTTCTCCTCAGACAACGAGATCGAAACCAGACGTTCCGAAGAGAAGCAAATAATGGAAAGAGATTCATTAATAGTCAATAGATACACAACCATGCGGGATTGCGACATTGGCAGTTGCAGCCCAGAAAGGTGCGATACCCATACCAATTCAACACTCTTACGCAATTTAAACCACCCCAACGAGAAAACGGCAGGAAGGGAAGATTACAGCATGTTCAAAGATATTGATGCCTGCTCTGTATGTCACATGATTGTCCATACCATCGTATTCAATGTTGCTCTGTGATTATTCTGAGTACAGCAACGACACCATAACCAAGAGAGTATGTGGATCATGCAGAATCTGGTAGATTTCTCAGCTGACGATATTCTATACTTTGGTTGGCATTGTCAGACTTGCCTCACTCAGGTTTCCAAATTTGTCACCAGATAGATCAGACTGGCATTTACGTTGAGATGTGTTAAGCAATATAGTCTTAACAGATCCCTGCAATTCTAATACAAATACATATTTAGTCATCTGTTGCCTCCAGATCACTCATAGCACTTTTTTACCTTGTTAGTTGAGCAACGAACAACTATGAGCGACACTACAGTGCTCTGGATTCAGCTCTTTAAGCGAGATGCTGAAAACGCTGACGAATCATTCGCTGCACTTCATAAATTGGGACTTGCAGCGAAAGTCGAAGTACACGTCACTGTGACTAATATCGATGGACTCCGCAAATATCTCATTAATCATGAAGACTTCAAGAAGTCATTAGATGGCATCAAAGCACATCAATTATATGTATATATGGATGCAGAATGCAAATCGCCACTGAAACCAAGTACATCAATCACCCAAATCGAAACATCAGACGACAATCCATTGAGAGTCGTAAGACCAAGACAAACTGGAGTAGCACCCGGATTGCAGCCTTCCACTCTTAGTCAAGGTATTTAAAGACAGGTCAATTGATTCTCTCACAAAAATTGCATCAATTTCTTTTTTAGATTCTCGCTTTTGGACATCACTATTAGATAATCTTCTTCAGCCTGTACAGTTGTCTTCTGGTGATCTTCCTACTCATGTTATTGAGCAACACCTGCAAAGCAAACTTCTTGCTCCACTACCACTACTCGTTCCCATCACTGAACTCTTATTGCCTGGTGATTTGATTGGTTTGAAGAATGAGTTTGTCCAAATTCCTACAAACTCTTCTGTTGCTTTAAGAGACGTAGCAATTATCGTAATGCAAGTCTTGAGAGGACAGCGAGTTGGTCTTGGCCAGCACTCAGGTTCGAGCCTCCATCGCACACAAAGGCTTTGCCACTCATATTTCATTTCAACAGGAATTTCACTATGGGATTCCATTTTATGTACTCCACTTCAACTGTTTGCACAAACCGTCAATATTTCTGTCGAAGTTAGCCGCAATGAAGAACCTTTGCAAAGCACTGACTCCTTCAGACCAGATTCTATATTATACTTTGACAATCTACTTATGGTCTTTGGTCAAGAGAAGGTAGACACCAATATTGGCAAAGCAGAACTGAACTTGAATAAGATGAATGAACCTCTCAGTGCCATCTTTTATGGAAATGTCAAAACATGCTTCGCTTATGCAGCTGATTTTCGGAAATTGAGGTTAGATTGTAAGATCGCTCTTCTTTCGCTTGATTCTTTACTTAAGTACATTTCCCATTCAAGATTATATAGTATCAACGCAAATGGAGCCAGATCTATGTTATCACCTGAATTTAATTTGACAACATCAACTGGTCGCTTGAACGCTTTATTCTCTGTAGTCAATGTTTTTCGCCTGATCCGTGGTTTGATGTTACTCAATGAAGCTGATGCATTTAGCCCGAAATGGTCGTTATCTAGAGAATATGAACGTGGCATGACTGTGAGTAATTAGAGAAAGAACCTGTGTTACGAGTGCTAACAACCCTTAAATTGATTAGACTACTTTACTATTTCGTAATACTTTTATGATAAAAACGATACGTATTCCTTGGGAGAACGCTACAATCGATGTAAGATTCTCACTTGCATCAGTTTAAGCGACGACCACCCTAAGTTCGCTCCAACAGGATTTAAGACTCGCTCATTCAGTCGACTCTCCGTATCTAATCAAGCGCATCAAGGAGGTGGTTACCTATGGCTCATACAGTTTCCATCTGGCTCCAATTGGCACCAACATTAGGAATATTCGTGAACCACATACTGGTCGCAAGCTTTGCTACTGTATCTTGAAAGGATTGGAGGTAGGATTGCGTTTCAATTCAAGTCGGTTATGTGGATAATGAAGACGCACCATCAATAAGGCTCTTCATTCTGCTGGTATTGTTCATCGAGATATTCGCTTGGACAATATGATTCAGGTGGAGAACAGGTTTATACTGATAGATTTGGAGCATTGCGGAAAGCCTGGGCCGCTACTACCAGGATTTAGAAGCATATTTGTGCCACAAGTAAAGCTTGGCAAACACAAAATGTCTTACACTTATGGCTGTGACATATGGATGTTGATGCAGACTTTACGTACTATGGAATTTGTTGGAGCGGATCCACAAATGCAGGGATTTATCAAAGAGATGATCAATTTGGTAGAGTATTGCCCTGACGACCCACGTCTTTCTGAGAAAACCCTCGCTTCGACTATGTTAAGTCATGAAGTCTTTAAAAGTATCAGTATTTGAAGGCTTGAAATGCATACATGTATATAGTTACTTGTATTAAAATCAAACTACAGAAACAAAACACACAAATTTGGGTGTGCGCGAACACACTAGTATATTGTAATCCGACATAAATCCATTTCTCGAAGGCATTCAGCTTCATGCTATCTTCAACACTACAAAATACTCTAAGACGAGAACAGTTTAGGATTTGCAAACTATCTCGTCAAGTTAGTATCGTACAAGACTTGATGTCTTCCTGCAGACTTCAACTTGTGTTTCAGCATTTCATTAAAGAAATTCTCTTGCGAAGTCGTTAAAATCGTCGAGAAAGGAAAAATGGGGGTCCCCAAACGTTTTGTTTTGATGGCAACCCCCCCCCCCCCCTTGTTTGACTCTTTTTTAATCTCACAGAACTGTTATATAATAACTTCAGATCTCTTGCAGCAGTTCCCCAGTTCCTAAGCTGAGACCACGTTCTCGAGCATGAGATTGATTTGATCCATCAGATCAATAAGAAATTAGGAATGCAACGATGTACTCCTGGTGGAAGTAGCCCAGGAGGAAGTAATAACAATAATGGAGATAATGGTAATGGCAATAATGGTGGATCTAACTCGAACGGCAACAACGAGAATGTTGCTCCAGTTGACAATGGACGCAATCGATCCTTTTCGTTTACTCAAGACGAGATAGCTCAACTGGTAGCTGCAATGAGGTCAGTTTTGAATGCCAATCCAAGAATGAGTTTGACTACCAACAATTGGGAAGCAATTCGAGTTGCGTATATTGATCCAAACATCCACATTACACAATTTTCACAGCTTACAGAATGTTCACATCAGCACACAAAAAATCTGCAATGGAAGCAATTTTACCCATAGAACATTCTAGAAACAGACGGCAACGATTCCAACGATTCCGACGACGTCAACGTTTCCAATGGCAACAACAATTCCAATGACAGTCAACGATTCCAATGGCAACAACGATTCCAATGGCAATCAACGATTCCAACGGCGACAATGAACGTAATTCAGAGCCCACTTCGGACAAGAAAACCGACCGCACGGAGGGATGTGTGAGCAGGCAGTAAGTAGTTAAAAAAGGAACATTACGTCACGAACTCTCACTGACGTCCAGCACTACTATTTTCTCTTGGGGCGCGCTAACGGCCAGTTAACCTCAAGCTCCGTCAACATGCCTCCATTAACGGACAATTCCATTGACAAGAGTGGGGTTTCAATCAGCGCTGTACGTTTCATCTTGTCTTCCGTGTTTTTGTTGAATTGCCCAGATCTCTTGCATCAAGTGTAATTTTGAATATTACATTACGTATTTGCCAACAGCATGGCTCTCTGAAGCCATTTTCCGGTCACTTTTCTCAACAACGTCGTCCAAATGTGCTGCATCTACTCACACAATTTGGAAACCTTAGGAACTGGAGGTCGAGGAAGCGCTACCTGATGTCTTCAAGAGTAAACGGCAATGGCTACCACCTTATGGTAGAGGTATATATGGAGGTCAAGTACTAGGGTATGTTTTGATGTCCTGCTCAGATTCGTCAGAAGCGCCAGCTGATATACTTGTTTGCCAGGCAAGCTCTAGCATCTGCCATGAAAACCGTGGGATCTCAATTCCGAGCACACTCGATGCATTCGTACTTTTTACTCCCAGCTGACCACACCATTCCAGTCTGGTATCATGTTGAACGAGTGCGGGACGGTCGCAATTTCATAACACGGAACGTGGCAGCTAAACAGCGGGACCGTGTGATATTCGAAGCCATGGTTAGCTTCAAAACACCGGAAGCGAGTGTAGTCAAGTATCAACTTCCTATGCCAATCGATGGGCTGCCTCAACCGGAAGATTGTGAAAGGAGGGACGAGAGAGTGGTGGCTATTGTCAATCATCCAATGATATCAAGGTATTTTCATCCAAAATCTCGACAGCTGATGAAAATTGAAGAAGTAGGTCCTCCTTTACATTGTACTGCATACTCTGTCTCGCTCAGACTGAATGAACTCGCTTTAGACAACTCCATCGTTTGACATCATCGACGTCAGCGATCACCACTTTGCGTTTGCCGATGGTTCAATGGCATCGAAATCGGGTAGACTGCTCTTCTGGTTAAAAACCAAGGAACGGCTCTCAGATGATCCGATGCAGCACCAAAGTGCTCTCATGTTTATCAGTGATAGATGGCTGTTAGGCAGCGGGTCAGTCAGACATGGGACGTGGTATTCAGACACGAATCCACAAGTGACGATGATGGCAACTTTGGATCATACCGTTTGGTAAGCTGCTGGCGTTAGCATATATGAAGTTGTCTCACACTCGTTTGTCAGGATGCATGCAGACTTCCGAATTGATGAATATCTTTTAATGATAATGGAGAATGTGTGGACTGGAGACGGACGTTCGTTAGCCCATGGACGATTTTATAGTAGAGATGGACGCTTAGTGGCTTCATGTACTCAAGAAGGCTTGATACGAACCGAGTACAAGGATCCCAAACTGTAGATTTAATGAATTACAAATAATTATAAACACGTAAATATTGGACCAAAACGCGTCGAGAGTGAAATGGATTTCTGAGTCCTTTCAACCTTCAAAACTCTGTGTGACGCCTTTACTACTCAAAGTTCCATCGATCGCCCTACCAATCGTCTCAGGATCGATTTCCGTATCTATTCCGATTGGTATGAGTTGCTTCATGACTTCCAACTCACTTGTCTCTGCCAGATTTACTGACATTTCAAGTTACCCTTTTTCCACGAAGATCAAAAACTTTCACAATGGCAGACATACCGGCACCTGTTAGATCTGTAAAGGAATGCCATGCACTGTTAACTGCTCCGGGCTCAACTTTAGAAATGGAAGAGATGGTGATTCGAGGCATTAAACAAAGAGTTTGGAAGAACTTGCCCAGAACTGTGCGAGGATTGTTTGACAAACTGTCAACGGTATTGATTTCGTTTTATAATGTTATTGCCATGAACAAAGATCCTCTAAAATACAGCAGTTTCTGACACACGTCACGAACATAGGATCATGGAAATCGTGACTACCTAGTCTATGAGAATGAACGTTTCACTTACAGCCGAGTCAGGCGTTTATCGTGCACTTTGGCTCGGGTATTCACGTCTCGTCTGGGGCTCCGGCAAGGAGATCGTGTTGGAATTGCAAGCAGAAATTGTCCGGAATGGATTATCGTGTTTTGGGCCATACATATTGCTGGAGGGATAGCTGTGCCATTGAATGCGTGGTTTCAGACTCATGGTAAAGCATTCACAAATCGCCGATAAAAGGTCCAAACTGACACCCGTTGATACCTAGAGCTTCAACATTGTATAACAAACTGCAAATGTCGGTTTCTGTTTGTCGATGATGAACGAGCAGAACGGTTACAATCTATTTACGAGTCTTCGCTGAAACCAGCCGGCCTAGAAAAGATGTTTGTGATGCGATCTACCACCTCAACTATGGTTACTCTCAACCACCTACTTGCCGGAGCAGAAGAAACGGACAATATCAAAGATATGCCAGAAATAACGACTGAATCGGACTGCACCATATTTTTTACCTCCGGTACTACAGGAAAACCAAAGGGTGCCATATCGACACAACGAGGATTCTTGACATCCTTATTTTCAGCGATTGTGCCTTCAATGAGGTCACATCTTCGTATAGGAAATCCTATACCAACTCCAGATCCAGGTCAAAGATCTCTGTTAATCGCAACGCCCTTCTTCCATATCACTGGATGTGGGAATATGGTTAGATCTAGTTTTGCTGGCATGAAGATTGTGGTAATGTTTAAGTGGGATGCGCTACGTGCAATGCAGCTGATTGAAAAGGAGCAGATTACGAGTGCTGGAGGTGTACCTTCCATGGTGTTTAATGTAAGGTTTGTTGTCATCTGAAGGTTATGGCTTTCCGTTTACGATGGCTTTTGTTTGCTTAGGTGCTAGATCATCCACTCATTGACACATTCGACCTGTCATCCTGCCAATCATGGACATACGGCGGTGCTCCAGCAACACCCGCCTTAGAAGAACGGCTCCGAAAACGCTTCCCAGCCACCATTCGAGGATCCGGCTACGGACTGACTGAAGCTTCAGTCAGTGCCGTAAACTCGGGCGAAGACTATGCCAGATACCCAGACTCTGTAGGTCCTGCTTCGCCCGTAAACGATATCGAGATCAGGCATCCTGAGACGGGGAAAGTACTGCCAAAGGGATCTATTGGTGAAATATGTATTAAGGGGCCTGGTGTTATTCGAGCATATTACGATAATCCAGAGGCTAATACAAAGTCTTTTACGTCTGATGGGTTCTTCAAGAGTGGTATGGTGGTCGACGTCTGCACTTGTATGAATCTCACTGACTCCACATAGGTGATATTGGATATCTCAATGAAGAAGACTTTGTATTCATCGTGGATCGAAGTAAAGATATGATACTACGAGGAGGTACTGTACTCAAAGTGGTCAATGACCATAATTGAAACTAATACTGTTCTTGTAGGAGAGAATGTTTATTCAGTGGAAGTTGAGGATGCGCTATATTCTCATCCGTCCGTGATTGATGCGGCTGCCATTGGTGTCAGCCACCCATCACTGGGAGAGGAGGTTACAGGTAAGGGCGTCAGTGTATGATTTTCACTGGAATGTTGCATTAGTAGCAAATCAGCATATCAAATCAAGACGAGAAAATGGCTCTGACTATTCACCAACCCAACATCACTAGCCTTTGTGACCGTGAACGAAACTGGACGGAACCTCACCCCAAGAGACATCATCAACCACGTTAAACCCCGTCTCGCTAGCTTCAAGGTCCCAATTCACGTCGAAATGAGACACGAAAGCCTCCCACGAAACGAGAACGGCAAAATCCAAAAAACAAAGCTTCGACCAGAAATGCAAAAAATCATTGACGCGATTCGTCAACAATTCCAGAACAATAATTATGCAGCGAAACAGCCCAAATTATAATTCACATGCTGATACAGATGATAGTATTCTTTTTGAATAGCGATCGTCTATCGCATTGTTTTGAATTCACGTTTTTCCTTCGCTTTTCTCAAGATTTGTGTTGAACGTTTTACACATACACGAACGCTTTGAATTTTTGGTGGTAGAAGACACTCGCAATCGTGAAGAAATCCATTTCGACTGGTAAATAATCTCGTCAAGCAATGGCTTCCATGATCGATTCAGAGATGAAGGATGCAAAAATTGAAGAAACCGAAGTAAACATGACCGATGCTTCAAACGGCCGCAAAAGTACGGTATTTCCATTCATTGACCTTGTAATCATCTTTTACTACGTTCATCGACCCTACCTTCTATACCAAATGCCCTCTAAACCTCGACATTAAACACTAACAGTTCTTTACGCTCCTTGAATACAGGCATTTACGACCTTCCGACTGCAGTTCTAACGAATATCGTTGAACGTCTAAGTCCACGGGAACGTTTCATACATATTCGTCAAGCTTCACGAGCATTCTCGGCATTCATATACGAAACTGGGTGTCGAGCAAATGTGCAACTGATTGTACAGCCAGACCTAAATACGCTGGATAATTCGTGGGTCAAGATGAATTTGCAGGTGCACTATGAGGTATGAAAATACAAAGAGCTTTAGATGTGCTTTAGTTTGAAAGATTTATATATATTTTTTGCACTCGCCAGATCAAAATCCAGCATGATGGAGTAGCATGTGTCAAGATGGCGATACATCCGAAAAACAAGTCAAGTGTATTTAGAGGCTTTAATATGGATAGAGTGCTGACGGTCATCAAAAAATACTGTAATCTGAAAACCTTGAATGTTGCACGGACGGATGTGTTTTTGGATATAATCAACATACCTTCTTTACTTGTACGCTTCTACCATTATTCCCAAATACCCAATTTCTTACTCTAACCCAGTGTTTCACACTACTAGACATCAGACTGTAAATCCCACCTCGAATCCATCTCTGACCGCATATCCCGCTACTACATCAAAGTTCCCACAAAGACCGCCTTCCACAAGATCCTGCCCGACAGCACCTCCGACCTCGTAATAGAACTAGGCGACGGCAGCGCCCCCTCCTCTCTCCTAAACCTCGAAAAGCTAACCAACCTCAAACGCCTCACCCTCGACCCATACCGCACCTACCACAACACGGTGTGGATGGAAGGCACATTCGAAACCGACGAGTACATATTCACAGACGTGCTGTACCCGCTCGTAAACTGTGTCGCACTCGAGCACATTGCCATCAACCCACAATGGAATCTGCCACGAGAGGACGTATGTGAGTCTGGACCACGGCCAGACCTGATTACGTTTATCTGGGTTGGGATACTACGGCTACCGAATCTAAAAACGTTAGATGTGCATCCCAGCGTAACGAAATCCATGTTTATAAGCAGCTACCTGCCATCCCCGAAACCATACTCACAGCACCTGGAACGTATCCCGATGGTCTCGAACGGCCCAGGCAGTGTTGGCGCACCAATAGAGTTCTTCCGTCTTCCCTTCTGCACGACGCTTCGATCTCTAGGTATAGAATGGACGCCGATGTCAGATGCAGCATTTAGTGCTCTACAGTTTGGACTAGAGAACTCGCTACCGCTGCTCGAAGAACTGACAGTGCAGTGTCTGGCTGTGAGCAGTGCTAAAGGCGACCCGCAGCAGTTTGATGAGAATGATATGAGCTGGAGTAAAGAAACGCTTAAATTCGCGAGTGAGTGGTGGAAGAAGATTGCAAAGCTGTTGATTAGGAGGCCGAATTTTAAGAGCGTTACGATTATATTGATTGAGGATACGCATTCGGGTGTTAGGGAGCAGGATGCTTGCAGGTCAGAAGATGTTTTAAACCACTGGATTTTTTTTTGCATGCCGACACTTTTGAAAATGTATAGGATATGGACCAAAGCAGTAAAATCCGTCGCACCATATATCCGATGCATTGCTTTCGTGTGGCAGATGGCAGGATCTAGGCCCGAGAAACGGACCCGGAAGTTGACTCGAAATGTGCCGAGTTTCTTCCAACGAAACTTTCAGGATATTGATGGAAATATAATTATGACGAAAACGAATGGGCATATCTAGCTATCTGGATTCGATGATGAGAAACATAAAACACTGACTAGGGACTTTGGATGTAACAATCATAAACGCTAAATCATTCCTGTCAAAACCAACATGATTCCAACATAAAGTAAAAACCAGTCAGGGACTCCTTTTGCAAACTATCAGTGTTTTCTTAAAAGAAGTAGAAGTAGTCGGTGTGTTTGTTATGTAGTAAACATCTATTTGGCAAACCTATTGTAAAATATGAATCGTATGAGAGACAAGACATGTAATGGAATCTGGAAACCAAAAAACACTACTTTGAATGGATTACGTACATCGTCTTGATGGCTGCAGTTGTGTAAGACTTTGGTCGTTCAATTGGCAATCCCAATGCACGATCCCAGATCAGACCAGTCATGACTCCCAAAGCACGAGAGACACCAAACAGGACAGTGTAGTAGTCCTGTTCAACAAAGCCGTAATGCTATTCAAACAGTTTGCGGATGAGAATTTTTGTGGTCCACAGGTCAAAAGTGTCAAAACTATTTTTCTTCTCACTTTCACACCAACACCAACAGCGTCAAAACATCAATCCAATCCAACTTACTTGCAGAAGAACGCCAGAGTGGGCATCGACATTAGGCCAAGGGTTCTTGGTCTTTCCATGCTCTGTAAGGATACCAGGCGCAGCCTTAAAGATCTGACCCACCAACTTAAACAATGGGTCTTCAGGTAGATGCTTCAAAGCGAATTCACGCTGACATGTATATCTCGGATCCGTCTTTCGCAATACAGCATGGCCATACCCTGGAATGACCTGTCCAGATTTAAGTGTCTTCCAGATATAGTCCTTTACTTTATCGTCGGATACATTGGTACCGATTTCATCCCGCATCTTCATAATCCAGCGTAATACTTCCTGGTTTGCGAGTCCATGCAGTGGACCAGCGAGACCGTTCATGCCGGCGGCGAAGGAGAGGTATGGGTCTGCGAGTGCCGAGCCGACTAGATGGGTTGCGTGGGCAGATACGTTGCCACCTTCGTGGTCTGAATGGATTGTCAAGTAGAGTCGCATCAGTTCAAAGAATTGAGGATCGGTGTATCCAAGCATGCGGGAGAAGTTTGCTCCATAGTCCAAGTTTGGGTCTACGTCAGCTACCTTGCCGTCCTTGTATATGTTTCTATAAATCCTAGCTGCGATATTGGGTAGTTTGGCAATCAGATCGTTGGCATCTTCATATGTATAGTCCCAGTACTCCGTCTTGCGGACACCGTTTTGATAGGCTTTGGCAAAGCTAGATTCGTTCTGTAGGGCAGTGACTGCTAGTGAGAATTGACTCATGGGATGGAGCGTGTTGGGACATCTGTCTAGAATATCTTCTACGTATGAGGGGATTGCGGAACGGGCTGCCCAGTCGGCAGATACTTGTTTGACTTGCTCTGGTGTTGGTACTTCACCCGTTACGAGCAGCCAAAAGAGACCTTCTGGTAGGGGTTCGTTGCCACCTGCAGCTTTTGGTAGCATCTTTTGACACTCAGGGATGGTGTATCCTCTGAATCTAATACCCTAATAAATGAAAACATGTCAATGGTTATGTAACCACGTGTCAAATGCATAGGTTAAGTCAAAGATCCATGTCAAATGTAGATCTCTGCATATTTATACAGTACTGTCAAACTCTCCAAAACTCACCTCTTCAGCATCAAGCAACGACCCTTCCCATATCAAACCCTTGATTCCTCGCATACCACCATAAGCCTAACCAAAAGTACAAACAATAAGTCTACCACCCATATTCAATTTCATTCAAAACTCTTTTTATCTTTACCATATCAACAGTCGTATTCCCCAACGACTTTTCACCCAATTCTTTACGAACAGCCTTGACTTCAGCCTGTCGTTCAGGAATAAGTTCACGTAACCTTTCCTTGAGAGTCTATTCCCAGCAGAACAAACCGTTCCATGTCAGCATTCATGGAAAGACGTCACGTCAAAAACATCAATGCAGCTTGTGATGTGATGAGCGCAAAAATTGATTTAGTGTCAAATGACGTACTTGGGTCTTTGTGGATAGACAACGCGTCCCAGGTATGAATGCATTTGGAATGGCTCTCCTTAGAGCGACCTAATTGAATGGCAGTTGGGTGTTAATATTGTTTCTTGTGTTTTTGGCCTTGAAACGTTTTAAAGGCAGAAAATGAACTGTCGCCGTATTAATAGCAAAAACGTGGAGCTAGCAGGCTCATCACGCTAGGATTTAGGATAGAAATACTTACTGCCCTTGTGGTGAACGTTAACGACATCATCGTCCTTTCTGAAAGCTTGATGGATTGCCAGAGCGAACGAAAGGTTGGACAAATCAACATCAAGCACCTCACGGTTTAAATTCTTGATAAACACGATGGAAGCAGCGATAGAATATCATTTGCGCTATTTAACATGCGTGATTGAATACTGTAATATGTGGAGGTTCGCAGTCATAGCCCTCTCCACCTCAATTTAACCTTCTATTGACGAACTAGTTCCTTATAGTAACATTAATTTCATTATTTTACGTGCGTGATCATATACTTTACAATGTTTACAATGCGTGATCTAGTCCTTGCATAATAATTTTTCACATTTACGCATCTTCCGGTCACATACCAAGCTCTTCTTGCTCGTCTTGCTCCTCTTGCTCGTCTTGATTCTCAACCACTATATCTATACGTGGCTCACCATTACTATCTTCTTCTGCTTCGTGACTCGCACCCTCTCCTTCCTCTTCCTCATACTCTGGCTCATTATTCTGACCAGAGTCTTCTTCAGCCACATAACTTTCTTCATCCTCACTTGAAGATGAGTCTTCATCACTCTCATCCTCATCATCCTCGTCTTCATCCTCATCCTCATCACCAGACTCATCATGCTCATCACCTATAGGTTGCACTACTTCCTCATCATCATCAAAATGAGGCACGATTTGCATTTGAGCCAATTCGTCCTCATCATCTGAATCCGACATACGAGCCCACATACGTCGATGTTTTTCGTCTTCTTCTTCATCACGTCTCACACTTCGTTTCTTAGCAATGTTTTCCGTCTTTTTCTTGATATGAGGTAGACGACAACGAGGATTACTACATGTTCCAGAAGCAGTAAACTCGGGACACTTGAATTCATGACGTTTATCACAAGTCGCACCCTTATCACACCATGCTTTATTGGCAAAATCTGGGCATATAGGTGCATCTGGTGGTAATATGACGTGTAGGAAGGGACAATTGTCTCGTACACATCGATCACGTTCAAAGAATAAGCATAGTGGCACTTTTTGAGGTGATGGAGTGTGTGATAGCGGACATGGGTCTTCTTTGCATGGTGTGCCTTTCAAATAGTCAGGACACATGCGTAGTCGTTGGACTGAGTGTTCAAATCGACATGGATTGTTTTTGCATTTGCCTACAAATGATGAGGATTAGTATTTGATGCGATATAGAACACGATGGCTGAAATGACGAAAAAAGGAAGATATTTCAAGACCTATACCGAATCTGGAGTAGAATACACAAGGAGCTTTTGGTTTGAGTGTCTTGTTGTGAGATTTGAATCTCTTGGGACTAAAGATTTTCAAAGCGTCAGAAACCCTCACGAGCTCGAAATTTGTAAGCTTGGAAACTTGCTTGGGATGAGTAGAGGCCATAGCAGCCTTGACATTCAACACCAGATTCCCCCTTTTACTTCTCTTATAGGGTGCACCATTCAACAAGACTCGTTTAGGCGTTTTCGTTGGAGCGAGTGGTCTTGCTGATGAAGATGAAGTTGCAGTGACCACTAATAAGCGAGATTAATAGCGTGAGCAAAAAAACCATGTCGCTAACCTCCAAACACGACACGCACAGTTCTTTCGTTTCAACTTTGTTCCACTCTTATCCACCACGAACTCGACTCCACTAATCATGACTGTTCTTCCCGTAATCTTCTTTATAGATGGAGCAGTCTGCTTCAATACTTGAGCCATCACATTCCTTTTTGTTTTTGCAGCTGTTTTAGCAGCTTCCTTGTTGATGAGTTTCATTCCGTCCTTGCTCTTTGAGTATTGTACGCCGTCGACGATAAGGAGGGTCCTGTTTACTGAGGGTATGTACGCCTTCTTGCGTTTTTGGTGAGTGGTGGTAGTAGATGAGGGAACGCTTGGTTTGGGAGGTTTCTTTGTCAAGTCAGCCTCAGCTTCTACGGAGGGTGAACGGTTTTGATCAGTTCAGATAGAATGGAGTTAGGAGTTGCAAGCTTTGTTTGATCGTAGGTCAAAAACGGGGAACGTGCAAGCGACACTCTCCAAAGATCACAGTATGTACTTACGACTCCCAACACGAACAAGCTTATTCCCCTTCTTGACGAATTGAGGCCTATCCGCAGCAAGAGCAATATCACCATCTTGTATTGTCGTTGCTGTCGGTGGTGGTGGAGTGGTGATGTTGTTTGATGATGGATTGTTAACGAGCTTTATGTTGCCATATCGACGAGCAGATCCATTAGGTATGGCGGGCGCTGGTCTAGCTATAGGATTGAATCGTCCTCTACCTCTTCCGCTATACTGCGTCTGCTGATGATTTACCGGAGCTGCTTGTAAAGCTGTTTGACGATTGATTGCAGCTGATGGGGGATGTTAGTCGATGAAAACGACAGCGATCTGTATGTACGAATGACTTGCCTGCTAGTCTAGCTATCTCGGCCAATGTCTCCTGGTCATTTGGCATAGTTTGATCAAATTGCTGTTCGAAAGTTTTGAAGATGGGGGATAGATTACTAATGCGATCGAACAGGACGATGATCAGAATTAAATTAATAGAATACACACGGAATTCACGTAGCCTTACAATGTGCTCACTCTCATCGTCGCGTCGCGAATCCAAGAAACATTTTGCAATTTGACAATTATACATATAGCAGAGAACTCAGGCTCTTATCTTACCTGGCAAGGAGTGTATCAAAGGATTGGTATTTTCCTACTCTATTTCTGCTGTCCTAGTAGGTTCCGTCCAAGTAGGTTAGCTTGCTAAGCTTGCATCAACAGAAACTTGTTTTTCTTTAGACTCAGAACACTGTCATGGAACGAGGCAGTCATCATATTAATCCATTAATCTAAATCTATCCTGTTTTTAAATCGTGGTGTCTCATAGAAATTTACGGTCCAAGAGCTTCAATGTCGGGACATCAACATTTGAAACATCAAACATACAACTCATTCCAAATGGCATGGTTGGTTGTCATTTCTTCATCTGCTGAAGTATCAAACCAAATTTCAGAGAGATCCGTCAGTCTTTGAACTTTTGAAACTAGCAAAAAAAGCGAGCTCAGCGAATGGGCGGATACTCTTTTTCTAGTACTTTATTTTCAACTTGGAGAGAGAGCGAAGGAATGTGATATGTCAGTGCATGTGTCGTCACGTATGATTTGGAAAACCTTTGTAGCTTAAGATATCGAAGAAGAGAACGATTCTGGTGAAGTCGAATTGTGTATGATCTTCTGGCTTTTCGTTCTTCCACACAACCAACCAGAACTACCACGCAAAGACCTAACAGATAAGTAATATGCTAATCATATATTCTTATAAATACGACAATTTTGTTTTTGTGGTTGCATATTTAGCATAGGGGGGATGGGAAAGAAAAAAGAGATATAAAAATCCATATGGCACAACACATCTTCTGGATTTCTTGTGTACAAAATAAAAGGGAATAGTAATAGTGGCAAATCGACTTAATTGGCAAACACTTTTCTAAGATATGCAACATAGTCATATCCACCCTCAACGCCTTCCTTCTTGGGAAGAGTGGCCTTGAACATTTCAATGACAGCGGGCTGAAGACCACCGACCAGGAAGTTTTGTTCTGTGATGTATGACTGAGTTGAGAGAGAGGGGTGTGGAGAGTTTAGTAGGTGAAGATTCCATTCAAAGATATACTCAACAGCCTTTTCTACCTTGTCACCAGCAAGAGTCTTGAATGTAGATTTGAGTTGTTCAGGAGTAGTCTTGTCCTCTTCGACAGATCGCACGAAGGTAATGTACTAGAAGAACCCGAAACAAGTTGTATCAATATTAGTATACTCTGTCCTCATGCGAAAAAGAAGGGCTACTACAAAAGCAACATACCTCTTCGAAAGACACAATATCATCACCCTTGGAGACATCAGCAAAGATCTTGTCAAATTCACCTTCATCATACGTGTAGCCTTGTACTTGGAGAGCAGCCTTGAACTCGTGACGGGACAAGGTGTTTGAGTTGTCCTTGTCAAAGTGACGGAATGTTTCAGAGTATTCCTCCAATTGTTGAGGAGATACGTTGGTCATGGTTCGTGCCACGATCTGGTTTTGGATGAAGGAGGCCTTCTTGGATAATGATTGTGATACGAGACCCCAATCGAATTCCAAGTCGGAATGGTCATAGATGGTATATTCATTGTCTTCAATGTTTGCTTGGACGCATTCAGAGTTGAGGTTTTCAATGTCCTAGGAGTTTGACATCAGGGTGAGAAATTCAGTCACACAAAAAAATAGTCATGTTACGTACAACGAGATGAGTCTTCAATGGCTGCAACTTGGAAATCAATTGGTTTACTGCTTCCAATTGACCTTCAAGTTCTCCTTCAAGTGAAGCCAAAGAAGCGGAGATGCGTTCCAATTCAGCTTGGAATTGGTTGGCAGCAGTGGCGAATTTCTTCTTTAATGTTTCTTTTATTTCTCGAATAACAGAGGTGAGCTTTTGCTTGCGCTCTCCTTCTAGACGAACCAACTGAGTCCAAGAGCTCTCCATGTCCTATTTAGTGTTGTGACAATGGTGAGCAAAAACCTCACATAAAAGACAACATGATGTTCAGCTGGTGTCGTCACATCTTGCAGGTATCTCCCCCTCTATCAATATTAACGACACTTACAGCCGTAGCCAAACCAGCTGGAGGAACATATGGGGACAAGTTGTAAGTCTTGAGCTTGGTTTGGATGTTGCCCAAAAGAGCATCCAAGTCTCGTTTTTCAGCAACCCAACCACGCTTAGTGGTGCGCTTGTATTGGTCGAATTCAGTGAGTTGTTGCTTGGCTTCTGAGTATTCAGTAAAGTTGGATGACTTGGCCCAACTATTGATAAGATTCCATAAAAACAGCGTAGATGAGCGTGCATAGAAATGAATGTGCACTTCTTTGGCAAACATACCCCTTTTGAGTTTCCGAAATACCAGCCATAAAAGCACGAACGCGACGCTCATAATCATTCTGCATTTCCCAAGCAGCATGCATGACCTGACCAAACTGGCCAAGACGACGACCAGCAGTGTCCATCTTGTCCATGCCGCTGAAGGCATGGAAGTATTGAGCGACGTACGTCATGACTGATCGTTCATCAGGTTTTGGGACGTCGACCAAATCTAATCAACAACAAAGAAAGCCGTCTAGTAACAAGAGATAATTTGCAGATCAACTGTGTGCACCAAGTCACCTTCAGGCTCGAACAGCTTTGGAATGTTCAAGTGCTCTGCAGCGACATTCATAGCCAGAGTAGTGTTTTCGCGTTTGTTGCTCTTGTCCAAGGTCCAGTAGTCCAAGAGATCAGGACGATGACGGTGAATCAAGGCACAAAGAGCCAATCCGCTGTTCCATGAGAAGGTAAAGTCCTTGATGGCGAAATCAGCTGAGTATCTAGACATGACCAGATGATTACATTGTAATTAATGCGGCTTATGAATCCACGTTTTTTGGTTGTAGTTGCTGGGGTGAATGAACCTACGGTTGAGTCTTTCTTTGACACCACAAAAGGAGACCTTCCTTGGCGGTCAAACCTTCTTCACTGATATCAGCAATACTGAAACTATATATTGAGAGGCAGTGGAAGTTGATTGAGTCATCTTACTACTAATTGGGTTGCAGTTTTTTGCCTACCGAAGAATGATGGTCCAAATCAATCCCAAGATGAGTTTAGAGTTAGAGTCCACGATATCCTAGTACACACAAAGACACTCGTCAACAACATCATTCGAAATCAATAAATCTCACATAAGCACATACTTCAGCACCAATATTAGTCAAATTGACACCTCGTTTCTTAATAAACTCCAAGGCCTTGTTCATGTTTTCAATCTTCTGTAAACGCAACTTTGGGTGCTTGTTGTATTTGCCCAATGATTCATCTCCAATGATTTCTATTCCAAATTGACAAAATAGGATTCAGTTTGAATGTATTTTAAGTGTAATTCAAGGCGCGCGCCATTTTTTGTACCTAGCAGTTGAATTAAAGTTTCGCCAGATGATAGGTCAGTGGCCAACGACTTGATGGGAGCAATCTAGCAAAATAAAAGTATTAGTTTTAAGTAGTGTAGTCAGTATACGCCAGGTGTATGTCACTCGGGCTCCAAAATTGTAAAAACGTTCAAATGTTGATGAAACTCACGCCGCGGACAGCTAACTTGGTGCTGATCCAGTTGGCAAATGTCTACAATACGAATATAATCAGTACATCGAATGAAAAAATCAATAGATCAGCAACCCAGATGCTCGCCTTTTGTTGAATGTCTTCCCAACTTTTGTCTAGCACACGATATTGGCCATCGGGCTGTTGGTTTGCTGCAGCTGAAAAGGCCATTGTAGATCTTGTTCTAGATGCTGTATGCCCTGTTATTCGATTATTTCTGTTTCAATCCCTGGTTTTCTGGAATTCTTGTTTCTTTGAAAGTCAAGGTGCGTGGGAAGATTTACAGGCAATATCTTGACATTGAAAGCAAGAGAGAGAACTGTTAATTGGATGCTTGTAAATGACTAGTACGCGTCGCTAACCTCTGAAAGTCTCTGATCTGCTGGTTCTTCTTCTACGATACGACGGACGCAACGACCGCGTCTAACCTGAACCGCTGTTGCCATGCAAAACGGAAAGAGCTTCGCACAAACCTGCTTTCTTATCTTGAAATCACAACAACAATCTCGCCTGACAGGTCCTGGCTATAAACAGTCTAATTGATAAAATATAACATAACCTATTACACCACCAGCCTATTGAGATTGCGATGATTCCGGAAACGAAATATCATCATTCGTTGATGGAGACTCATTCAGAGACCTGCTCCTTGACTTCCACTTTGACACTGCTTTCAGTAACGTGAAGAGCCCACCAGCTGATATCGACTTGATGGCTTGAGCCAAGTCTTCATCAGTTACCTCATCACGTACTCTGCCACCACCCAAGTTGTCTTGTTTCGAAACAAGAGGTGCTCTGCCATCATCTGTAACCCATGGGTGTATCTACGTCGTTCAAGTTGAAGTTGGTTTGAATGGGATGTGAATGAAAAGAGAGATGGCAATATACATACCCGTATTTCATCCATCAGGATACGTTGATCTGGATCCTTTGTCATCCTACATTCAAGTGTTATTGTTGAGAGGACACACAAATCAACAGCTCAAGTGAAACGAAACATACAGCCTCCTTAGCAGGTCAGCTAGCCTTGGATCTGTCGATTCAGGAATCTCGGGACTAGAGAATGCGATGGTGAAAAAAGTGTGCAATGGGTACTCAATGCACGTATCACTTACGTGGCAGTTCGTATGTTCTCATAGAGGTCAAGTATATTGTTTCCTTCAAAAGGCAGTTTCCCAAACACCAGGCAATACAGGGTGACCTACGAAGATCAGTTCATCAACGAAAAACAAATAGTGGTAAGGACGAGAGAGGATGAAACTCACTCCCATAGCCCATATGTCTGTCGATTTGATATGCATTTCTCCATGTCCGGCTGATGGTCAAAGTGGCGATTAGACGTATATTGACATGAAACTGAAGTGGTACTCTTACCGACACACATTTCAGGTGCGAAAAAAGCTGGCGAATCAGGAAGTGAAGGTTTCAATATAACCGACTCTTGAAACCATTGACTACTAGTATACCTGGTGATCCAGCAGACCGCTTCGACACATCATCTCCCTTGGAGAATATCTGCGACACACCGAAATCAACAATCTTGAGTGTTCCATCTGCTGTTGTCATCAAATTATCTGGCTAGCGAGATTGGGGATTTGGGTGTATGATAAATGAGTGCAATGAATATGATTGGTTTGAGAACTCCAGAGTTAATACCTTGATATCTATTGAGGAATACGTGGTATGAGGTGAGCAACATTGGGAAAAAAAGTTACAAGGAAAGAGAGTGATGTACCTCTGTGTGCAATATCGTTCTCATGTACTGCGAATACGATCACATGTTAGTTGCAATGTGGAGAAACATGTCGCAACTAGAGTACTTGCAATATTCAATCCCAACGACGAGTTGTTGAAAGTACCTCCTCGCATCTTCCGTCGATAACGGTGTAGCAGTCTTTCCCAAACTAATGTCCATCAGTATACCACCAGCACAGAACTCTAGCACCATGTATAAAGAATCCTATATCGTTGTGGGTCGGCAAAAACCAGAGCCAAGTTCCAGAGAACGGATGCAAATAGTTCAAACACGACACTCCACGTACCTCAGCAGGATCATCCAGCACCTCGTACATCCGTATCACATTATTATGCCTCAATTTCTTGAGCACAGCGATCTCCTCCCGTATCATGTCAATAGGCTGAGTCTGTTCAGGTGGTGGTGCAGCTGGACGTGCGAAAAGACCACCTCTACCCCTTCCTCCTCTGGTACCACGTAATCCAGCAGATTTACTCATTTGTACTCTTCTTAGCTTTGATTTGCTACCAAGAAAGGAAGCATGGTGGTTTGCATTTGCCCGTGTCAAATGCCATAGAGATTCTCCATACCTAAACTCCTTAATCGCAACCTCCATATGAGAAATAGTATCATAGCCTCGACTAACGGTTGCATAGCTTCCTTGGCCGATTTGTTCCTTTAGTACGTACTAGTGTTTTGATCGTTTAAAATTTGAGTTTGCATTTCCGCATTTCCGCTGATTTTGATATGGGCCTGTTACCTGATTAATGGTTCTTTCTCCATCTCCGGTGTCATGATATGTAGCATCTAGAGTCACCGGGACCTCTCTAGTCACAATCTCGCTGTGCTCCTCCATTCTTGACACTGTATAAGGCATTTGATCAAACTGTAAATGATCTCGGCGATTACGAGGACGGGAGCGTCTTTCCGGGGAATCTCAAGTGAGGATCAATTCGAATGCAGTGTTGAAAATGCGCATCTGTCTTCAAACACGTTAATTGCGAATGCAGCAGGCAGCAGCAGCAGCTGACAGGTGGCAGCTGAGTTTGAAAAGTGCGCTATAAACTGTTCAGTCTTGCTAATTACATTTCATATTGCTTATATTTATATTTATGTCATTTATGTTACTTGCAAGCATGCCTACTTTATACAGTTACTACAATTATTCATGATACTTGCATCTGCGTAATATACAAAACCTTTATAGCGACTTCTCACCAGCCACCCACATTATGTACCAACTTTGCAACACCCTGGTGCAACACTGTGCCTACACTATCACTCAAAACTCAGCAACCTCACACACATACATCTGCACATGATCCAAACACCTTTGTATGCCCACACTATCAAAAGAAATGGCTATACCGTCGAATATTCCACACGCTCGAGTTCTTGAAGGATACTCCTTTCAAAGCACTTTCAATTCCCCGAGTGAGATGATCTGCATCGGTGCTGTTGATATCAAACAGATCAGCATTACCAAGGAGACGTACAACGGTGTCTCTCGAGATCGTCATCGTACAATTCCTGATTTCTATAGAAGATGGTTTCGGCACTATATCGTATCTGGATTCCACAGCCTTGACGAGGACATCACCATCATATTCTTTGCTTTTGGTGTATTCACCAGTGTTGATGTGCAAGGATTCGAGTTTTGGCATGTGTACAATGACGTCGGATAGCATCTCAGTGGTAAGAGATATGTTATCTGATAATTGTAGACGGGATAGGCGATTGCAGTATTGAATGATGGTTGATAGCAATCCAGTTTCCTGTAAGTCACCTATTATACTCAATGACTCGAATCGTTGGCCATGCTTCCTCACCGAGGCACTCAAGTCGATACGAAGGGCAGTGTTTGCCAATACACCTAAATGCTTCAAGTTTACACATTCGTCGAATACGGGATCAACCATCGCGTTAACTCCTGCAATGTCAAAGTATTCAAGAGTTGTCGAGTTGGATGTTACAAAGTCGGTGAGGTTGAGGACTGACTTTGACGATTGGTATATAAATGATCGAATCCCGATTCGCAGAGATTTGAGCTGTCCTGGTGTCAAAAAATTCTGTTTTGCAGTTGCACCACTACGGACACCCCGAATCTGTACATAGGTGAGATTTTCAAACTTGGCCAATTCATTCTCTAGTAGTGTCTCCATTGAGTATCCCTTTACAGCTAGTTTCTGGAGACTTTTACTACTACTTTGCGCGAGACTGCTCAAAACCGTAGGTTCGAGAGATTCCTGTTTCTGATAAACTTCCAAGTTTCTTTCGACAGATACGTCTGTCAAGGTCAGCATAGATACCACTTGTGCTATTTTGGCCAACGTCTTGACTGACGCATCTTTGATGTGTAATGTATTGATGTTTGGTGCCCGTTTAGCAACCGCATCCCACTTATACGTTGACTTTTCATGAGGAGGGAAATCCAAACTCAACTTCGTCAAAGCAGAGGGTATATCCCATTTGGACAATGCAGGCCCTTTGCCACTCAATTCGACATGCAAGGACCTCAATGACGGAAAATCTTCCAGACTTCCAAGCCATTCCAAATTATCCAGCGAGACAGCAAGCGCTTTGATATACTCGAGAGTGTCTTGTTGATAATGGCCATAGTATCGGTCTCGTATAAATGATAGGCTCTGTTGGAAGCGTGCGACTTTGGTGCTGCGACGACAATCACTGGTCAAGTCCAGTTCCAAATTATTATATATGCTGCTGCATGCGAGTCTGTTGAAGCATTTGCCGACTAGTGCGAGCTTGAGCAAACAAGCAGTTCGTGACATCTTGTCAAAGAGTTTGACGTTATCGAAGATTATGAGTAGTACATCGAGTGGAAGTCTGACGGCGACAGTCTTCCAGGATACTTCATGTACTTCCATGTTTGTTGAGTTATGCGTTGTGGTAGATGTCGTTCTGTAAGAAAGCATGTGCAGCATTATTAGGCTGATATACATCGAGTCAAATGCGAGTAAAGCGGAGAATAGAAAGCCTTACACGAATCAAAATCTATATCGGGTACTTCACAGTTATGAGCTATCGGTACAGCCGTCGTTTTGGCCTTCCTCATATACGCATCGCTACTGCTTGGTTGTTCGGTGAGTTTTGACAACACTGTGAACTGTGAAGTTGAACAAGACTATCGACTGCTAAATACATGCATTTAAGAGAATTTTCAGAGGATGTAGCAGAAATCGCTTAAAATGAGCTCATAGGACACGTTTTGGACCAAGCGAACTGGCAAACCAGCCAAACTTGTGAATGAGAAATCGACGAATGTCTCGTACCTAAGACGCCCGTTCATTTGGGCAATAGAAATATCAGTAAAGTAATGAAATCAAATAATTGGATTCGTTACGAGTCCGTAAGTATCAAAGTCAACTTCTCTGTTTATGTATCTTGCAACTGCGTCGGTGCATATCCACCAACAATCTTTCATAACGTCATTCCACAACACCACCTCGACTCAGCAGAATTACATTGTGAAGCTGTTCGTCCTACCAACTCCAACATCCAAGGCGACCTGCATGAAGTGATCTTCATCCATCCATATCCGCGACCCTGTAAAGGGAATTCCATTCACAACACCTGCGATTTTCTCACTTAGATCCTGAGTCATGTCTACAAGACCTTTCTCACTTAGATCCTGAGTGTTGTCTACAAGACCAGAGGAACCAAGAAGACGTACTACAATCACTGCCAAGACCATCAAGGTAAAATTCTCTTTCAATCGACAAAGGCCGGGGTACCATCTTATATCTGGATTCTAGAGCCTTGATCAGCACATAACCATCATCCGCACTTTGTTGTTTTCACCTTTGATGATGCACACATATTCGAGTTTTGGCATGTTGACGATAACGTCAGACGCCAGTTCAGTGCTGAGAAACGGCCTACCGGGTACGTGTAGATGTGTTAGGTGATTGCAGTATTGGATGATGGTTGATAGTAATCCTCTCTCCTCGAAATCCCCTACTATACTTAGCAAAAAAACAAAAAGTCACTATGAAAGGCGCCGCAACTCCTGATATTCCAAAACCTCAACAAATCAACAACTGACGTAAAAGAGGGACTAGGATTTGCGCTGAAACCACGAACCGTATATATACCACAATAGGAGAGGCATATGCAACATAAACGAACCGGAAATCAGTCCTTGTTGCCTGATCGATATCAGGTGATACCCATAGCCACTGCTGATGAACAAATATTGTACATATGGTCGACATATGAGCGATTCATTGGACTGGCTCTGTTTCCGCTGGTGGTGATGGCAGTTACGCCTTTATGGATACTTTGGAGGTCTCTTGAGCAATTTGCTGGTACGAGCATCAAGGCTTGTGTGAACGGATCATGTCCGGGGAGCTCTTATCACCTCCTGCACTCGTCTTGCTGTGACCACCAGCAGAGTTGGATGTCAACGCTGCACACGTTTTGTAAGTGCAAGATCTGTAGATCTTTTGCTTTATTTCTAATGCACTTTAACTCAGCACGCATCTTGATGAATCCATCCACCTATTCTAGTAGGTTCACAAACCAATCTGCGTCAGCTTCCTATGTTTCATCCACGTTGCAGGTTGAGGATGTCTTTGTCAACCTGAGTTCAGGTAGACGCCCATAGTCTCTGATGGACTCAAACTCCATGCATGCTGGGCATGTACTCAACGACAGTGGATGAAAGGGAGTACTCCTTGAGTCTTGGCCAGCATCGAAACTGGTACACATGTACACAGGCTTACACCATCATGAGCGTATAATGTTGGCACGCAAGGCGGATGTATACAGACTTACAAGGAAGAGGCCCATGTGGATACGCTGCGTGGTAAGCCACATTTCGATTCTCGATTGTTTTTAGTTGAAGCATTGCCGCCACTACTCTCATACAACATCTAGCGGACATCCCGTACATGGGAATCCTTGGAGGTACTACAGTCCCACACTATTGGGATGGAAGATTTAAAGATTTCGTTCAAAATTGGATGTCGCATATCACATCGACAACCGCTTCACCCAATAATACGGAGTGTAATGCTGGCAGTGCCGGTCCACAGCCCTGACGTGAAAACGCGGATGGCGCTCTATTTAAGAATTGTAAGTGTTTTGAGGTTGTCTAGTTGTACACTTTGACCTTCTTCTTTGTGTATCCAAGTATGTATTATGTATTGATCTTGTTGCCAAAAGCAATATGTCCCAACGTGAAACGCCTAACAGTTGTCCTTCTTGACTTGAAAAGCTTTCTGAAGTGCCTCAACCATGGTCTTGAACATGTCTTCAGTAGCTTCTGGGGTATGATATGGGCAATGTAACGACATAACTCAGTGCTAGTCTTCACTCCAACCCAAATGAATCCAAAAGACTCAACACTTACTCGAAGGCTTAATATTCCACGCGTGAATAGCCTTAGCATACACTTTATCAACAACACTGACACCTGCATCCAGCAGCGCCTGAGCATACATAGCACTATACTCCCTAAACACATCCAATTCTCCATACAGCACAACAGCATTTGGAACATATCCTATCTGCTCTGTGCTGCCATAAATGGGACTCACATACGGATGCCTCGCACGTGCAATCAGATCGTCGTATTTTCGAACCGGAGGCATATACGACACTGCCATGAAAAGGGCCACGAAGATCGGGATTGCGTTCTTGTAGATGGGAGAGTCTTTTGGATGGGCTTTTAGTTTGTCTCGATAGTTTGCTCTCAGCTCTGTTGGTGCGTAAGCAAGGATCTGGAGTTGGATTTTGGCTTTGGGGTTGTAGAGGTGTTTGCGATGGTGCGTCATTAAGCAGAGTACTATTTGTACGTTTTGTTGGAGTGTATGAGAAGAGAGGTTATAATGGTCTGAAGGATTCGAAAAAATTGTAGAAAAGCCTTTACCAGCAGCAAGATTAGCTCCTGCCGAGTAACCACCAACACCAATTCGAGTAACGTCGATATTGAGCGTGCTGATACCACCCTTGTGATCAACAAGCCATTTGAATAGGGCAAACAACTGTTCGGCAGCAGTTGGGAAACGTCTCTGTTGTTGATACGATGGTTTGAGAAATAGCGATACCCAAACAGTACAGCGAAACAGTATATGACTGACCTCTGGAGACTTGAGATAGTCCAGAGCAACCACGATACAGTTACAATTATCAGCAAAATGTTGAGAGGATTCACCATCCATTTCTGGAGTTCCAGCGAGGAAGCCACCACCATGCAGATAAATATAGACTATTAAATCGTCGTGAGATATTGCTCAGGGAATGATGTGAATGTGATGACCCGTTTTACCAGGCTATGCTTCCTTTCGATTCTTGTCACAACCGTTTGGATAGTAGAATAGCACTCGAGAAGCAATCGTTTCGTAAGCGCACACAGCGAATGGATTGTAGAGTAATACATCAATCGGTTTTGGCAAAAGCAAATCGAGTGTTTTCTGAATGTGTAACGATTTCGATAATCAAACTCGAAATGGTGGGCAAATGTATGATGATTACCTTCATAGCCAGCTCATTGCCACTAGACGGAACAATAAGCTTTGTCATCCAGCGAAGGTGTTTGGCAAATTCTACTCGAAAGAACTGCATCTTGGCCTTTGTAATTGTTGAATTGAGGCAGTTTTGAGTATTTGTTAAAACGACGCAACTAAGGAGAGAAGCAAGAATACAATGCACCGTACGAGACTTACGACAGGTTCTACCTATCCAGCCGTTATCCGTAAAGCTAGTGTGTCGTTCCGAGCTGTGAGAGACGTGAGGACGATTTGAGGTAACACCTTCCAGGAACAAATGAGATGAGCTGTAATTCTTGCTTGAGCCAAACTCCTGCCGATGAACACTCAAATGCATTTTAAAACAAATAATTGTACATGTATTTTCTACTAAATTACTAGTTGATACTAACTTTAGAAGGTGCTTCTTCTATAACCACTGGCGCAACGACATCCACCTGTTGCTTTAGATCAAACGCCTTCTGTAAAGCTTCAACCATGATATTCAACGTTTCTAGAATGGTCCCAATTTGATAGTCCTTGTTGTTCTTTGGAGTATAGTTCCATGCTAAAAAGCAATATTTGATTAAGACAGAGCAAAGGTTTGTCAACTTTAAATTACTTACCATGTACAGCCTTTTCAAAATTCCTATGCGTAACATCCACCCCAGCAGCCTTAAGCCTCTCTACATACATCTCACCCCAATAAGATAACGCATCCCATTGTCCGTTCAACACCACAGCATTCTTCACAAACCCTAACTGTTCCGTACTCCCATACAACGGACTCATAAAAGCACTCTGACTCATCTTCATCTTCGTATCCGTATCTGCCTCCTTATGGTAAGGATTATAACACTGCAAGAAAAACTCGATATTCAGTGGTGTTATCGACTTGCGAACGATTTCGGAGTTTTTCGGGTATGTGGATAGCTGTTTGGCATAGTCTGCTGAGAGGTCGAAGGATGTGTAAATTGGCATTTGGAGGAGGATTTTGGCGAGTGGGTTGTATGCGGTTTGGCGTGTGCATGCCATGTTGCATAGCACTGTTGTGAAATCGTGTAAGTCGGGGGGTGGGACGATTAAGATGAGGTTTTACCTGAAGCCAAGTTCCCACCAGAACTCCACCCACCAACAGCAACTCTCGCTGGATCTATATTAAACCTCTTCACTCCCTGCTCGGAATCAACGAGCCACGTGAAGAACCCAAAAACTTGTTCAACGGCTGCTGGCCATGCCATCTAACACCCAAAACGAATCAGCTTGCTACATAGCTCCATACAATAAAAACGGCCATACCTCAGGCCCTTTAACATAATCCAAACTAATCACAACACATCCAGCCTTTTCAGCAAACGTCCTACACACTACAGCATCCATTTCCGCCTTTCCTGCCATATATCCACCCGGGTGCATGTCTATATAAACGGGATACCCCGTCTTGCGAGCTTGATCATAGCCAGGAGGATAAAACACCAATATCCTCGTTTTCAGTTTTTGGTATGCACATACGTCGGTCGGGTTGAGCATTAGGGCGTCGATTGGATCCGGAACGTTGACTTCAACATATTCCTACGACACAAGTCGTTAGACTATTGGTGCTGTGATGTTGTTTTGCGGGCTTTATAAAAATGTTTGGATTTGATGTTGTAGCAAACCTCATGCAGGTTATCGAAAGGACCACCGGCTCGTCGGACAGCAATGTAATTGAATACGAGTCTGTATATTTTGGCTGCGAGAGTTAGGAACACTGACGGTCGTCTAATACAACGAAACTGGCGTAAGAAAAGGAGTCCGAAGATTGCGAAAGCTTTGTGAGTTCATGACTTACGGAGGAGATTTGGACTTTGCCATGATGTTAGAGCACAGACCGATAGTGTATGTGAGGCTCTCCGACGTGCAATGGTATTCCTTTTGTGATGCCTCTGTGCTAGGCTTGATATCCTTGTTGGAGAGATCGACGTGATGAGTCAAAAGGCAACCAAGAAAAGACGGCACGGATAGGTACATAGAACTACCATCCGTTCATTCAAACTAGTACATCAATACTCTCCTAAACATGCAATCACCAAAACCGTGCACCACATAATGACCAAAGCCACAGTATATTCATATGAGAACATAATAATACTCGCTGAACGAGATTTCTTACTTATATATATAGAGTTTGTTTTTCAATACAAAGCCTTGTGAGAGACAGACTAAAAACTTGAGACTTTAAGATGCAAAGAATAGAGACTTGAGGGTCCTTATTGGGCTGCTGGTGTTGTTGTGCTGGTGGTAGTGGATGACTTGCCCTTACTGCTTATAGCAATGCCACCTTCCTTCGTCTTCCTTTCGTAATAGGATAGGACAAACTTTTTGATTTTGGACTTCATTTCTTCAGTCATCTTCATGGGTGGACCACCCTTTTTGGATTCCTTTTCAATGGCACCATATGTGAGCTATGAGTGAGTTGAGTTGTGTTAGGTGTTCATTTCAAAGAATGACCGATAGCTGCTTTTGTGCAATTACCTTTTTGGCGAGATGCTTGAACTGGTCTACTGTCATTTCCCCTTTATGCTTACTCAGTGCCTTGGTCACCACCTTGGAAACCTACAAGTAAACAGTTCCAAAATGTCAGTTGAAGTTGTTCGCCCAACAGCAAAAAAAGCAACATGGCTTGATAACCGATGCGTACCTCTTCACGTAATGCCTTCTCAGCAGCCTTATCAAGCACAGCAGGCTTGGAATCATCAGCAACATCCATGGCATCAGCATTAATAACGTCCTCTTCCTTGGCCTCTTCAACAACTTCCTCAGGCACCCAATCCGGATTCACGCCACTCAATGCAGGTGTAAGGCCACCACCGCCATCCATCCATGGTATTCGGGGGGTCGCTATACTACTACCTCCCCTCATGTCCCATGGCGTATGTATCGAAGATGGAGTCCATGATGATGCCGGTTGTATTATTGGATAGGCCGAGTTGAATGTTGTTAGAGATGGTGGTAGTGGCGGCAGGACTAACGGGGAGCCATACGGTCCCATATCGTAAGCAGGAGGTATAGATGGCGGTTGTGCGTATCGGTTGTTATTACTCCAGCCATCAGTTACTTCTTGTTCTGTTGAGTGGTGTGTTGATGTTGTTGGTGATGTTAAATTATTATGTAATGAGGATGGCCGTGGCTGTGATCCAGGTCTTGAATGCGGTGAATCGTTTATATAGTCATTACTACTGTTCTTGCTACGACTATCGTCGTCTCGAGGCGTTCGAGTGCCATTGTTGTCTTTTCGATCATAGTTTCGTTTATAGTCTCGATCTCTGTCTCGGTCTCGATCACGCTCTCGATCTCTTTCCCGACGATCATAATCTTTCGAGTATCGATCATAGTCTTTGGAGTCCTTCCTGTCATTCTTCCACTTGTCTTGCCGTCCTAACTTGTTGTTTCCAAACTTGGACAGTTTTGACGGTAAATCGTTGTCAACATCATCTGCGGCTCGTTTCACACCTCCTGCCGTTTCCGCTGGTGGTACCTGATTGTAAAGTAGTGAACAGTGAGTACTTGCCGTACATCTATCCATGGATAATCTTTTTGGTCTCCACTTACTATTCTCTTCTTCTCAATCTTGACGCTAGTCTCCAGAGTAGCCCAAGTATGCGATAGCTATTTTGTGACAACAGAGAAATGGTGAGCAAAAAGTGTTCATTTGAAAGATGAAAAACGGTCTACGAGAACCGGAATACTCACATCAAGAGCAAGTCGCATGACTTCTTGATCTTCCGCTGTCTCAGCAACCTTGTTAACCATCTCGTCCAACTTAACAGCTTCCACTGAATTCTTCTGAGTAAAGTTGAATGCTTTCAGTATTTTCATGACCTAATTATTGTACGTGAATTGTTAGACAAACAAACAAAAACTATGAAGGATATGCGATCATAACACACTGATTTACCTGTATTGCGAGTCCTGGTTCAGATTTGAGAGAATTTGAGAGGGTGATTTTCAGAGCGAGCAGACCGCGATAGTATATGAATAGACGAGTAAGAGTTTGGGACGTTGATTGTGTAGCCTAAAGTAGGTATCGGTGAGCAAAAAGAATTCCTATTCAAGCATTATGTTGTAACCTACTTCAAGTCGCCGCAGCCATTTCATTGCCTTGCTTGCGTTATTCTGTGACATTCTCATGAGGTATCGAATCAGCCTGACTATATCTTCCTGTGACTCCAAGGCTCTGTCGGATTTCTACAAATATTGGTGGAACAAAGAGGTCAGTCTATTTGTTAACTTGGTGTTCTCAAAACGCAAAACGTACCCTGACAGTCTCATCGTCATCGTCATCATCTTCATCTACATTGGCCAATCTAGGCTGATCCGACAAGCCATCGATCACTATACAGTAACGGGCAAGTAGTTAGTACTTAGGGTGAGGCCAAGAGAAAGGTTCAAACCAGCATACTCTTGGACTGTTTGGTTCCTCCGATGAAGCCTTTGCACACCTCTTCACCACAATAGCATGGTTGTGCCTTTGTCCTAGAATGGGCGCAAAAACGATTATAATAAATCAACAACATCATCCAACTCAGGACGTTCAACTTACCCATATCTCTCAAACTTGTAATCAAAAGTCAATTCTGTACCAGCTGGTACATCCTTTATGGTGAATATACCGATTCTCAACTTTGTGCCCACCAACCATTTGTGTAATATACAGTTTGGCACACAACTATGATTTATGAATCGAGAGTAGTTTCCTTTCTTCTGTGCATCAATAAACTAGAGATATACCGTATATGTGGGGGCTGGTTAGTATTATGCAACCTTGTTTTGTCGAATCCAACTTTTTTTGTCAAGAATATGAAAAGCTCGCGGATAACAGCTAGAAGAGTTAGCGCACCTCATCTGACTTGAGACTCATGAAATAAAAGTGTTTTTTGCCCTGATCGTGGTAGTCCTGCGTCCTTTTTATGAATAGCGTTGTCGGTATGACTTCTCCAACATATTCTATCACAAACTGGCCTCTTGTCAAGGGCTGGCGAGTTCTCATGCCATGGCCTTTCTTTTCCGTCAAGAAAATATCTATATCAGCGTATTCTTTCTGTTGGAATCTATGCTACGGGCATTAGTTTCTCGAGTTTTTTTGTTTTTATGTGACAACTCTCCACGCCCAACAAACCTCTGGTTTTGACAATGGACTCCAGAAGGACAGTCTCTGCTGCATTCGATAAAAAGCTCTCGGTTGATGCAATTGGAATGTTCACCGCATGCCGAGTCAGGGTCAGCTGTGAGTTGGGGACAAGAGAGAGTGTTATATGTCGATGTGGGCTGTCCTCAACTGTCGAGACGAGATTTGATGCAAACGAATGCTCAACCTCTTGTTAAAGAGGGAAGAGCAGTGACCCACCAGGATCATATCGACATGAGCAGGTCATATATTCTTCTTGGCCATGTTTTCCATTAGCACCTCCCAAGAAGTAGTTCTCCTGAATTCGAGTGAATAGTGAAGATACGTCGGCCGAGGTCTCTCTCATTTTGAGCCTAGAATCGAAGCTATGGAAGATGATTTAGATCGGGATCTCTTTAATGCTTTCCAACGATTAAAAACATACGTCTTCCTTAGTGTTTGTTCGATTCTTGGAATTTTGGTGAAGTTTGTCTTAGGGTTTGTGATAACGTAAGCAATTACTAAGGCTAGGCTCCAAACACTTAAGGATTTTTTTCTTACCGAAACTAGCAGCTACCACAAAAACCTAGTGACGGATCACGTTAGGATGCCTGCGCCCACGTCTAACCTGAAGGCTCAATTGCAGCAACTGCAAGACAGGAGCAAAGTCATCACTCGGGATGCTATTGCTCAACCTTCATACATTGGCGATCCTGACATAGACAGGGACACTCTCCATGCTCTAGCTCTACAAGCTCTCCAGGAACTTACGCTGAAAGATCAACGATTTCAGGCTTATGAACTGACTCTCTTCTCGGATGCTGTCAAAAATCTGGACAGAACATTGCTGGTAGAAAAAAAGATCTTTGAAGCTAACGTTCGGAAGAGATCGTTGATCTAACGGCATTACTGTTATAGACACGTCAAGAAAATGATCTATTGGACGCTAGTATCTCTGGGTTGTTGCAGCTTTTGTCAAAGTACTTCTTGGAAGCTTCAGCTGCTCCAGTTCTAGAATGGCTCGTCCGTCGATTCAGGTAACGCGTCTAAGCAATTGAGATTCGCCTTTTGATCAATTTGATGCTGATCCTCATTCGTTATCATAGTGTACATCGCTACAATGTAAATCAAGTGTTGGAGGCCATCGTTCCTTACCATGCTACTCCCCAATTCGTCCGAATGCTCGTCATCCTCAACTTGCAGTACGTATGATCGAGATCAAATCATTCCACGCTCGAAGCTAATGCGGTTTTTTGCTGGTTAGTGGTGAGAACGTATGGACCTTCCTCAAACGTGCTCAAAAGGCAAAAGTAGCACCAGATCGCACATTCTTCTTACAAGAATGCCATAAGCATCCTGCTTTATTGCAGACCTTTGTTGAAACAGTAGGTCTCCGTGTTCTCCGTGGTTTCTTCTTCCCTTTTTTGTGCCACAAAGACTTACATCCACGTCACCTAGACACTAAAATCAATTGAAAACGGAATCGAAAACGTCGCATTGTGGTCATTCTTTGCTGCCTTGTTGATGGAATACCTTTCATCTACCTCGGAGGTGACAGACAACACTATTCGTAATATATCGCCTCTGCTCTTTGAGTTTCTGAAAGCGACCCGTTACCCAGACGTTCAGGTAACATACTTCATAATCAGGCCTGTTTTTTTTCTTCTTACCTGTTTGATGTTTTACTAGACTGTCGCGTGCATGTCATTTGCATTGATGCTACGTCGAGTGCCAGTCATTCCAACAGTCACAACATCAGTCTTGGAAGCTATGGCATCTGCCATTCCATCATCTGTCGATTTTGGAATCTTGACTGCTATGGTGTCGATATGTCAGACACAGTCTAATGTGGTATTACCTATTGAGGCAATCAGCAGAGCAGCTCAGTCAGAGTAGGTATCCTATAAAGTTCTTTTTGTTGATCCTTACTGACTTATTCTGTTTCTTTTTCGACAGAGGCGTCATGGAATTATTGAGCCAAGTCTGTGAAAAGTACCAGGCTGACGCATTCGTTATTCCTTTGACGAGTGTTTTGATTCACGAAAGGTGTGGTGTCAACAGAGCCCCGACAAAAAAAGGAATCCGCTGATTTTTTATCTTGTTCTATAGATTGCAAGAACCTCTCACCACCTTGTTGCACTCAGGACCAGCTTCGCCTGATGTACTTGAAAACATCGTCACGGAACTATCTCGAGTCTCACTGAAAGACACCAAGAATGCAACTATGGTGCAAGCTGTTCTTAAGGCAGCTACAGTCAAGCATATGTCTGAACTTATGATTTGTATGGATAAACAGCAGTTCAAGAAGGTCTTTGTGTCAGTGTATCGATTGGCAGTCAATGTACGTTTGCCATTGCCAAATCTTATCATATGGATTTTTTTCGCTTGCTAAATTGTATTCACTAGTCAACCATTCCCGACGGAGGCATGACAATTGCTGCTCCTGATATTGTAAAGCTTAATCATCAGGACAAGCATGTCCGTATTGAAGCCATCAAGAATCTAGACAATGTCGAATATCCAGCAACTGAATTGACTGAGGTCATCCTCCCACGATTGCACGTTTCCGAGAATGCAGACGTCATACTAGCAGTCTTCAAGTTGTCCTGTCTTGACCAGATGGATCAAGATAAATTGGCTGACGCCATCATCAAACTAGCAAACACCACAACCGATACTCCTATTCTAAAAGCATGTTTGAAACGACTGATCAAATCGCATGCTGGATATATGCCTGCTATGTCTGTCATTGCTGCATCCTTGTTGGTGACTCGTGCATCACGAGGCGTAACAATCTCGACGTTGAAGCTGTTGAGTGAGGGACTATGGATGACTCCTGATGCAGCCAAAACTATTCATGATGCACTGCAAAAGGCCCATGTAGAATATAAGGTTGCCAAGGATAAGACGGTATTGGACGATGCTGTAGCATTTGCTTTGAGAAGTATCATCACGAATATGGCTAGTGTTGTATCAGATGCCATCTTGAAGGAGTTGTTAGTGTGTAAATTGCCTCGTGCTCGTATGCTGGGTATGCTAGTGACGCTCAAGAAACTATACCATGGTAATTCACGGATCTTCCCCAAGCAGTTTTTTTGTGCTTACTCGTTTTTCTCACTAGTACCCGGTGATGATCAGTCAACCTGGATGTCGATTCTGCTAAAGCACGTATCTGCGCCAATAGTCGAATGCGGTGGTTGTATCGAAGGTCTCCCAGCGCTGAATGTCACACAGGCTGTATTAGCACTCAATCCTGAACACAGCGAAAAAGTAGAATCACTCATTTCGTCCATGATTTTCACATCTATGCTGTCTGTACTTCCAAGACCTTTGGAAGAGGTGTCGTGGTTATCGCCAAGTGACGATGATAAGGTATGCACGTGCTTCTTTAGAATACAAAGATGCCTACATCGTTTTTTTCTCATCGACTTCTAATAGGTTTACTGTGATCTCGTATATGACTTGTATCGTGTGGCGTCTGCTTCAAGCGCCAGACCAAGCGCTTTGAAATCTCTATTTGAAATCCATGTTGGTCAATCAAATGGCAGCCTGCCATTCTTGTTTAGATTTATTCTACATGATGGTAAGTGAATGCATTCGACAAAAATACGAACTGCTAAACTGTACTAATAGCTATTATGTTAGACATGTCGACCACATCATCTCCTTTTGTATTGGCTACAGCTCTAGCCATCGTATCATCGTACATCCACTCCACTACAGAAATCGAGGCTCTTGATCATCAAGTCTTGTTACCTGGACTCTTTATTGCCTTGCGACACGCTTCTGTGCTTGTACGATCTGCAGCTCAAGCTTGTATCAAGGAAGTTTGGACCAGTTATCAATCTCTTGACGTAAACGGTCCCCGTGAAAGACTTATTGCAAATGCTGGTTCGTTTTATGGATCCAGAAGTGGTGAGTTCAAATCGAGAAAAAGCGTATCCGCGGACTCGATCAATGTGTCTGAATCCACTACTCCTGTTGTAGATCAATTGCAATATATCGAGACTCGACAAGCATCTAAACTTGTCGAACGGGTCATGCCATATTTGCCAGAATGGTTTAAAGATCGTGATGCTCTTGATACTCAATTTGGCGATTTCTTGTTGGATGTAGCTGATGGTGTCCTTGAAACAAGGTATTCTTCGTAATCCTTCTATCTCTTTTTGCCATTGCATCTCAACATTTCCAAACAAACAGAGACCAGCTGGTCATGTTTTTCTTGACTCATGTATTGGCATTGTCTGATCAGGCAGCTCGTTGCTCTGTCCTTCGACTCCTTGAACGAATCGATACGCCCATTAAACTCCAAACCGTCTTCCCATTATTGTCGTCCGCTGTAGAATCTAAATCAACGGAGCTAGCAACCGCCATCTTGAAATGCTATACACCATTATCAGTATCTTCCCTATCCTCATCACGTAGTAAACGACACATGACAGGATACTACAAGTTGCTCGACAATGAAGATACACAACGCAGCGCTCTAGAAATATGTACTCCTATCTGGTATCACGCTTTACGAGAGCCTGCAGTCCAACATACTCTATTCACTCGATTGGTGGATTTGGCTGTTGTAGCACCATCACAAACCGCATCACTAGTTCGATCAACTTTATCAGCATTGCCAATCCCTGTAACGGACTTTAAAGCTGATTTAAAGACATCCGTTGATGCTCTTGTCAGTCAATATGCACAGGCTCTCAAAAAGTCACGAGTAGATGAAAGTGGTGGTTCGAATGTAAATGTGGCGAAATTGACGATTTTATTGGAGTTGATACCACGATGGAGTGATATAGCTGCTCAGTTACTCGATGTTTTGTTTGAGGCTTTGGCATTGACGATTGATGTTGAGGATACTAGTCTTTCCACCGATTATCTCCGCCAGTTGTTGTTGTCTGGGATCTTGTTGGCTGTTGAGGTATTATGCTACTACGTGGTTCCTTTTTGCGCCTGTGGTCTTTAACATCCCATGTTTTTCGAATAGCGCACTACAAGATGGGGAAGCGTTCGTATAGATTTGGTTGTTCAAAGCATGAGAGGTAACCTGTGATTGGTCAACACACTAGATTTGGTTTTTTTTGGCTAAAAGTACTCGAACTTTTGTTAGTCACGGACAACCCACAAATCCATCAAACATGTCTATTGATCTTGGCAGCACTAGCCAAGAGTTCTCCTGAAGACATAGTCCACAACATCATGTCGGTGTTTACGTTCATGACAAACAACCTGTTGCGTGTAGACGACAGTTATAGTTTCCATGTCGCCGATCAGTTGGTGGAAGCTGTTGTGCCTAGTCTTATGCGTCATTCCTCTCAAGAAGGTAAGAATTTGAGGTGTTGTGGAAACGTTCCATTTATTGCGTATTGCGATGTGACTTTGATTGCTTTTAGCACTATCGGACATTATTCAACTCTTTGTGGATGCCATCCCACATATTCCTGCTCATCGTCGTGTTCCGTAAGTCACAATGCAAATTTTAAAACAGTTACAATGCAAATGTTGAATCAAGAGTTGAGTTTCCTGACTATTTTCTTTGGCGTAGATTGTTTGTGGTACTCCTCAACACAATGGGACCTTCCGAGTATCTAAGATTGGTGATTTCTTTGGCCATGAAGAGTCATCAGTTTTCAGTTAGTCTGTCAGTGCCAAGTGAAGTACTACCAGCATTCTGTATAGAGGTTTCGAGAGAGTTTGATGTTCAGGTTATTTTGAAGGTAAGTTTCGAGAAGCAAAAAATCCTAAGTTTTAAATATAGGATTTGACTTGTTTTCATATATTTTAGTCATCCGTTGTGCTATTGGAAGATGCGGAAAGGTATTTCTGTCCAACGGTCTGTGCGAAAATGTTTTTTTGCTAACGGTTGTCCTACCCTCTCAGCAAAACCGATTCGATACAATACGTATCCACCATTCTCGCAGACAGGTCGTTTACAGAGAAAGTGCCATCAGCATTCGACACTGCATCCATGTCTTACGCTCAAGTCATGGAATTATACTCAACAGTGTGCAGTCTCTTGCTGATTCGAACTGAACAATCTGCTAAACAGTCGTTGGCGGTATTGAGTCGTGTTGTGCCTTTGTCGTCATACATGGAAATGGCTTCATCATTGTTTAGTCGTGTGTCTGGCAAGGTAGGAAGTGTCTGAACAACCATAATGCGCTAAATGATTTTCTGATCTTTTTGTTGATTTAGACCAAACTTCGCGTGATTTCATCGCTTCGTGAAGCGCTTGTGGACCGATCCGAAGAAGAATTGAGAACGAATGCTGATGCTGTGAATGTCATGATTCAAGCATTGGAGAAGTCTGTTATGACGAAAGAAAAGGTTGGTGTATCATGATTTGTTTCACTGCAGGCTCTCCGTTGTTAACCCTGAAATATCTAGATCACATCCTCGTTACAAATCACCATGGAAACATTCGCTACAGCTGTTACGCGACTTGGCAAACTCTTTCCAGATGTTTATTCCACTCTCTTGTCAAATATTGTTAATACGTATTTGGAGAAATGGACAGTTAATTCGGATGTGCTTGCTGCCGGATATAAGCTTCTTGCTGCCTTGTGGTGAGAATTTGTTAAGCAGCGCCATCCATATTGTTTTTTGGTTATTAACATGTCAATGATTCAATAGCCGAGAATTGGGACCACGAACCATCCCATCATTACCTAAATTGATTCCTCAAGCGCTTACTCTTGCTGCCGAGGACGCTCATACTGGTAGGCTATCCACTGGACTTCGTTTCCGTTTTTTTCGCTCACTTCCATTTCATCAATCTAGACTCATCATCTGTGCATGAATCGGTTGTATTGCTCATTGACACAACCATTCGAACACTCCCTAAATTCGTTGCACCATCCATACCACACATGTTGGATTATTTGGCACTGAAGCATTCTGGGGTATATTTCCAATTTTAATTTCTTTTTGGTTCTTGTATTGAGACCTAATGCTTTTAATATCTTACAGGCTGTATATCGAGCATTGGGTAAAAACATTGAAGCAACAGTGCTTCTGAAAGTAGTATCTTCTCGAACCATTTCCACACCAATGGATGGATTGGTTGCCATTTACGTATTGAATGAGATCACAGCCCATTTGTCGATGGAGGACTTGACATTACAGAATCAAGCCATTTTACAATTGTATCTTCGAGCATTTGATGTCTCTGATGTGGGTACCCTGCATTCATATCTCTATAGGATGCGTTTTTTTGCGCCCATCATCCACTACTAAAATGAAGTTTTCTTTAAATAGGCCGCATCATCTCAAAGAATGATTGATTCCATCATCCGCTTCATCATGAGATTAAATGAAACTCTCTTCAAACCTCTCTTCCTCCGAATTCGGTACTGGGCATTATCAAACAATACGCCCTTGTTACGAAAATCTCTCTTTTGGAAACTTGTATCAAATCTCTTGGACAAGCTGCAATCCATCTTTGGTGTATACGTCGTACAGATCTTGGACGAAGTCAAGGATGCTTTTGAAAGTGAGAAAAAGACCAAGGAGTTTGATATCTTGTGGAGTGATTTGTGGTCTGTCATGAGGAAGTTCTTGATTCATTATACTGATGGAGGTACGTGGTGGACTGTAGTTCACATTCAAAGGTATTGTGGCGTCGCTTTTGAGAATGGATTGAAACTCTTTCAAATTCTTTAGCTCTAGCATCACACATCAGTCCATTGATATCTTTGATGGTTGATCAAATCATGTATACTCAAAATGAAGATTATTTGGTATGCAAGTTTTCCTCTATGCTGATTTTTTTGCTATGGGTCCAACTTAAACTCTTGTCTTTCACAATATGCAGGTCAAGATGTTTGAAAATGTAGTACCTACTCTTGGCCAGATGGCAAACTCTCTCAAAGACCAACCTTTGTTGAGAACCTTGCATCAGCAAGTATTAGCCAAGACTCGTCACGACAATTCTAAGGTTGGCGAAATACTCGTGCATATTTGACACCTGTTGTTTTGCTCACATCAAGCCCAATTTCATAGGTTCGATTAGTAGCCGTATGCTGCTTAACAGAAATGTGGACATCTGCTGGTGAATCCCTTCATGTCCATCTGCCTGAAACTGCACCCTTCTTGGCGGAATTAGTGGAAGATGATGATGAGCAGGTTGAAAAGGCTACTAGACAATTGTTGAACCAAATGCAGACATTGTTGGGATCTGACGAGAAGATCGAGGATCTTATAACTGAAGATTAAACAAGATGGGTCGCTTATGTAGTAAGCGAAGAATAGAGTTTTACAACGTGAATGGTAGTGGAATGTTTTCTACAATGCGATCGCTGATGCGAATGGTGGCCTCCGTGTTCATAACGACTAATTACGTAGATTAAAAGCGTTTCTTACGTTCGCTTCTGTATCTCATCATTCGTTGCGTACCATCAAATCCACCAAACAGACGCGATAGCAGTAATGTCAGTTTCAGCTCTATTGCTGGCAGTTCGAGACAATACGCTTACGGGCCATCAGCTCCTATTCAGCTATCCTGCAGTACCAGAACGTAAAAATGCTCCTAGGTCTCGTCCTCGAGCAGCATCAACATCAACTGGAAAAGCAAACAACAGAAACAACCATAAGAGTAACAAGCGTAGTAACGAAGATGAAGGAATATTAGGATTTGATGTTGATTTCCTGTCATCAGTACTCTCTCCCAAGGTATTTCATTATTGAGTTGGTCGTTGATTCGTTGCCATTAAATGTGACAAAAATCCAAACACGTTATTTGCTAGGCTTCGTTATGTGATGCCAAGTTGGAGATATCTGTGGACATGGTGACTTTTGTAGCTCAATCTACGTTATTGACTAGTGGTGGTGTCTCGCATGAGTCTTCATCGTATGTGTTGGAACCAAAACAGTTACTTCTTGGAGTGAATGAAACATCTCAAGGGTCTGCTTTATAGAAACATCAACCAAGATGATGTATCCGCAGCATCAGTATCAGATGGTGAAGCATCACCCAACGAAACTAGGCTGACAATGTTCACCTTGGCCTTTGCTATGGAAGCAGACGATCCTATGTCATTCGGACGACAAGTTGCTGCTGCCCATCGAGTCATATCCAAAGTCGCAATGGCATTAAAGGAAGAACAACTCAAGAATGATTACGTATTGCATGAAATGGAAATCATTCTTGGGATACGTGAGACGTTTGATGATAATCCCGAAGGTGATTGATTCCCTTTGCGCTGTAGTATTGCTTTTTTGCATCTAACGCAAATTCGTTTCATTTAGAACAAGTTAAAGAAATGATTAAAAAGAGCTCCTTGGCTAAAGCTCTCGCTGATGTATATACCTCCTACACGTCATCAGACGCATCATCATATCCACCACAGGGTCTAAGACCATATCATGCTCTACTATTATTACATGATCCCGAAGAGATATTAGCAGATCTCCCACCACCAGGAGTATTGCAAAGTCTCTATCCACGTGAACTCGCAAATCTAATACCACTCGTTACACCAACACAATCATTTGCTGAATTATCTGACAAGTCAAGATATAGTATGGAAGTGCTGTATTTGCTAGCTGGGCATTTGATATTTTGGAGGAAGGCTAGGATTATTGATGCGATTAATTTGAAGAATATCTATGTGTTATCGAGTCAAGCGGGGTAAGAAGCTTCTTAATCTAGATTATATGGGCATTTTTTGCATGCGTACCATGCTGACAGAACATCTTGGTAGAATGGACGCAAATCTGTTTAAAGAAAGTAGAGCCCGTTTCCCTAGATTGGATGTCCTCAAATTCTTAAGTGATTTATCCTTCCCCCGACCATTATCTCAGGTCGTACCTGCCAAGGAACAGCAAGCTATGCATTTAGAGTTAGTAACTTACCTGTTGAGGCGAGGGCTGTTACGTCAGGTAATAGCATGTCTTTGATTGTTTATTTCCTTTTTTTCGTCATGTGAATTCACACTACTTGTCTTGTCCTCCAATTTTCGCGACAACAGCTACACCTATATCTGAATCTGCTTCCAAGCAGTCAGGATATTAATCGCTCCGATTATGCTAGGATGATTGCCCGTACACTACGACCATCCTTCATCCCAATGTTTGAGCAACTAGTTCATTACATGGATGGGAAGCATCACTTGGAAGAGGTCGTGTTTCTGGAGAGTCTGTCTCGACGGGATATCAAGAAATTCCTAGCGGCAGTCCCCGAAGTCATCACCATATTGCACTAGTAAATCGTTCATAACAACCAATGTTTTATTTGCAAGTTTTTGTCATAATATAATGACTGTAAAATATACTTTTTACTTGAGCTCTAATTAGCAGAAAAGTATGTTAATAAGACTTTGCAAATTGGCGAGGAAAAAAGACTATGATGAGGGATGAACTTACTCTTCTTGGGTCGCAATTGGTTGGAGTGACCACACTTCTTCTTTCTACAGTTAGTGGCACGAGGAGGTAATCGAGCGTAACACCTTGAAATATAATTGTGTGAGTTTGGGATTGATTCTGGTACTCTATCAAAGCAGCGACACCAACACCACCAAGACTCACTTGCGGCAAATCATCTTGTCACAGTTGAACTTTGATGCCAGGATCTTCAACGATGGTTCAATGACACCACCTCGTAAACGCAGCAAGACGTGTAGAGTTGATTCTGATTGGAGAAAGCGTTGGATCAGCCATTGAAGTAGATACCCTCTGATTCATCTAGACGACTCCTCTACCTTTTTCGATGGAATAATCAGCCAAGATGTGTCCATCTTCCAATTGATGACCACAGTGAATCAATCGTAGAGCTTCAGCAGGTATTCCCTGTTACAAATCGTCAAGTATCAATATACTGATGGCTATGAAAATGATATAGTTCTAAATGAATCACCTCTCGCTCTTGTACTTGGAACTTTACGGCCTAAATTTAAGAGAGCTTTAATGTCTGGGAATGTTGATGATGACGCTCCAATTTCAAACAATTTACCTCGACAGTGTCGAGAGAGTCGACATTCAGAGTCTTTGTCTAATGATTAATGAACTGGATCAGTCTCACTGCAACTTCATGTCTCTGCAATAGGTTGATGTCGGCACTTACCAAACCCTCAAGGTTACGAACGAAGATTTGCTAAGGGAGATGGGTGAGAAAGGGATTTGAGCATCATTTATATATCTATGAACACGTCTGCTTCTTACCATGATTGCAACTTCGTCTCCTTTCGATGGATGTAAGCGATGAAAGTGTGGATGTCTCAAATAGAGGATGACTAAGGGCTTACTAACTGGAGCGAGAGTCGATTTACTTGAAGGAGGGGCCAAGAAGCGTGTTTTCGGGATACATGGCAATAATTTCACACGCTTGACGTAGGCTTTCACTGTTTCTAGCTCTGTTCTGCGTACCTTTAAGAACGCAATGTCAAAAATTCAAAAATTGAATGACTCCTTTCGAGGAGAGTAAGTACGGATGCAAAACAATCGATCGATTTTCGCTACAATTTCTTGTATATTTAACTTTGTTACATCCAGTAATAATGGCAAATATGTGTTGCTATTAGTGATTGCGTCCCTTCAAACGGATGTCGAATGATGTATCATAGACTGTACCATTAGAGCTAACCGCGTCCAGTGCAAATACAATTATTTTCAAACTAATCACGATCGCTGTAGTAGAGAGATAATAATTCGCTTTGCTCCTCGTGAACTAGAGCCTGAAATATCCGAGCAAACAATTGACAAAACGAAGACATAGAGAAGCACAGAGAGACACAGCGGAATATGACATATCAGAGAAGCACAATGTTGCTTACGTTAAAGGCCAAGCTGCTGAGGTTCCTGCTTACCAGGACGTGGATTAAAGGACACGGAACTGTGGAGCCGACATCAGTGGTGAGAAAACAGTTGGAAGTGCGGTGATTTCGTCCCCATTAGGTCCACCTCATCTGACGATTTTCACGGTCTCTCCAGGAATACATTGACATATCAGTCCCGAATCCAATCGATGCACTCCTAAAAAATCCAAACGCTGAATGCTCCTACAAGGCTCTTCCTACAAGAATCTTGATCTTTTTTCCAGAGAATTACAACAAGCTGAGACAAGAATCTTGGCCTGGTAAAAAATGTTTACGATATCGACACTTTGTCGTTCACTTGCAATTGTGTGTTCACTTGCAATCACATTTATAGTGCACATTGACCTCCATGGTGGTGGCTTCTTTGCAGGAGTCGCAGAGCAGGATTCAACACAGTGTAAACTGATTGCCGACAAGGCTAACTGCATCATCATATCTGTTGATTATGTGAAGGCTCCAGAGGTGAACAAGGCTACACAGTGACACCAAACTTTTGAATCACTGACAAGACCATACAATTCTAGTACCCATTTCCAGCTGCTGCAGAACAAGTGTTTTCTGTCTTCAAGTGGCTAGTTGATGAGCACCGACCAGACGGTGGAGTGAAGTTGTTGAATGTGGACGTTGGTAGAGTCACTGTTGGAGGATGGTCTGCTGGTGCAAATCTAGGCTCAGGTAGTTCATCTATGTATGATAATTTGTTGCATCGTTTTCAATCTCACACAATTCCTTGCCTCACACCCCATAGTGATGTGTATAATGGCACATGACAGACCCCACTTGTACAATTCAAACGCCAGAATCTTGCTTCAGATCCCTGTATACCCGCCACCAGATCTATACGAGTCATACGCAGACCGAATGAATCTATACGACAAGGAATCAGATCTCTTCAAGAAGTCAATACCGATTCCTATTGCTTTATTTATGTTGAAGTGCTACAATCCCCGTGGACAGACACGAGCAGAAGCCAAAGCACTAAATCAACATCCGTATATGAGTCCTGTATACGCAAGTGAGGCGCAATTAAGATTTGTGCCTAATGCTCTGGTGCTGAATGGAGAATGGGACGTGTTGGGGGATTGGGGAGTCGTTTATGCTGAGACTTTGAAGAAGGCTGGTGTCCATGTTGTCACTAAACGATATCCAAAAGCCGTGCATGGATGGAATGGCAAACCAAAAGGTTGGTGGTGCTGGTTATTGTTTGCAAAAGGAAAGGCAGACTAACAATTCTCAAAATTGTAGGAGACCCAGATCACAATTCAACAGTTACAGAGGACACGTATCGAATCATGATAGAAGAGCTTCGAAGGGTGTTCCAACGTAAAGGTGTATAAATAGAGTCCTGTTCCATTAAACTGTGTGCACCCTTGTAAAATCAGGTGGTTGTAACAGTTGGTAAAAATACTTTGTATAGATTCAGTGAGATACGCCGTGAGAAATAGGATTCTAAGATGCGTACTACCTTGTCTGAGTAATAGAAATCGTTTTGGGTTGGACTGCAATCACTTTCACCGCATTTTAACGAGGAGAGAGGCAAAGCAGCGCCAAAATCAACACCGCAATCACGTACAAGATCGGTAAAGCACTCTATTAGTATAACTGGTCATGGTGCAAGCAATATCCTCAATTGACAAGAGATATCAGACTAACCCCCTCTGTGTTTAATCCAGGCCTGGGACTGGCTTAAGACCAGTATGACAGTCTCAAGGCCATATTAGGTCAGCTATGTATGGGTTATAACAACAAATACCTCACTTGCAAGTGTTTAGCAAAACACTCACCCACGTACTAAAGGAAGTAGCAAACCAGTCGCTGGTATGCTCGGTGATTAGAGCTCCCCGGACATAATCCGTTCACACACGTCTTGACGCTCGCACCAGCAAATTGCTCAAGAGACCTACAAAGTAGCGATACAGCGTAACGGAGCCTTCCATGCCCTTCAAATAAATAGGAGCCAGTCCAGCATGACTGATGAATCGTCCATATGTCGACCATATGCACGATGTTTGTTCATCAGCAGAGGCTATGGGTATCACCTGATATCCATCGGGCAACAAGCACTGATTTCCACTTCGGTGATGTTTCATATACAGAGCCTTGTCTCTCCTATTGTGATATATGTACGGTCCGTCGTTCCCACAGCAATTCTAGTCTTTCGTTTACTTCAGTTGCTGATTTGTTGAGTGTTTTAAATGTCAGGAGTTGTGGCGCCTTTCATTGTGATTGTTGTTTACTTTGAAATCATTGCGAAGTAATTAGGATTTCGACCAGTGAGCATCGAGGGAGACAAAACACCAATGGCTGACACTACTAGCGTGCTGCTTTATAGTTACCAGTTACTGAATTACCTCTGTTTAATCCTGCAACGGTTTATTCAGCTTGTTGGTTGTTGAACTTTGAATGCCGCATTTCGCGATGACTCTAGATCTGGTGCTTTATAGCGATGATACATGCGCTGTGAGCAAGCTGTATCACACGGATGTAGCTGAAAATGCTTTCAACATCTCTATCATAGTCTATCATGAAGCGCTGCGCACGACCAACCTGACCCAACCTGACTCTTTTGAGAGTTTTGACACGATACTGGTACGCGTATCGACCTCATACGTTAGTGTTGGCCGTCTCAAATATTCTATTTAAACTGCTATAGACTGCCCCAATAATATATCAAGCCCCGTCCTTATGATCATGATTTTCGACGTCGACGAAATCGTTTGCAACCCTTGATTTCGAGTGTGAACCTCCAATTGTAGGTTGTTTCTCACACCCATTCGCACAAGGACGCGCTCAACTCAAGAAGGCTAGCTTATGGACGCTTGTATTCTAAGCATTCATTCATCAAGATCAACATTTGCCTAATTCCACCTAATCATCCAAGTATGTTGACTTTGTTCAAGCAGAAGAAGGAAACACCTCTTAATATCACAGACACCCTCGAGTAACATATAATGATAAGAAAAAGAGAAAGATATCGTCATTCATGGATAGTATTACATATCACAAACCCAGCATTTAGACAGCTGCATATGCAACTTGAGGGTATGTTTCTCGTATGGCTTCATATAACTCAGGCTTTGTGCGTGCAAGAGCGTTTGGATCTTCGGCACTACAATTTGTAAAGAGCAAGAAGTTTGTCAAGACAACTCCATGATGCCAATTTGCACGAAGACGACACTTACAGACAAACAAAAGTAGTGACGACTCCACTATTGATGACTTCAGCCAAGATGCTGAACCTATGAGATTGGTAGAAGAATGTTCATGAGGTTAGAGGTTTCATCAAGGAGCATGTCATACGTATATTTGTTTTGGTACGCTCGACCAAACTCGTTCTTACTCTGAAAAGCCAATAAAGAAACATATGATCACAATTGTGACATAATAAGAAGCTGTGGCCGGTATTCCATCACTGAATTTGGCCCATATGAAACCAATGAAGCCAGATAGCAAGCCAACAAGCAATCCACCTATCGATAAAGGAATGGTCCGTTAAAGAAATGATCAGCCAGCTAACAAATGGTTTACACTCACCCATAGCGAGTACGTTTCCTATGAGGTTATCACTATTGGAATTGTAGAAGTAAATTAAAAGCTCATGTGCGACGGTTTCTTGCATAACATATTGCAACATACTTGATAATGGCATCAACGCCACGAGATTTGACAAGTGCCCAAGTTGCTTTTGCAGCATCACAATAATCCTTTAAAAGGTGAACACAATCGTTATGACTTCATTCGACGAAACCAACCACGTGTAATGAAACCACGTACCTTTCCGTAAATGGCAACTTGAGTGAAGGCATACACGTTAAAGTATTGTATCAGCTGCTCGATGATGCCCAGACAACACTAATACAAAGGATGTTGTTGAAATGCAAAAAAGAGATAAGCGAAGATAGCGAATGCTCACATTAGCACAGATTATACAGAACATTCCAATTCTAGAATAGATTCATTCATTGTTGGTCCCAAAATCCGGCTTTACTTCAAATTGCATCTACATAATGCAAAGCACTCACATATTGCCGTCTTGAGCAGCTTGATTCTGAGCCATCTGCAACATCGTGCGTAGTGTTTGAAGCAGCGCAATGACGAGAGAGCTAATAGCATTTGACGAGAATGTAAGGATCCTTGACAAGAATATTAGGTCTGAGATGACTTTTTTACCCATAACAAATAGATCCAAAGGAGGTAGTCATGGCTCGACCTAGTGATCCGACTGTAGGAGTACCAGAGACCTGAATCCTGCCACCTGGCACTCCAGTACCCAGGAAGTAATAATGCGCAAAGGTACCAGAAACCGTCACATGAACTAGGGAAGTCGTGAAGGCGTTAATCAAAGATTCCATTCTACTTTGTTTCCAACACAGCAAGTCGAACTCACCAACATTTGAAATCACTTGTGATGTCCAGTAGAAGCAAAACACCATGAATATAATCAAAACATATACTGCCGCGCTGTTCCAATTATTGGTTGAAGCGTCTTGTAGGATTCCGGTAGTAGCTAGCACCCAGAGGATATACCAAACTGCACCGATTATCAAACCAGCAAATCCAACAACTACACGATGGCAAGAAAGGTTGAGTGAATCAAATCACCAAAAAGTATTGGAAAAATCTGAATACCTATAGTTCCCCAAAACCTCGCTGCCAGAGCAGTCACATTCGACAACATGACCCTAAGAGACAAACAAGGACAGGGAATTAGCGGAAGATATGAAGGATATCACGCCAAGTCAATTTTTTGTGGGTTCTAGACAACTAGCAAAAGCATCACCACCCCATCTTCGCATCCATGTAGACTCGCACAATGTTAGTCATGCATGAGTGTGTCGTAAGGTTATTACCTCGCAAAGGGAATCCTTGATCTCCACGAAAAATACATCCAGACCCACAGAAACGAGAAGATTACCCATATGATAGCAATCAAGTATTGCTTGATATAGAACAAGTAGATTGCCATGACAAAATTCAAGATTATCGACATGATAAACGTTATGTGGATGAGTTCTCCAGCATATTTTATCATTAGCATAAAGTAGACCGAAGTAAAGACAAAGCCTGTTCCGACAGATATGGCAATTAAGGTGCCTACTTGGCTTGCTGTCAAGCTGAAGCTGCTTCCGTTATTTGTAGTGCTTCCATTAGTTGGAGTTGTGGAGTTGGTATGGTTGGTACTATCACTAAATGTCAGATGAGAGATTCCTATAATATCAGAACATGTGTGATTAGTGTATTGGTACGAACTGCGAAAAACTGCATTGTAGCACCGAAATAAGCCGAGACTGCAAAACCAATGAGCATCACAATGAATAACAAGGCCGCCCATAAATCCTTTGGTCCAACCTTCTTAAACTTTTCATCATTACTGGTTTGCAATGGTGGAGGAGGCGGTGGGGGATACATATTATTTTGAGGACCCGAATATCCATAGTTTTGAGGTGGAGGTGGTGCGTAATATGGCTGTTGAGGTGGATATGATGGTTGATTGTATCCTGCTGGCTGTTGTTGATAATACTGAGGTTGCTGAGGAGGATATTGTTGATACTGCGATTGTCCTCCATTGTATTGAGGAGGCATCTGTTGCGCCCATTGTGGAGCTACGAATAGAAAAGACGAGTCGCATCAGAATTGCTGTTGTGGTGCAGTCCTTTTCGTTTCAAAAACATTGCAAACACCTACGTCCTTGAGGCTCAGGGTATATCCCAGGCTGTCCACGCTGGCCCTTCATCAGATTCTCTGAGCTCGACATGTATTGTCCCAAATGTTTTGATGGGCTGTCACTACAATACGATAAATCTTGTTAGGAAACAAGGCAATTTCGAATACAGCGATCCAATATAGATCAATTCAATAAAGACTATCCAGTCGCTTCTCTCTGTGTCAGCTTTTCTTGGCAAAAGATTGTTGTGGAGCGCATTCTAATTTGCGACATTCGAATTCGACTTGACGACAAGCAAGCAACGAGGACTTCGGCAGATCGAATGCTTACCTCTCTATAAGTATAAGACTCTTCTCAATTTGAAGCCTCGCTCTCTCTTCTTCCCAAAGCTGCTTAGAGGCACAACTTTTAGATGAGCCGTTGAATCACGTACAAAGCACCCAAGGAAAATCCTCGAATGAGGCTGTACGCCACAATAAGCCTTCGATACTCGAAAGGCACTGGTGCGCGAAGAACGCGTAAAGCACGTGTATTATAAAAATACATCTGTACAAAAACCACATTTATCATATTTGAATACATTTATATGTTACCAATATGGAGGACGACGCAGGCCGAGCTTCAATACCTCAGATGGTACTGGAGCTGTACATGCTGGCCGTGAAGACTCCACATCATCAGCCAACTTGACCAACCAATCGCATTGCAATGTTAACGCTTTTGCAAAGGTCTTGAACCGTTTCCTAACTACGATATCTAGATCCGTCCCAGTGGCCCCAATCCTTGCAAGATGCTACCACCTCTTGCAAAAGCGACCTGTTGGCTGCTTCGTGACAATTTGCAACCATCAACGAATATGAGCTGGCATGAATTTCTGTGTGCAACATGCATGACAGCAGCTGCTCCCAACAGACAATCTCCAGATAAGAGAGTCTCAGTTGCAGAGTAGATCGAGTTGAATTCAAGGCTTGCGAGTTTCGTCTACCCAGTCAGGAGGTCGATACGGATTCGTTGGTCAAAGGAAAGTGATCTAAATGTAATGGGTCCATAAATATTATATACTATAAGACTTGGGAGTTGTTGTATCGGAGTATCTAACGAGAGACCAGCACAGTTCAACTGATGACCATGTTGTTGAATCCAAGCAGTGAGTCCAGCCAACGTCAACCCTTCCACGGATTTGCAGGATCGATATGCTATTGTGAGATTACGTAGCTTTACTAGATTATTCTTCAAATCCAAAAAGATAAGTCGTCATTCACTGTTCCCATTGCTATATACAACGTCTCTAGGCAAGAAGCACTCGTCCCTACAATACATTTTACATCGTCCCGACTATAACGACCGAGGGGAACCTGTATACTCTTCATTCGTGTTCCATCAGCTAATACCAAGGGATGTATTTCAACGTCACAACCACATTTGCAGTTGACGACATTGAGCCCTCTCAAGCACTGGAATTGATCGAAACCAGGGCAAAATGCGATCACTGTGCAGCTATCTATCTCGACTTAACCGTGGCTGCCGACCCATGTGTCAAATCGTTCCACAGTCCAAGAGGGATGCACCGAGGAGCACGTACACCACGGATACCAAACGCTTGTAAAGCCTTGTCTCTTAGCGCAGTGCCTAGATCGAGCAGCCAGAGGTTGACAGCTGTTGTCCTTGACATTTTCCCTATCAAGCTCTTCTGTCTCGAGACGTATATATTCCAGAAGCGGACGCCTTCCAAAAAGCTCAGACCATCGATCTGGAGTTATTGGTGTTGCGGGCAATTGGATTTTGAGACTCTTTAGTTTGGTGCAAGCCCCTCTTGTCCACATTTCAGAATCAAGAAGTAGTGGAATTGAGGCATCAACAATGTTGGTAGAAGACTAGACTTGTTGACACAAGCTGTTTACGAAGTCTTCACGGTCCACCCGTGCATAATAAGAAAGCGGGGTTTCTTACATATCGGAGTGACTTGTTCAATGATTGCGATCAAGTCCACCTTCTTGACGTGTTGGAATGGGCGTTGGCGATATTGTACTTCAGGACTTGATTTGCAAAGCTCCTTGAAGCTCTTTTATAACCATTGCGTTGCATTGGTTTGTGTCGAGCTCGTTATGTGGTATGTGTTGGTAGAGCTTCATGGATGCGAAATAGTTCAAGTCCTTACTACCGCAACTGACATTATATAGCGATGGTAGGTCAAGAAGTGATATAATGTCAACTACGACGAGTAAAAATGTTAAATCTGATGTTGACGATTGTGTCGTTTTATCAGACGATTTGCACGTAGAGACTCCCAGTTCACCGGCTATGGAGCGTATCTTGGCAGATATCCCTCTTGTCTTGGCAGATATTGCTCTATATGGCAGACATATAAGTTTGAATGCTGACATTGAGTGCGAAGTCTTCGAATTGGATTTCATGACGACAAACTCAATGGAAAAATGAAGAGAACAGGCTTGACTTTGGTTACTTTGGTTCTTGCCTTATAAAATGATGCCCTTCCTCTCCGCCGCGCTCAACAAGTCTTGAAAAGCTCAATTTCCATCCATCAAACATTCAAGGTTTTGGCGAAGTCAGACAGAAGCGGTAAACGGAGGACGGATTGTAGGGCGAAGGAAATGGAAACCTGCCTTGAACTTTGGAGATTTGTAAATTTGACACGTGGCATGTAATTTGAGGTCCATTGAAGGCATCAAAATGGGTCGTGATTTAGTTGTTGGAGTCTTCAATTCCACAGTTGGACGTGATTTACGTGTTAAACGCAATCAAACTAGATCAATTCTATCCGTATCGATATATTTGACATCCTTACGCGGCTCCTAACGTGAGCCACTCCAACTTGGGCCTTGCAACCCAACTGATCCAAACTTCAAATTCCGATCCAATCACTGCCTTCAACTTTGCATCCCAAAGTCAATCAAGTTCAGCAGAGGCGCGTTTTGCTTATTCTACGTATCATCGCTATCTCCTTCCACCGCCAATTGCTAACTCTTAACCTTTTAGGACGGACGAACGATGCACGCGATGGATAATGAACAGAGCTACTTCGTCGCGACTCCAGGCAAAGTCATTCTTTTCGGAGAGCATGCTGTCGTATATGGAAAGGTACGCTGAGTACTATGCAAAACGAAGTATCGGTGGTCCATGAGGCATCAGTTTGGAGGAGCGTCGCAACTTCACATTTTGAGAATTTTGATGAACCCGAAACCACGTTCGCATTACGTTGGTTTCCATTCATAGAGTGTATTCCGGATTACTATGTGCAATCGGTTTCGCTTTTGATTCTGTCGTGTGCAAAAACATACGACCCTTGCTATGAAGAATGAGGGTCTCTCACTCTTCAACCAACCACTCTAGACAGCTCTAGCTTCTGCTCTCGGTCTACGGACATATGCATGGCTCAAGACACGACATGACGGATTGGCTGTCTTGCATTTTCCGGACGTCGGTTTGACAAAGTCGTGGAATATTCAGGATGTTGTTGCTAAACTTGCTGTTGATCCTATTCCAGGTATGCTTCACTCGATACGAGAAGAGTATATTACACGCTCTGTGGATATGTCAAATGTTGCCAGAAACACAAGACTAACGTCCTTCACTAAATAACAGGGAAACCAATACCAATGTCTTCAACTGTTGGAGCTTCATTAGGTAGTTTACTTTCGGATGTCACTTCAGGAAACTCGAGACAAGCTGCCTTAGCCTTTTTGTATATGCTAGCGAGGATTCATCCACAGTATGTGTTACTAAAGCCTTTGTTTGTGCAAAACGCCAAAAAGCACTCTTAGAAATTTATCCAATCAGATGCAGCGGCGTGGAAGTCATTGTCCGCTCAGCACTCCCCATCGGAGCTGGTCTCGGCTCATCAGCCTCCTACAGTGTCTGTGCAGCTGCAGGTCTCTTACTAGCTGCACACGCGATCCAACCAATCCAACCACCGTCCACATCATTCGCACACGACGAACTCATATCCATTAACGAATGGGCGTTCATATCCGAAAAGATTTTGCACGGAACACCATCCGGAATCGATAACTCGCTATGTACTTTTGGTGGTGCTCAGCTGTTTGCTAAGGGGGATTTGCAGCCATTGAAGGGGTTCACATCGTTACGATTCTTGTTGATCAATACGTGTGTGCCTAGAGATACTAAGAAGCAGGTGGAGAATGTTAGGAAGAGGAAGGAGCAGGTCAGTTTGTTTGCATGTTCTTGGGATGACGAATTCGTCTCTTGGACTGTTGATTTCTTGTTAAACGTTTTGCTGACTCATCGCTTCGTCCGACAATTCCAGCTTCCAGCAATCATGCATCCGCTCATGGATGCTGTTCAAGGAGTTACTGAATCTTGCAAGGAGGCGTTTGCACGTATGTCGGAATGTCTTTGAGGCTTCTTTGCTTCCAGTCCTAACGTATCTTTGTGTCTTAGAAATCCCAATACACAGACCTACAATCATATCAACCATGGAGGTAACCTCGACTCCGCCTAAATCAGTTGCAAGTCGGACGAATTTTACTTAGACCTCTCTCCACTTTCTCAACAACAGACACTAATAGATATAAACCATGGTCTCATGGTTGCAGCAGGCGTCAGCCATCCAAGTCTCGAAACCGTCCGAAGAATTACATCCCAACATGGTCTAGTGTCTAAACTGACTGGTGGAGGAGGTGGTGGTTGTGCTATTGCGTTGATTCGTGATGGTGAGCATCACATTGCCTGGAAACGTTGCTAATTTTTGCACATTAATGTTCCAACCATACATTCCTCTGCAGATACATCAGACGAAACAATCCACCAAATCGCAACTGAACTGCAAGCTCAAGGGATGGAGTCCTTTGAAACTACCGTTGGAGGTAGCGGTGTACAAGGAATGATGGTGACTGAGGATTTGATTCGAAATGCATGTGGATGTGGATATGAGACTTTTGATACTGGTGCTATTACGTGGAGCAAATTGGATGCTCTTCTTCCCAAATAAAGTGGTTTGGGACAAAGCCAAGGACTATACAAAGTGAACTGGATCAAGCGCTTCTTGCATTACATTTCGTTTTCTTACATAATAGTAGTAGTAATGTATTTGCCACACCAAAAATCCAAACAATCTCAAAATCATTAAATACAACAACACATTCTTTGAATACCCTCGGAACATGTTGCGTCTCTACTCAAACACTGTTGTGTACAAAAGGGGTTCACGTTGGTTAGTATAGGCCCTCTGCATTTCTCTAAATTTAGCAACAATTTGACCCCACACTTGATGCCAAACTCTGACGCTCAATTGCTCCTCAGAAAAGCAAATGATTCGTCGTCCCAAGAATCTGTATTCCAAAAAAAAGCCGTCAGAAATACAAGGGCAAAGGGCTTACGCGCTTCCACCTCTCACCACTTGAACACTTTCATACTGAAACAATGCCTGATAATCCAAACCTCTTCCCACCCGCGTATAGTATAGCCGCCCATACCTGCCATTGTCGGTCAGTCGGTCAATGATATTTAACACATTTGCACATTTGCAACCGCATCTAAAAATATTCAACCCGGTGTCTAATAGATGAGGGTGAAATCATCGAGACGATTTTCTCGTTCTGTGATACGAGACCTAATCGTAACTCGACTGCGAAAAAGCAAAGGCGCGGTCAAAGCTGACACTGTCGATGTAAGTCTAATGGTCGACCATGCGACACTCCAGTGACGGAAGATATGAACCAGCTTTTCTGCCTGACAATATGTTGCCGAGTACATAGACGCAGTGTCCGAGTCAGATTCGGGGTTGTGACTGTGTTTCATTCTGTGCTCTGATGTTTGGACCGTTGTTCTGAAGGTCGTCCAGGATCCGTTTCCTCCATCTGATGAGTCTATAGCCCTTGCCACCAACTCAAGACAGGTTAATACACTCGGCTTCCTGAAAGCAACCATAAAGCAGCTGCTATATCCAATTGCGTCCCCCGTTTCACACAAACCGATCCCACGCAAAGGAAAAATCAAGCACTTCAAGAAAAGGAAATACAACCAAAGTTGGTGACACTATAGCAGAAGATCCTTTTTTGTCCCATAATTATGTATTCACCAAAACAAACCCACAAACCATTGAGTACAACAATACGACACTTTCCCAACCTCATTTGTACATCAACGTCTCTCTCTCCATCCTTCTACTTTGGCGTCTGATCTCTAGGCTCCCTCTTCAAACTCAACTCATACAACAACTTTTCAAACGTATCAGTGGCATCGGGAAAAGCATTCAATAATCTAGCCAATTCGTCAACTATTCGGAAATTCACGGGACTTGACTGGTATTGCTGAAGTTCTCGAATGACCGTTGATATCATGGTTCGTTTGGTGAAATTGATTAGGTTGTCCACCATGTTTGGATTTCCGTCTTCCATGTATGTTAGATCGATCAGATAAACACCTCTGCATACATTAAAGAGAGAGTGTAAGGTTGGGCAAAAATGATTCGAGTTATGAAATGAAAGGCTGTCGCAAGCGCATCCCACGACCACAGCAAGCACTTACATATAAGGTATACACGGCGGGTTAACTGTATGTAAGGCAGCACGATACGCCTTGTATGAGTTTTCTGCAGTCATGAGTTTCTCCAAATCTGCCAGTTTCTATTAAAGAAAAGCCTGAATATTCTGCTCCCATGATGTCCAACCAATCCCAACAAACATACTTTACGAGACGAGGAACTTAGTTCTTTGAACGTATACTTCAGTCTCATAATAGCAGCCTTATTCAAACCAGCAATGAATGCCATCAACGTCGAAAAGTTATTTAGAGCGTGTAATTGCTAAAAGCAAAACCCGCGTCAGAGATGAACTTCAGTTCAGGAATATCAGGCTAACTTACAGTTGCAATCTCAATAAGTCTGTGCAGACGTCTAGCTCGTGCCTTGACACTCTTGAGATCCAGCAAAGTCTAGTTGGGCAGCAAAAAAGATTGAGTCTTGACGCTTTGTATGATGCTTTCGACATTTCCAACCTTAGCAACCCAACAAGCAACAGCATTAAACCGTCTCGTTAATGCTAATATACCAGGTGCACGAACATTGGCATCTCGTTTTGTCCATGCTTGATTGAGTAACTCGGATGGCTAAAAAATACAGGTATCAGCGGTGCTCATCTCAAACATTGATGACTCTCGTTTCTCCATACTCGAATATTGTAATAGAGTGAGAACTCAATAATCGTCAACTGCCTTGCTATTTCTTCAGCAGGATAGGCAAATATGTGCACGACACCATCCCGTCCTTGCTTTGGTGGCTAACAAAAAATTGAATTGTCAAAACTCGTACAGGAGTAGTCACGTCAAAGGCCATCATACCTTAGATGGTGGTGGTGCTTCCATCATCTTGGTAAGAGTAACTGTTAAAGCTTCAGGGCCTTCCTTCTACAAGACCAGGGAAAGAGAATCAGTCTGAGGCTTTCACTGGAGACATTCACCTGAGTCTTTTTTGCGAACACTCACGAGCTTAGTAATACTTTTCCTTATCTGCTTGGCCATAGTAGGATGATCAGTAGCCAAGACCGTTTCCGTAAACCTGGTCATCTCGGCTATGAGAGCATCTCCATTCTTGGGATCCATGAAATCAGACGTGTACTTTCTTGTCCATTGTAAGAAGACGTTACAGACTCGTAGTTGTACTGTTAATCTGAACTTTTCGAATTCTCGTTGTGTCATTGCTCCTTGTCGAGGAACGTGATATCTAGATGGAACCACAAAAGGCGATTCAGTTTTTTCATATCAAGACGGTGTCGAAGAACAGTCAAACCTCTCAATCAGTTTCCGTAGCAACACAAAAGCATTCGTAAAAGATTGATAGGTCAATAGGAATGCCTTGACAAAGTCCAGATCTAGCAACAAAAAACACGAGATTATCAGCTTACAAATTACTAATCAGCAATCAACTTGCTCCTGCAATCCATGTTGTACATACATTGAGTAGACCCTTCACCCTTCTCATTCGTCAACTGAACCACCAACTTGTTGAGCGTACCAGCCGATACAACAGGTATAGGTGGATCTTGATTATTCATAATGTACTGCAACATGTCATTTCCTTCTCTTTCTTCCCAGATATTCAGATCCGAAGCACCACCATCGACCAGAGTCGATACTGCAGATGCAGCTGAGTGTGCTGATACGGCTGATACAGGTGATTCCAGAATGGACTATTACAAGACAGATTAGATCAAGACACAGTTAAGGAAACACAAAACTTGTAATGCTTACACTCGGGGGCTTCTTGATAATCATGATTGTAGAAGCATGACTCACACGAGAAGCATTCAGTGATTTTTCACTGTCCAATACTAACAAACAACAAAAATGTCCTTATTTAGATCGCAATTACTCGTTGCAAGAAATTCTTGAACTACTCACCACCACCGTTCTCATCTTTACAGCCTCCACATTCAACCATCCGCACACCAAATCTTCGACAAAAGAAGGGCAGTAATTCCTTCAAAGGCTTTGAAAAGTCCACGTCCATTTCAACATGACCCTCTGCATCGATAGAAGTACAGACACATATCTTCTGAGCAAGCGGCCTGTAATAGATAACGTCTTGCTCTATTCCCATGTCTTTCAGTATCGTCCATATGCTATCCTTGTCTTTGAGTCGTTCACCGTAATACGTGTATAGACCAAACGTGTCTTCGAACGAATTTGTCGAGTTCACACTCAGCATTTCGAGTACGTGTTCTACTAATGTCGTGGATCCGACTATAAATTTCTGGATGGCACCGTCTGACGATGTTACTGTGAAGGTTTGGTATTGTAATTTGTAGTGAATGTCCTCCTGCACGATAAGTGGATGTTAGAAGGCAAAAAAACCGGGATAATCAGAAATCGCACGCACTGTCTTAACGGCCTCATATTGATCTAAGGTTTTGATCTCCTCCATCCAACGACTACTAGAAGGTATGTACAATCCATATCGACCACCGGGATGTCCCAATACCAGTTTACGGTTGTTGAGATTGTAATGGATCATAGCAGTGACGTCTATATTGTTGAGATCAGCAAGATCAATGAGAAATGTTTGATCTCCTCTGTTTCTGGCTTACCAGAAACTCTCAGAGTTGGCAGCACCTTAATTCCAAACTTGGTATCAAATTCTGGCACTTGAATTCTCATTAGGAATTCTGCTGCTAGTGCACGTAATTCCACCGGAATCTGCATAGAGCAAAAAACTTCTTAATTCTCGTATAGAAAGTGCTTACACACATGTATGCCTTACCTCTTGAACAATATCATACTGAAACAAGGCCTTGGTATCATCCAACCATATTCCAAACCGAGGATAATATAATCCATATCGTCCTTCCTCGGTTGGCAAATGATCTTTAAGCAGGTTGGCGACTGCATCCTTGATTGTCAAATCAAAATTATATTCGAACGTGTGCTTGGTCGAAGATGGTGGAATCGTCAGCACCATTTTCTCGTTATGTGATACGAGACGTAGTCGTAATTCATCCTACAAAAACATCCACTTAGCTGTAGCTATAACAGAGATTAAAGACATGCTACACATACACCATCACTAATCTTGAGCTGCAAAAGCGTCTGACCAGGATTCAACCATGTCCTCTGACCAGGTGAATTTCGATCGAGTTTACATAGCCGATATAAACTTGGATCGTCTGCTTCTGTTCCAGCAGAATGTGTCACTTCTACTAGCATAGCTTTTATAGCATCGGATACCGTTGACATGCATGTCAGTCGTATGGTCGACCAAGCGCTATTCCAGTGAACAAACACTTGGACGGGTTTTGCTGCTTTGCCGTGTGTTGTCGAGTATATTGATACAGTGTCCGAGTCAGAATCTGTTTTGTCAATGTGTAAGTGTTAAAGTGTTCTGTCTGTTTGTTCCGATGATCATACCAGATTCGTCTAAATCATCTCCTCCATCTGATGAATCTATGCTCTCTGTTTCAGAAACGTTTGGTGTAAGGAGATAGTAATCTGAAAGCTGAAGAATGACTTTGTGTATTGACTAACCAGTTCCAGAGTCAGAACTGGGAGAAGCAAAGGCCCTGGCAACTCCCGCTAAGAATGAAACATACATTAAACCACTTTGCCGGTGGGGATCAACTAGAGATCAGAGTCTACATCCAAAAGATCGTCCTCATATAACCCGCCCGAAAATCAACAAAGTCTGTAATCAAACATACTTCGTCCTTTAGATCTCTTCGTAGTAGCATGCAGCGTCCCACTAGCAACATCCAATATCGGCTTCTCAGACCTCCTAAACAATGTTCCAAATCCTCTGACAGTTCCTCGATTCAGATGCAATCCCATGTCATTTGCAGTTGGTCCTGCACCTGTAGCAGCAGATATGGACGGTATAGGACTACTTTGGCCATTATTAGCCATTTTCGAGTCTTCAGATGTAGTCCTCTTTTTCTTTTGAACTACACCTGTTTTATTAGAATATTAATTGTTAGCGGGAATGATGATGGACAGGCGTGTAAATTTGGGAGACAAGCTTTTTACTAACTGATTTTAGGCTCTAGAGCAGCACTGACTGATGCTGGTTTATCACTCATGATCGGCAAGTTTTTTCTTCGCCTCTTTCGATGAATGAAAATGCTGAACCGAAGAAAGTCTAAATCTTTACAGAACGACACGAGAACGGACGGGAACTGGAACGTTTTGCACGTGCTTTTGTATATCCGAGTGATTTAGTCCTGCGGGATGTAATGACTACTGTTGGAATCGACGTGATTTGTCAAGATCAAACATGTTGCAACCAACGTTACCTTCTATAAACGACGTAATTTTCGACACAAAAGAACTCCAGAAACGCTTCTATTTTCTTTTGATGAGCTTTACTTGACTATATTGGTTGCAGACAAAGATATAAAAATACTACATGAGATCATATATAAAAAACTGAAAATGAGGAGACCATTGATGCCAAGACCATATAAACAGAGACGACCAAAAAGTTACCCACTGATGACAGATGATTGCTGACATAAGTCCTCAATGATTATTAGGCAAGTACAAGAATCGTACAACACGTCTCTGCGCTCTTCTTCTTCACAACTCAAGTGCTCACCACCCAACACATTCCCAAGACCAGGTACCCGAGCAACTAGATCATTTCCACCTCAATTTACGTTGACTACTGGATTACGAGGATATGGATTTGCTCGGTCTCGTGCACGAGGAACAACTGCATCTGGGCCATCAAGTCCACGAGGTACCAGGGCTCTTTCGTTTTCAGTTGGATCGAATTCATCTTGAAGGTTTACAGCGTATCGATGATCCCGAACAATCTCTTCTTGGGAGTGTTGAGGTGGAGTAGAGGCACGACGATAGACGTCGTCACATACAGTTTGACGTGTTGGGGTCGTGCCGATGATCCTCCCGCCTGAGATGATGGTCTTGGCAGAGAGGCAGTACTATTGCGTCGTGGCAGAGGCGTAGGTGTATTGCTATTGTTCAGAGACGTGGTTGCAATGTCAAAATGAAATATTGTGTCTGATCGTTCTGTTGACAACTTACTCTGGCCTCAAATAAAAGTCAATCCTTCCATCAAGCACCCCATCCTCATTGCGATTCGAGTATATAATGTCACCATCAAAGAGCTTGACACGGACATTCTGTTGCAAAGGTTGTAGTTTCCTGGTGTGAAAGATGAGGATGTCACAGACCTAACAAGGTAAAGTAGATGTTCAAAGTTAGATTTGGGTTCAGATGTAGTCGAAAGAAAGCGAATTACTTGGACGCAGACTTACTCGAGTGACAAAGAAGTCACCTTGTCTTGAATGAAACAAAAGTGATCACATCGGGCCGTACTCTAAGCGCCCTGTCAATGCCAACGATGGGAGGGCTTCAAGGATCTCTACAGACTCTGCTCCACGTTGCAATACAGCTCGCATTATGTGATAACAGCGTTGGAGAGCTTGTTTGACATGCTTTGAAAATGGTGCCGCGCACACCAAGACTTCGAAGAATGGTTCGTTAAATATTATGAGCGACACTCTCTGACGTGTATCCCGTATCAAAATAACGTTTCGAAGTATTAAATCGCATACGGAATTGCTCTCACTGGCTACCTTGCGCTCTAGTGCCTGAAACGATTGAAAACATTAGGTCGAACGAGGGTATTGGATGCTACAATCTATATTTTTCTGTCGAGATCCTTATGTAACTTGCCTCTTTCCTCTAGATCCGATACTTTCGAACTACCTGCCAAGTATTGGGAGCCTCTCGTGTTTGAGATCTGGTGATTTATTGAGGCAAATGCATTCAGACAGTGAAAATGAGGATGCCAGACCGGCTAAGCGGCAAAAGATTCAAGTAGGACACCGCAGTGCTATCTTGTTGTCTCTCTTTCACTCACTCTTGTGGTAGGATGAATCAGCTGAGACCGACATCAATCTTGGAACTCTTGACCAAGAAGCCGATACAATACCGCCTCATATACCGAACAAGGAAGAGCTCAAAGGTACTCCTTAATGTCTATCAAGCTGATTTACTTTTGAACTCGATCTAATCCCTCGTTTGTGTCTAGAACAAGAAGAATTCATCGACTCTATGCCACCTGAAGTCATAAACACCATCAAAAACGACTCAAGAAGGCTCACTTTCGATGAATTCATCAAGAAATACATGAATATTGACTTTACCGTACGACAACTACTACTTGTCTTTGGCTTCACACTGGAAGCACAATGGGATTCAAGGCCTGATATTGATTTGGTCCCGCTTCTCCAATATGTGATTCGTAGGAATAATGAAAAGAGGCAAAGACGTGCTGACGTAAATAGTATGGATGACGTGTTGAGGCTGTTGAGGGATTCAAGCAAGGTCATGGTCTTGACTGGTGCTGGGGTAAGCAATTGCCTCATCGTTCTATGGTTTTTTTTGCTGGGTAGAAGACAAGTTTCAAGTCATTTCTTACCCGTTTATCATTTCTTGACTCGCTAGGTCAGCGTGAGTGCTGGGATACCAGACTTTCGCTCAGAGAACGGTATCTACAGTCGACTGGGTGAATTTGGACTGGACGACCCTCAACAAATGGTAAATTACTACTGCTTCTGATATAGCACTATCTTTTGAAGCTTCCTCTGGACGAATCCTATCGTTTTAAGCCAACCTACACATCGTTTAAGTCCCATCCATTTCAAACTAACGCAAACGTCTCTGTCTACAATAGTTCGATATTGAATTCTTCCGAGACGAACCACGAACATTCTACTCCTTTGCTCGAGAAATCTACCCTAGTAACTTCAAGCCAACACCATCACACATGTTTATCAAAGTCTTGGAAGATCAGGATAAACTGCTACGAAACTATACGCAGAACATCGACACACTGGAGAACGAGACTGGTATTAAGCGGGTGATTCAATGTCATGGCTCCTTCGCCACTGCCAAGTGCATAGCATGTGGCTATAGTGTTCCTGGAGAGACAATCAAGGAGGATATATTTGAGAAGGTATGCGAGTTTCAGATAATGAATTTCCTGTTATTTTTTGGGTGTCCTCCATTCCTACATCGGACATTCATCAGACATCCATCTGAAAAACCGTTCTTTAGAGAGTACCATGGTGTCCAATGTGTGATGATGGAATCCTGAAACCTGACATAGTTTTTTTTGGAGAACCTCTTTCCCAGCTGTTTTCTGACCACTTTGACGCAGACAAGAAAACCGTCGACCTCCTCATAGTCATGGGCTCATCGTTAAAAGTCGCACCTGTTGGAGACGTGATGCATCGCATACCGCACGATGTGCCCCAAATCCTCATAAACATGGAAAGCTTGCCTCATATGATGAATTTCGATGTACAGTTATTAGGTGATTGTGATACTATTGTGTCATATTTATGTAGACAGCTAGGATGGACGTTGCCTGTGCCTGAGGGTGGGTTTAGAGTGCCGCCTGCTGTGATGGACTCTTATACTCAACAGATACTGCCGAATAAATATGTGTTTGGAAGCGCTATTGTCGGGCTTGGAAGAGGCAAGAGTATGAGAGTTGGGGAAGGGCAGGAAGTCAATGGAGATCTTAAGGAAGAGGATGGCAAGAATGATGTAGAAGCTGAGGTACATGTGTCGTGAAATCTTTAGTAGTAATGCAAGGTATAATATTTATAGCAAACATCGTGATATATAGATATATAGATATTGGGAATAATGTAAAGATGGTGAAACCTGATTAAAGTAGCGCACCACTATAAAGAAGTAGGTCTCATTTCAATGTATGAAGAAACGCAGAAACAATACAGTGAAGAATACATACATGCTCCCAAGATCAATTTCTCAATTGAATGTGCGTTTGCGCTAGTAACACAAATGGTTCTAGTTTCCAACAGATCATAAGCCAACGGTTGTAAAAGATAGGTATATTATGAATATTATGTACTAAAAGCAGAGGCCTATTATGGATGATTACAGTAGTATGTTTTTTGGGAGTATTAGTAGAATCTAGGTGCTCAAGCCGAGACGACTTCAGGAGTCTTGACTTCTGGTTCATGTTTGGCAGCTACAGCCTTTTTTGATCGGAATGCGTACTAGACAATGAGGAACGTTTAGACCAATCCCTTCACTCTCCATGCCCACGTCCGGTCAGAATCGCAAAACTTACCCAAACTAGAGCTCCGATAATAGCACCAACAACCAAACCACCAACAACTGATCCAGCAATGATACCAGCGTTATTCGATGTTGCTGGCGCAGCACTGTTGTAAGATCCGTCACCGTTGATTCCAATAGCGTCAGCAAGGATGAAGAAAAGTTCGGTATTATCCATTACTTTACGGCAGTTGATGGCAAATGAGCGTGGGCCTCCACAGTACAAGTCGACCGCTTGAAGGGTGTGAACCTATTTATGCCAATATTGTTAGATATTTACAACCTATTTCATTTGTTTTTTTGTTTGCTACGTTGGAGAAGGTCTTACGGAGGTAGATTCCGAGACTGGAAGATTGGGAATCCATGCTATACCATCTGTTCCTTCTTGGTCATTAGCGTTTGCAACGTAGACTGTGTCGGGTGCGTATTGAGCAGTTAAGGTGGCATTGTTGGCAGTTGGGTTACGTGTTAGAGGGTTGGTTGTACTGTCGGGTACAGTTACTGTGATTTATGGTGCGTCAGTATGCTGTTACAACTTGAAATTGCGTACTTCCAAAACTTGTTCATGTTAGTTTACCAGAGTTGAAGTTCTCAGAGTGACTTGGACCATCTACTTTTCCACCAGCCATCTTGTATCTTACAGCAAAGTTTGTTGGTAAGCTATAGGAACAGGGGCGGTCAGCAACCAAGTAAACGTGCACAAATACAAAGGCCAAGCAAGTGGTTTGTTACCCAGTTGTTGCGTCAGTAACAAGATTTGGCCATCCGGCAACATCATAGTCACCAATGGCGTGTCGTTTTTGAATGTGGATGGTAGAGTTTCCATTGTCGTTCAAGGCACCTTTGGCGTACAATTGAGTGCTAACACAAACAAAGAATGGAATGGTTTGAGCGAGGATGTGACAATTATGCTAGCTTTTCGGAGCAAATAGTCTTACTCGACAGATCCCCATACGTCAAATCCTTGAGCGTGCTAGGATTGAATGAAAAGAATTTGAGCCGAGACTGATGCTGACGAGGATTGTTGTAAAATGCGTACATCGGCAGTGACCAAAACAGCGGTATCGTATGGGTCGTAAGCTCGAACGGCAGCAACACTGTTTAGGTTTGGGTGATTAGTTATACACCTGTCCGTAAAATGTCCCTGTTTTGATGGTGGATTTTCTTACGTTCGGTCCAATTCGAGCAAATCAGCCATGGCGCGGTCAAAGTCCATTGGATGGAAGGACTTGTCTGGAAAAATGACGAGAAGAAGATGTCAGTTAGTCGTAACCATTTGAAGTAGTCTATATGCCGTGTCGTAAATTTCACATTTGCTCGTTGTTCTTCTTACCAATAGAAGCAGCTTCTACCATCATGAAGAATCCATTGCTGCCACATTTGGCATCCATAGCTGAGATCTGGATTCAAAATAATGAAAAGTTTTACATTTTAATCTTCAATCCCAGAATGAGATGCAATGCAATTGTTCAAAGCACTTACAGCAACTTTAACCATGGAATCCAAGTTGGGCTGAGAAGGAGTAGCGGATGCAGCTCCAGTGGGGTTGGACTTAGCATTAAGAGCCAAATTGCTTTGGTTGAGATTTCTATCAATCCATGTGTCCATGTGGTTTAATGTGAAGATTCCCAACAATGGAGCTGATCCAGAGTATGAGTTGAGGGCATCTTTGGTGTTTACGACAGAGTATCCGGCAGCAGCGAATTTAGCATAGTAGTCAGCGTTTGCCAATGATGCACAGTTGGGGGTTGAGTTTGTCTTGGAACTATAGATGAGGTTTCGATGTTAGGAATGTCGAATATTCTCCCGGTGTAAACGAGACAAAATTGTTGGACATACCAGAAGAATTCACCTCCTCCTCCCATGAGGACGTCTGGCTTGACTGCAACACCGCCCCATGGGTATGTTAAACCTCCCAAAGTAGCGTTCCAACCGTTCAAGTACTAGGTAGTCAGAATGAGTACAAATTGACAATACACCAAACACATAATAACATTTAAAATTATGCAGCAAAAGCTCTCGGAATGCTGCTTACTTGGTCGGTAATGTAGTTCTTGTCTACAACGACAATATAGAATATTAGCAGCCATACGAGTAAACCATTAAATTGATGAAAACCATGTAAAGACCAAGATTAAAGCAGCCTTTTCAAAAACTCAAGCTTACCAGCTCTTCTTCGGGTATAAGAGGCCCAGGCAGCTGGTGTAGCGTCTTGTACCTCAGATGTAGTAACAATGCCGATACACATGTTTGGTCTGAGACGACGGATCATGGATGGCAGAGTCTCGGTTTTGGGATCGTCCAATGTAGCGGCGGAAGTATCAGCTAAGAGAAAATGTAATAGCGTCAGTTGATACATCCTAGAACCACAGCTGAGAAACTGCAAACAAAGCACTCACCGTAGACATTGAGACCATTGACCCAACCCTTTTGGCCGGAAGCGTATGTTGAGGCTGAGTTTGCGGAATCCTAAAATCGTCTACAGTGTCAGGCTCATCCTCAATTTCACAGTATATGACTCCCTAACATACCGTGATCATAGAGTCAAGTCCGTTGGGCATTACTTTTCCAATGTTACCCAACTTTTCAATGTTCAGCCAGTTGTTGTCAGGTCCGTATTTGCCGAAACGTGTAGCCTTAAAAATTGGAAGTTGTTTGAGTATGGATGTGCTCTGACTCAAAATGCGACAAAAAAGGAACAATGTGCTCGACGTGCTCTACCTTGGATATCAAACGGGCTGCACTAATGGCGGATGATGGCATTCCATCACCAATGAAGAGTACAACATTCTTTGCTTTTCGGGTTGAAAAACTGCGACCAGTCCAAGTACCAGACACGGTTTCGTTACCAACTGTAGCAGTGAATGAAAGAGGCCCAGCGCTCGTAAGCGAAACAGATCGAATTGAGAATCGGGAGACGCCAACGGTAGTGGCCTATGCCAGACAGGATTGGGTTAGAGCAAAACAGATTAGAAAAGTGACAAATTATGGGATGTAATAGTAGAGGGTTTTGGGCATAAAATAAACAGTTACCTGAGACGAGTATTTAGCAGCGGCGCTAACAAAGTAAGTGAAATTCCAGGCCTCTACGGCTTGCGCTGTTCTTCCAAAGTACGTAGCAGCATTTGTTCCATTTACTGAAAAGGTTAAACCAGAGATATCTGGCGAAGCACCGCCTGCAATGTTGTGAAGCTCGATGGAGATATCGAAGAATTGACCAATAGCGAATTCAGCCCCGTCGACTGGTTCTACGGAAAGTAAAGATCCAGATGGTGAAGCTCTGTTTCGGTTATATTGACCAGCTGTAGGGTGATCAGCGAGCTAGTGAAACATACGAGTGAGAAGCAAAGTTGAAACTGATGCGTCAATGAGATAGTCAAGGTATTAATGACATAATAGAAGATTGGAGATGTAACTTCAAAGGTTAGTTGTTCATTAATGACTCCAAAGCTTCATGTGCAGGTCGTTGACACCAAATCTAAAACAAACACCGAATGGACGCAAACCCCACTTACAGCAACTCCAGCAAGTACAAGAATGAAGTATAATAGGCGATTCATTTTTCAGATAGTAAATGTTTGAATCAAGGCACCGATTTTAAAGGATTGTTAAAAAAATGTGCTCTTCTCTCAAGCGGAGTTTGGCTTTTTTCAAGGAACAACCAACGGTGACCAATGAAGTGTGAACGTGGGAGGAAGAACACTGGGAAGAACTAGGGGGTGTCACTGGGGAAGAGGGAAAGAGCCAATACAATTGCATCGATTCCACATGTTCCTGGGCAAATTAAGGTACCGAAAAGGCCTGGCAGACCTTTTTCCTGGGACGTACCACCAAACTTTTTGGCGAAGTGTAATCGAATCGTCGGTTATATCGTGAATGCATCTTGCCAATATGCGTTGGATTACTGCAATTTTAGCTCTTGTTGGATTGGCTGTAAGTGCTGAGTTCTTCGCTTTGTTCATCACTGGCGTTGTTGGTGTCTTTTAAAATTGACGCTAACAATCACATTCATCTCATCTTTAGTGTGCACAGCATGGAGTTCCTGGGGTACGTATTGAATTTTGTTTCGAATCGTTGACGAATGCATCCGCTCACCTCTTCCTTGCGCGTTGTCTCTATTTTAGCAATTCAATCGAAACAGAGCGCAAGTTTGGTTTTTTCTTCAATAGTCAAGTCTGCTTCAGCTAATCAGTTCTTCTCTCTAGTTCTCCAAATGGAATGAATATTTCCATTACCCCTGTTGACGGCGCTGAATTGCTAGTGGTGAGGATCTTTGACGAGCGCTCTTCCCCTCAACCAAACTAACCCGTTCACAATAACAGGGACAATACTTTGACGTTTCTATTGAACTCCATAACCCCGGAGGAGCTCCAATTGCCGTGAGTGTAGTGGTAGTTGAAGTCATCAGTCTCAAAACAAAATCTGACACGATTGCCTTCTACAGTTCTCAGACGCTGGTGCAACAACTATCGGCATCAACAACATTCTGGGAGTCGATTCCACCACCGCCATATCTGATAGCTGGAACTTTACCTACTATGGTAAAAGCCTTTCCTACGTGTTGCTCTATCGGTTTTTTGTTTTGACCAACCACAATGTTTTCAAAAGCTGACGGTGTCGCCAAGTACTATGGCAAGTCTACAACCGTTGGTGTGAACCGTCAAGCTTTCCGCAACGTTGTGTTGAACAAGCCAGGAACGTATTCGTGGACAATCAGGTAATACTTTGCTCATTCTCCAAGTTGTTGTTCGTTGCTCTAAAGATTATGACCTGGTCTAGTGCCAATGGAATCGGTTATACTGGATCATGGATCGTTCGTTCTTACACTGACCGAAAGGCCAAAAATGTCTTGTTGTTCATCGGTGACGGAATGGCTGTAAGTAGCGCTGTCGAGAGTACTTTTAATGCAACTTCCGACAATGCTTCTGCCATTACTTTATCTTTGCTTAAATCAAACCATTTTTCTGTTTCTAGCCCTCCATGATCTCTGCTGCTCGTACAGTAGCTCGAAAGAACAACTTTGGCAAATACGGAAAGAATGTCCTTGCTATGGAATCTCTCGCAGCTATTGGCAAGATTGGTCCCAATGGTTTAGATTCTATGATAACGGACTCTGCAAACTCTGCATCTGCATATGCTTGTGGTCAAAAAGGTATGATCATATTATTGGTATTAACGAGAACATCTCCATTCACACTTACGTTTTCCTTGTTAACTATCATTAGGATGGGTCAATGGTCTGAATGTTTATGGTGAGTGCTTGATTTTCAGTTCATCGACTTCGGGTTTTATAACCAATCTTGCTACATCTTCTCCTAGCTGATACTTCTGCTGCAACATTGGACGACCCCAAAACCGAGACAATCACATCCATGATTCGTCGTCTTCGCCCCAAAATGTGTATTGGAATCGTTACCACATCTGAGGTACAAGATGCCACACCAGCCGCCTTTTATTCTCACACTAGGAGAAGAGCCGGTAAGCCTGAGTTTTTGAAAATTCTGCTTGAGAATCATGGTTTTTGAATGGTTTTACTATGTTGTTGGATTTTGTTGGATTTTTGGTTTACTTGTATTAATATTCTATATTTCTGCTTTGTAGACAAGAACTACATTACCGACCAAATGATCAATGGATGGAACGGTACCATTCAAGGATTCAACTTCCCATGGAGCGGCAAACCAGTCAAAGCCGACGTATTTATGGGCGGCGGAGGAGAATTCTTTTGTCAAAAGACAAACTCTACACCTGGTTGTGCTTCCCTCAACAATAAAGACTACTATGCAACTTTTGCCGCTTCTGGATACACTGTACTCAACAGTGCCGCTGCTTTAGCTGCTTACAATGGATCTGGACCTATCGCTGGTATCTTTACCAAGAACCACATGGAAACCTGGTTGGATCGAAATGTATCCGCATTTCTTCTTCTAGTTTAAAGTTGCTTCCTTTGGTGTTAAATCGAATATTATGATTACTTTAGGTCTACCCTGCCAATTTGGCCTTGACTTCCAACTCTCCTGATGGATCAGCCACCTCCACTCCAAGTCAGCCCAACTTTGATACTATGGTCATGACTGCTGTAAGGGCGAGCATTTGTGAAAAATGACGAATGAAGTCTAACAATTTCTGCATCTAGATCTCGGTCATGGACAAGAAGTGTACCGATGGATGGTATGGGTTGTTTTTCTCTTAATTTCGGCGTGCATTACAACGTGATTTGAAACCCATTTCTGATAGGTTCATGATGGCAGAAGCAGCTTCAATCGACAAGATGATGCATCCAATGGACGTAAGTCTTGTTATCAATTTTGTTACTGATGATAATCCTTATTCCTAACGGACTTCCTTACTAGTTTGATCGTGGTTTGTCTGATGTAAGTTAACCGTGCTCGTGATTACTTTATCTGGGTTTCCAATTTATGTGCGTCCCCGCATAGCTACTCGAATTGGACCGCACCATTGCTCAAGTCGTCGCTTACGACAAGGCTGGCAGCACTGCCATGATGGTCACTGCTGGTACGCTATTCGTCCTTTTCATCCCAACGAAAAACAACCTCCTCAAGTCTTACTTATTTTGAAATGTTCTCATAGACCATCCTCAAGGATATGACAGTTGGGGTACTGTCGATACTACTCTCTTCAACTCTGCAGACATAACCGATGGAGGCAATTCGACATACTTTATTCAAAAGCGTCGAGCCATTGGAGACTATGGTACTGAAGTGTTCTTCTTGTTACATGTCTTATCAGTATTGTTCATTACTTTCTTTCGTTTTAGATACTGCTGGCTGGCCAAACTTGGTAGTTGATGCCAACGGGTAGGTTTTATTGCTGGAAAGTTGTTACGCCTTACTGACGCCTTGCGCATCTAGGCTCCCATCTCAGTGGCAACAACCATATGTATTGGCTCACGGCAAAGTCGACGGCCCACAACACTCTGAGAACTACCAAGTTGTGCTTGTCCCTGACAACACAACCAACCCACTATCTCGTAACCCGGCAATTGTTGATACTAATCTTACTGCCATTTGGGGTGAAACTATCGCTAATGCAAACCCCAATGATCCTGCCGCTGCTGGTGGTCTTCCATTCAACGCAAATCTACCTGTTGCAGAAGTAACCACTGTCCACACATACCAGAATGTGGATTTGTACTGTCATGGACCTTCGAGCTGGGTTGGTGAGTACTGTTGCCCGTTATATCTGGATCTGTGAACCAATTGCTGTTCTGACATGACGCCTTTATTATCATTAGAGTCGTGCTCTGCTGTCAATGACAACACTGAAGTGTTCTTCATGATTGCCAATGCTCTAGGCTTGAATGGAGATGGAACTCTACCAACCTCTTTCTAGATCCCTACCCAACAAAAATGATACCTATAATCTGTCGTCATTACTCTTATATTAAAAAAGTACATAATATCAGCCCTCATCATGTTTACATAGCCAAATAGAACTGTGGTCTATAATTGAATTCACGACTCGGAAAGTTGGCAAATGCGTCAAAATTACAAATTCCATGTGAGAGGTCTCTTTGGCGAATGTTGGACGTGCTCTCAGGACAGCTTACAAAGAGAGTTCCAAGAAGCCGAGAAACTGAAACAGAAACGCCTCTCAAAAAGTTCAATTTTAAATTTTGTCCTTTTTTTTGGTAAATATTGTCGGCTCCAGAACCACGCTCTAAGGCGTTTTCACATTCAGGATTTTCCTTGAGCCCTCTGATTGCTCCGAGTTCCGAGTTCCTGTGATGCTGCTATGATTTGTATATATAGGAATGATTTCTAACTCTTTTTTTCTAAATTTTCCAGACGTGGTGACGATCGTTCTTGTTGGCGATCAGCCAAAAGAATAGGTCGTGCCTGACATCGAGACGAGCAACCCAAACTAGTTGAAGAAATCATAGCAACAGATAATAAATACTGAAATAGTCTGGGGTGATCGAGAATTTGATTGTTGCGTCCTGCTTCTTGTATCGTTTGACGCAAAAGCAGACACCAAAAGCACGCCCTTTAGGACACAACAAAGAAGGCAAGCATGCTTACATCGCGAAAGTCGCTATCAGATGTGCGCCCAGACATTATCATAACTGGAGGAGGGACAGCCGGATGTATCGTTGCCTCTCGACTATCAGAAGGACTACCCCACCTGCAGATACTGCTAGTTGAAGCTGGTCCTGACAGCAAAGGAATTGCTATAATCAATGAGCTGGCGCGATTCAGAGAGGCCAAAAACTATTGGGATTGGGGCTTTAAAACTACTCCGCAGAAACATTTGAGAAATCATCGTGTTGCTATTGAACGAGGCAAAGTGCTTGGAGGAAGCAGCTGCATTAATTGGTTGGTATGTTGTACTTGATATCGCAGTATATTTGTTGGTATCGTTGTGAGACTAGTGTTATCGTGTTGATATAACTTGATGACTAGGCTGTTGTTAGAGGACATCGACAAGACTGGGATGAAATTCAACAGGAAACTGGCATCACCGGATGGGGATACAAGGATATGCTTCGTAAGTCCTTTTGGAAGCTTGAAATTGCTGTACTGCGGATCAACGGAACTTGACAAATTCATCGTCTTTTACAATTAGCCTGCTACAAACGTTTTGAGAACTATGTGATGCAACCAGACCTCTCTGATGCAGAATTCCGTAGTAAAGGTGGTCCAATCCCAGTTGTCAGCTTTCCGGTAGAGGGGTATGGTGCACAGTTCATCAAGGCTGGGAATGATATTGGGTTTGGACTTGGATTGAACGGACGTATTGATGCCGCGTGTAAGAAGCCGCATCGGATGAATCATGATTATAATGGAAAGTCGCAAGGTGGAATAGGACCTATGCAGGTGAGGGACAATGATTTCTTTTGATTAACGTTAGAGGAGGGCTGACCAAGTCAACAAATCAAAGGTTGCTGTAAATCCAGACCTGTCACGAGGATGCAACACTGCTGCCCAATACATACATCCATACATTGATCCCAAGCTTCCCAAATTCCGTGCCAACCTACATGTATTGACGGAATCGCTAGTAACCAAAATCGTGTTTGATTCTAATGCAAAATCAACAGGGATTGAATGCTTGGTTGATGGCAAGACTACCTTGATACAGGCCGTCCGTGAAGTTATCGTATGTCAAGGTGGTATGTTCCTGTTTGGGTATAACCAAGTAAAATGTACTCCAGGACGGCTCACAAAACAACCCAAATTATATGATAAACAGCACTGCAATCACCACAGCTTCTCATGCTGTCAGGAGTGGGCCCACGAGCTCATTTAGAAGAGAATGGAATCAAATGTGTTTTTGACAATCCTCAAGTTGGACAAAACTTGGGCGACCGTAAATACATATCTGCTCATTTTCTCTGTCAAGAAAATGACACAGGTTTCACGTTCTAGATTTGCTAGTTCATGTCGCATTCAAATGTAAAACGGAACCTTCTGGTGGACCGACAGGCCCGATTGCCTTTTGGAGCACTGAAAAGTATCTGAAGAGGTGTGCGTCGAGGGGGATTAAGCGTCCGGCTACTAATATGGAATGTAAGCTGAACATCTACCTGTCCGAAACTGTACCAATGGGCTAATCTAACGTAAATTCCATGACAACAGCTTATCCTATAAAAGTGGCGTTGCCGTTTCTCTTGAAGGACAGACAGAAAGAGGTAAGAATTGGCTCTGAGTGTCATCTACGTCAGCATTTGCGGCCATTTTCAAGCCTTCAATTCCTTAAACCATACTTCCAGACGATAGATGTCAAGCCTCTCGGTCCTCTCAAACCAGGGCAGACGTTCGATGCAACCGCGCACAAGCAAAAAGGCTTCATAACAAACGTCCCCACCGATTTTGGACCACATCTCCACTTCCAAATAGTTCTCAACAAGATGCAATCTCGTGGATGGATTAAACTTGCAGGCGCCAACCCTTTACTAGCACCACTCATAAACCCAAATTACTACGAAGTCAGAGACGATCTAGTGGATATGGTGGAAGGAATACGCGGTATTCGCACCATAGTACAACAGATGAAACAATACATGCCAGACCTCGGAGACGAGATCGCTGATGAAGCGATTCTTGAAGAGACAGAACGTGTGACTTCCACCAATCGAGATGATGCACTTGCAAGTGATATGTATCTCGAAGAGTTTGTGAGAAGACAGTCTGGAACTGTCTGGCATGTATGTGGGACGTGTTTGTTGGGGAGTGTGGTTGATGAGAGGTGTCGAGTTAAGGGAGTGCAGGGTGTGAGGGTGGTTGATGCTTCAATTATCAATGCACCGGCTGGGAATACGATGGCGAGTGTTTGTGCTGTTGCTGAGAGAGCGGCAGAGTTGATACTGGAGGAGTATCGGGGTGCAAGGTTGTAGTCATGTGGGGTTGCGGGTTGGTGGACTCCAATAACACTATCATCTCTTGAACCAAATTGTTGTTGTAACGCGATTTGTGTCTTTGCTTGATTGCTGCTGGACGGAACTACGAATCCCTTGGAACTACCAGGTGGCAATTACTTTGCCTTGCTTCTCAAGACTAGTTTGATGCCAAAGACATACGAATTCACCCTGCTCACCAAGAAAAACACGTATAATAGGAGAATTTATTGCACTAGCATGAGCGTGAAGCAGATTCAGAGGCTAGACCGGAATGATTGCCTTTGGTATTGTGTGGCGTGGATAACAAGAATACTTGGTTGAGACGGTGAGGGTTTCAAGTATCGGCCTCAAGTGCTGGGACTTGTACGTGTTTTTGACCACTGGTATTAGAAATGAAGAATATCACAAGTGAATTGAATGCAGAAATCCAAGAACAATGGCATTCATGGCTCGTGTGGGTGGCAATCGAATGAGGATTCTAGGAGCTGATGTAAGAACAAACAAAAACGCTATTGGCTCGCAAGTCTCATCAACTCTATTGTACTGCGACCCTCTCCCTCTCTTTTTTTGAGCTCAGACATATTGTCCCAAGACCTATGTCCTGTGGACTGAACCAACACGTCACGTCTCTACAACAAACCGCTCAAATCGTGTCTCGCGAGAAGTTCTACAAGCTTGCAGCCGTGACGCGACGCAATCATTTCAACCAAGACTGGAATGTTGAAAGGTATGCTGATATACAACGTTGCGTTGTAAGTATTCCCAGATATTTACCATGGGTTTGTTGCTGGTCTCAGCAAAAGATTCCTACATGCCCTCAAAAGCTCAACAACTCAGCTGCCATGCCTGAGACGCTCATGCTTGTTGAACTTGAAGAACGGCAAAGTGACTGAAATTCACGCTTGCATCTTTTAGATGTGAGTATCTTTGCTCTCTACACCGGTCTTTTTGGTTTGGCTTTACTCAAAGTACCCTGACCTGTGAACCACTCCCATCTCGCGGGCTTGTGTTTGAGTATGTGAACTGTATCTAGATGTTTTGGTCCATACTGCTTTTTGTCCATACACAGCCCAGAGCAAGAGATGCAATCCTATCTAATTTCTAGACCGCCTTATTTTGTTATCGCTCTCCAACATACTACAATGTTGTTCCCACCAAACATGAAATGTAGCATTTCCAAAGGGTGGTGTTACTGTTACAACAACGAGTGAAGCGTATCCAAACTTCTGATTCAAAGCGCAACAAAAATGACAATGAAACTTTGAGACTGATAATGCAAGGTATATTCTTATAGCAAGCAGTTATGGCGAAATAGAGGTTAAAGAATGCAAAATAAAATAGTTGAGATATAGAGGCCACCGCCAAAAAAGAATTTAAAATAAGTTAACGTCGTCGTTGTGTTTTTTTTTTAAATAATCCACCCCCTGGCTCACTTATCACCCTCCTCATCAGCATGCATAACAAACACCCTCTGCAACAAATCCGTACACTCTTTAGCCTTTGTACCCGACTGCAAATCATCAGCGACACTACAGACAGCCGTAAAAAGCTTTTGCAGTGCTTCTTTCGAGATGCGGAGACTTGATGATCTTGGTTCTATGGGGATTGGTGGGAGGTCTCGTTCCTCGGTTTCCAGGGCAACACCGCTATCAGTGGTTTTAGTGCTGTCGTCGTCTTGTTTTGTGGATGGTGATGTGATGGGTGGTCTTGGACTGTTTGGTTCAGCAGCGGGAGCGATAGACGCTCCAGTTTGCTCTGGTTTATTATTGTGTGTATCGAATTTCGTGCTATCGGGTCTTGTTATGATTCGACCTGGTGATTTGCGTTTGAGTGTTGGTGTTGTTGTTGTCATTGTGGTGGCGTCATCACCATTCGGTACTATATTATTATACGGTGGTGGTCGCAACTGCGTAGTTTCACATGCTTCTTCTTCTATGGTAGCCAAGAAGGTCGTATCATCACCAACAACAGTAGCAGCATCATCAACACCACAATCTGGCACTCCAACATTCACAATAGCAGATGGCTCATCGGGAACTTGATCAGATCCAGCCACAAGCATACGCTCTAACTGACGTACAGCGACAGGCCCCATACGTCGTAATTCAGATTGTACTTTTTTGAGTATGGTTGCCTTTGTTCTAAACCATCGAAAGCCAGATTCTGCATCGGTCATGCTGACACAATCGGGCATATGGATGAGGCCACATATTATAGTTAATCTTGGGACACCGATTATGACTGATGGGTCGAATTCAGCGAGTTGGGAGCGTGTGATTAGGCCTTCTGAGATTGCTCGCATGATTGTTTCTGACATGAGCACCTAGAGTTTGTTGTAAATATCAGTTTGTGTAAGGGTAGCGAAAAAAATTACGTTCGACGCTAGGATCCGTAAATTCTCCAAAGCACCTTCATAACACACATACCTGAAACATGTCCGTCTCATCCGTACGACCAGGACGTCCAGTATACGTGACAGTAAAGTAGCAAAAGCAGATATGCTGTTCAAATACAGCCCAAGCTTGATCAAAATCCTTCAAAACAGCTTCCAAATCACTGTAAGGCAATTCCGTATTATCTTTGCCCACACGCCGCATCCTAAACACGAATCGTAGTGCTTCCATAGCAGCACATAGATTCCTGGCAGGTTCGACCAATTCGTTTGTAAAGGATTCTATACCACGGATACGGAATCCACGAGCTAGAGCTTGAGCAGCGAATAGGATGTTTTCAGAGAAGCCGCCTTCGAGTTCTCGTTGGTCTTCTGGAGGAAGACGAGATCGATATGTCTTGTCGGCTCTGATTGAGATGTCGCATTCCGAGTATACGAGATGTATGGATTCGAGTAAGAGTCTTTGGGTGCGGTGGACTGATTCACATCTTTGTGGATGATATGGGATGATGAATTAGCACGTCAAGAAAGGGTGTGTAGATATAAGAAATGAATGAAGAGAGAACTTACTTGTGCCTGAATTTGAGGGAAGCCGGATCTCGAACCTTGTGCAGTGATTTGATTGCTTTGGTCAACTGCTCATCTGTAATACAGATTGTATATAGTGTTAGTATGTTGTTGCTTGGTAAACATGAAACCGCGTCAACTCAAGAAGCCAAATGAAGCTCTATAGCTCTCAGAACAACCCCGTGATGGATCAAATGCAGAGATATTTAATCAAAGAGCATAGATCTATGATCTTTCTAGTCATGACATGTGTCAACAAACAGTCTGTATGTGTATACCTGAGTGTATGAATAGGCTTAGTGGGTGCGATTCATTGAGACGAGGTATTCTCCTAGATCGTCTGCCCCATTGCTTGTAGTTGAATATAGTAGCAATATTACTCGAGGAAGCGGGAGCGGTGGATGGCATTTGAGTGTTGTTTTCTCGTCGTCTTGGTGCAAGTGATTGATTTGATGAATTTGGACGATGTGGCGAGGAGGGAGGATTAGCTGCCATTGGAGGAGTAGATTAATATGTGTATAAATGGGGAGTACTCGGTGGATGTGGTCGTTGGGTTGCCTCGATTGAGATCTGGATGATTGTTTGTTGTGATGAATGAAATGAGCTGGTTGTCACGTTTTTTTTACGAGCTTGACTACCACGGTGAGAATAAACGTCAACGACGTGTCAAACTGATATCATCACGTGTATTTAATACATGTAGAATGATCTGATCTTATTGAGACTCGTTTGCATTATAACTCGCGCCTGATTTTGACGAGCATGTCAATTGAATTCATCAAACTTGGACTTGTTAACAACTCCTGCCATGAAACTTACCACCAAACCAAGAATTACGCGTTAAATACGATGATCTAAATGATCTATCGCTTACACTGGCTCGCATTCACCTCGATGACAGGTTAAGATATCCACTATCTGTTAAGCTTTCCTTCCAAACTCTACCACATAACAAAGGGCTTAACAGAAAGCAAAGTAACAGATAGCCCACTTTCTCCATTCTGATTTCCACACAAAATGATTCCGAGATCCGCAATCTCCTCCCTACCTAGAATCGCATCTTCCAAGCTCCTACATCCTGCACATACTGCGAGAAGGAATTCACGTGGATTTAGTACATGCAAGACTACTAAAACACGGCAGAGAATTCATTTCTGGATACTAGGCACCACATTCACTCTCGGAATAGCCATCATCACACCCTCATCTGCAAACATTGTCTCGTCTGAGGGCTTCATTGCCACTGACGAGCTCAAACAAAAGTCAGCCTCAAAGGATAGCGTACTAAAGGCGATATCTGTTACAGAACCAGCAGTGAATAGTCAGCAGGCAAAACCTGTCGATACAGCAAACTTGGAGAACTGTGCTGTGTATGAGTATCCTGATGGGAACTCGGACAAGCCAAGGCTACTGATCTTGGGATCTGGGTGGGCTGCTACGTCCCTCATCAAGTCGTAAGTACCTTTATCATTGTTGTCTGCCGAGGACGATACCATGTTGGAGCTATGTGCTGGCAGTATTCTCGATGAACACAAAGCTTAAACGCTTCGCACTAGGATCACTCCTGGAATGTACCAGATATTGGTCCTGAGTCCTACAAACTACTTTTTGTTTACTCCTGTAAGTGCTTGATTGCGAATTGCACAAAGGCAAAAAAAGGTTCCCGATGGTCGCGATTATTGAATTCAATCTAAATTTAGCTGCTACCTGAAGCAACTACTGGTACCGTGGAAGCGAGATCACTTATGGAGGTATGTTCGTAGTTGCATATATTCCAATAAAATTTGATTTCTGATTCCATTTACTCTTTTAGAGCATGAGAGCCATATGTCTGAAAAAGGAAGCGCACTACCTTGAAGCTACAGCACAAGGTACTTTATCAACGATACCACAAACCTCTCGAAAATTAAAGCACTGACATATCTTAACTTAGACATTGACATTGAAAGGAAACAAGTCATCGCTCAAGGACGAGACGGCAAACCATTCAGAGTACCATATGATCTCTGCGTCGTTTCTGTTGGTGCCACAAATCAAACATTTGGCGTGCCAGGTGTCAATGAGAATGCATTGTTTCTCAAGACTATTGCTGATGCGAGAAAGATACGATACCAGATTGGGTCTAATTTGGAAGCTGTAAGCGTGCAGCCAGTGTATTTATTTGCTTTTTTTGGTTGTTAAGCTGAACGGTTTCTGTTTCGCATATGTAGGCTGCTCTACCTTCTGTAACTGATGCTGAGAAACGAAGGTTGCTTTCAATTGTCATTGCTGGTGAGCTGCTTTCTCATCTTCTTTGGAAAACGACAACCCCACTCAGAAACAATATTCCCTTTGTACAGGTGGAGGTCCTACTGGTACAGAGTTCGCTGCTGAAATATCAGACTTTGTGTCTTCAGACGTGCGTCGTCTGTTTCCTGTGAGTACTCGAACTCATGAGGTTTATCTCTCGCTTCGGTTTTTTGTCTACAGCACTAATGCCATCTTCCTGCTTCCTTGATAGGAATTGATCGATTATGTCACCATTACCGTCGTGCAGGCTGCCGATCATATACTTAATACCATGGCAGCTAAACTGTCTGCGTTTGCCGAGTATCGGTTCAAGAGGTACAATTCTATGGTGCTCGAGACGCCTATTTTTGGTCACTAACAATCTGCATTTCATCAGACAAAACATCAACCTGCTTACCAAGACCCGTGTAGTCGCAGTCGAACCATCTGCATTAGTGTATAAGAAGCGTGAAGCAGATCCAAAGGCGGAACCTGAGAAATTGCCTTTTGGTATTTGTGTGTGGGGTGAGTGTTGTTACCGTATTGTGTGATGGTGAGGCATCGATAGATCGATTAGGATGACAAAACATTATCTCTTTTAAGCCACTGGCATTGGAATGAGAGATTTCACTCGCAAGCTGCATGAGAAAATCCAAGAACAAACACATTCCAAGTCTCTTGTGGTTGACAATCGCTTGCGGATTCTAGGCGCTGATGTATGTGCCATTTCACCTTTCGTGAGAGAAAGAAAGCAGTGTATCTCAGTCACGGATAATACACCTTTTCCCTACAGTGTTTGTATGCTATGGGTGATTGTGCAACAATCGAAAACCCAGCTCTTCTCAAGTTGGTTATGGAACATATTCGACGAACCGGGCAAGACAAATTGACGTATGAGCAGTTTGGACATATTGCTGCTCACATGATTCGAGAATACCCCGCTGCTGCTGTTCATTTGGAGAGGCTGGGAGATCTCTTTACGGAATATGTACGCATGATGTGGTGGTTCTACATCTTTTTACGTCTTCCTGACATTCTTTGTTCCATCTAGGATTTTGACAAGAGCGGAACTCTGGATGTTCAAGAAATCACAGTGAGAATCACTGTACAGTGGGCCTTTATGACCGCATTTTGCTCACGCATGGTTTTACTAGGCCATGCTGACTGAAGTTGACAAGCAATTGACATCACTACCACAAACGGCTCAAGTCGCATCTCAAGAAGGTCTATACCTGGCAAAAACACTTAACAAGCTTGCTGCGATGCCACAATCAAATATTAAAAACAAAACAGAAGAATGGAGGAGTGCTGAGAACACACTTGCACCGTTTCGCTGTGAGTATGCACAGGTATTGTAGGTTTTTTCCTCTTGAACCAAGCATTTTTTCGATCACTATAGACTCTCATTTCGGCACCTTCAGTTACGTTGGGGGTGAAACCGCCGTGCTAGATCTCGAAGGTGGATGGGGAACAGGTGGATTGTCGGTCTTCTGGCTTTGGAGGGGAGCGTATCTGTCCCGTCAGGTATGCCCAGGGTTTATTGGCTTGTTTTTTCGCTCATTTTCATGAGATGTTTTGAATAGGTCTCATTCCGAACCAGAGCATTGTTGGGGTTGGATTGGATAAAGGTGACAAGAATCCTTCTGTCTTGGCAGGCAAAACTCTTGACTCAATTCTCCAACTCCTTTATAGACGGCGATATTTGGACGTGATGTGTCAAGATCATGATTATGTGACAAGGCACACAAATTAGGCTTGGGACACTTGATATGCGAGGTGAATTTCTACTTGTAAGATATGTTGTTTTGCTTTTTAAATAGAGTACCACATACAGAGAACAAAAACGCCATTCACAAGCTTTTCGTTTATCACACTGATCAACCTGAACAACACTGTTCACGTTGTTGGTTGCCGCAAGAATCGGATCTTCGGAAGGCTTTCCAACTTTGCCTTGCTGTGAAATAAAAGGGACGGGTAGGTGATTGACGAACCAGTTTCTCCCCAAAGTAGGGCTTCATCAACGAATAAAACCGTTTGACGTGGCTGAAGTAGACCAGTGTGTGGGTACCCTGATGAAAACTCTTACAACCCGAGGCATTTGAGTCTGGGAGTTGGGTGAGCTGTTGATTGAGGTGTAAGTAGCTTTATGGTCGTGTACTTTTTTTTGGCTTGTTGGGTCTATGTGATGGCATCCTCTGTGTCTCTGATTCCAGAGTGCCATTGCTTCGCACCGTGAAATGTCGCTGCCAACAGAATGTATGAGAAGTCTGGTGCTGAGTCGACCAACGTTCTTGTTGTTACCCAATTAAACGCATGCTCATGGTTTAGGCAAAAAACCGGTGTTCATCCTTCAAAATGCCAATTAAAGTCTTTTCCCATTCTAGCTGATGCCTCAAGCACCTTCTGGTACTGTTGAAGTGGCAAGGACGAGATGGGAAACCATTGGGAATAGCTCAAGATCTCTGTGTCGTATCTGTTGGTGCTATGAATCACGTTTCTCGGTGTTTCCGGGTGTCTATGTGAATCCTTTGTTCCTCAGGCTCTTCGCTGATGCTTGAGAGGTAGCATGTGAGATTGGATCTAGTTCGGAAGCTGTGAGCGTTGTTTCTGTTTCACCATAGCCTGTATACACTGGATCAATCCCAAATTTGAGATATCAATCATAGGATATCATGTCATCAGTCGTGTCTTGTAGAATCAACTCAACATAAATCTTTCTACTTGTATATTTGTCGTTTGCTGCTAGTAGCTACAAGTGCAGAGTGTAAGTAGTAAGTAGATCCAAAGTTATGCCAATATATGAATAATTGAATCTCGAATCGCGTTCTTCCTCCGGTTACTCCAGTTTCATATCACCTACTAGGTAGAATCCAAAAGCGTTTTTGAACGTGATCTGGCGGTGGTCTCTCGTCGTGCTTGGTTCAAAGAGGCCTCAATTATGCAAATCTTCTCAATGTAGTGGTGCTCTAGGTCTTTTTTTCCGGGGCGAGCTTTTAACAGTAAAATGTTTGCAAATTGGGACAAGATCTTTGCCAAAGTCTTGGCCATTGGAATATTTCTATTGCTGCTTACAATTCTAGCATGGAGTACGTCTGGTGGATATCAAGAAATCCCTCCTTCATCGCCGGTATTTGTCGCTGCATTCATCCGCATCAACATTTAAACATTATTTCAAACAATCACGTTTACTAGGCCAACACGAGCACCACAAAGGAAGACTTAACGAAACCTTCAGGAATATACTGTCCACCATGGAAGATGCCTTCTGGATTATGGATCAACACGACAGCAGATCAAGAACCATCGTCATCCATAAGCAAAACAATCCTAAAAATGCCATACGATATCATGAAATGTCGGGATCGTTTCGCTGCCGTGTATCCATTATTATATTCTGGCATATGGGGCTTTGAGAAGCCGTTTCATCTACAATGGATGTCACATTCAGGGTGTATTTTGCATCCTGTTGATGGTGCGTTGTGGCTTGAGACGTATCGGAATAAGGAGATTTTGTTTTTTGGGGTAAGATGGTGTCTTTGGTTGCTTTATAACTGGATGCAAGTGCTTACATGGCTTTGGTTTAGGATTCGTTGACTCAACAAGGTGAAGCAGCAAAAAAACACCACTCAACTCGATCTATTGCATATGCTGACTTGATTCACATGCCTAGTATACATATCCTTCGTATGCACTCTAGAAGCAACACTAGCTTCATCAGATGCAAACTATCAGCAGCCTATTCGTATGGCTGATCCAGATCCTCATTATGTCATGACTGGAATCTCTCATGGATGGTATTTTCCTGCTCATAATATTACAACCACCTTCTTCAGGTATTTATATGACTGGAGGAATTGGAAATTGTTTGAAGATAATCTGAAGCAATGCTTGAATTGTATAGGAGCACATCTTGGACGTCGAGAACTGATGTTGCCAGTCCATTGTGGGCGTATGCTCGGAAGAGTTCGCTTTGGATTGCTAGTGATGGAGCTTGTGAGTGAAGTAGTATTACTGTAGTAGTGCATCTGAACTCTTAGACTTTTTTTTTTCTTCGCATAGGGTATAACAAGCACAAAAAGTAAGGGTTGCAACCAAAAAAGTGTACTTAACCTGGTTACATTATACGTGCAATAACATGACGTTTGTGTAGTCTCAACAAACCCGAATTCTTCGACCTCGAAACTCTCCCATCAGACCTATACGCCTTCCGCCACGCCATATCTGATTTCAAATACAATGGCACCTTCATAACACGAAGCTACATGCCAGTCCATTTCGATACCGACGACAATGAATGGCAAGGGCCCGTAACAGACAAGACATGTATACCACCACACGAAACAGCACTATTAAATCCACGGTATGCAATGGCTAGAGATGTGTTTATAGACGCTGGTTGGCCATTTGTCGATGTGTATCAGGAGGTATTGCCGCTGTGGGAGTTGCATCGTCCACCTTCTGATTGTAGACATTGGATGCATCCGGGAGTGTCTGAGTGGGTGTTTCAGGCGCTGCATCATAGCATGGTTGAAGCTGGTATCTTTGATAAGGGTGTGAGTGAGAGTAGTTTAGATGGTTGATGTGTGTAAAGGGCTGGTAATTAGAAGCTAATTCGACTTGTGTAATAATTCTAGCAATTATAACTTATTCTTATAGCAAACAATAAGACAATTTTCGCATTACAAACACATGGGGCTGGCTTGAAAAGAAACCCCCTAATCCACCGTGAAAAGATCCGAATTCGAATACAAAAAACTGTAAAAAGCATTGTGTGCCTTAGATCACTGCTTTGTAGTATCCTTAACAAAGCGGTTTGACAGCAGCGGAAAAAGTCACAATGCCGGCCGAATATTGACCAGATCGCGTCCCTTCATCTCTTGATCAGCCTATGTGAAATCCAAAGAAAGCATGCATCAAAGATAAACCGGAAACGACGCACAAACTTGAGAATGCAAAAGCCTCTATTCTTTCAACAAATCCGTTATTTCCTGATCATGAGTTTGCCTTATTTGACTCAAGGCGAGAGATTCAATTATCGACAGGATGAAATATCCAACCATAAATAAGAGTATTAGATTCCATGCATATGCAAACGTGCTTGCTCGGACCTAGGAATTCACTATGAGCGTGAGCAAAAAAACCATCCAGAGAGAGCAACTTATGTGACGTCTACCTTGGTAGGTGTCCCATCATTAAACTGCCGTAACTGACTATCCAGCATTTGCTGGACATATATATGAACACTTGGATATTTTCTTTTCAGCCATGCCATAATCACATCTTCTAGTATGTCTTTCGAAAAGAGGATGATGACTGCGAAACTCTATGATATGATGAATGAGTGTAGGTATGTGTTGATGACCTTCAAATCGTTTAGTACTGGTTGTCGATATTTTGCCCTACCTGTAAAGAGCTTTTTATAAGAGCCTTCCCCACAAATGTAGCACCAAAGAACTTCCAAAATGGTATTGAAAAGTGCCCACATATTATGCCAGCGAGATCGAATAGTGGGTTGGGTATCTATGACAAGACCGAAGAAGACGAGAAACAAGTCAGAGAGGTAATTGGTATGAGCAGATTATCTGCTGACAAATCTTCAATCCTATTGATATGCGGAAGCAGGCTATGCTTACCGAAGCACACAATACAATCCCAATAAACCCAAACTTGGTCAACATGCTATACATTCCAAGTTGGGCTCGCTCACTAAACTTTAACTCTGATGATGGTTTTCGGCTCAGATTCTCTATACTGGCTATATCCTGATCGTCTCGTCCTGCAGCAGCAGCTAGTTCGCGAAGGTCCCGTGTTAGTACGTAGAGAACAAGGACCAAAAAAACGGTGATAGTCCGTATGATGATGCAAGTGCTCTGTCATACCAGCTCTAGCAACAAAATACGGTGGCAGCTCTCCCAATGCGGTTCCAGCACCCCACCAAAAGCACTCTAATCTAATTTTACTTGCTATCTGCCAAATAGTTACGGCCTGATCAACAGACACACATTGAAAACTAGCAAGTAATGATTTGTATTAGCTTCAATCCTAATGCGTATCATGACTTGCCGTGTGGGTTCTTTTCGCTGACCTGTTTGGCCCACGAGTCTCAAAATCCACCGAACCACAACGATAAGCCGTTAGCGTAGCTCTTGCAATGAAAGGTCCAAGAAACAGCACATAAGTATGCAGTCCTGTTCCAAGCCCAATAGATGATGCCATGCCTAGAGCGAGCCAGTATCCATACCAGAGTGTTGATGCTTCCAAATACGATATAGTCTGTCGTAATACGATCCAAGTTAGCTTTTATCGACCGAACTAGTTTACTACGTACGCACATGTTGATGTGGCCCATCAGCAGAATAAACAACGAGGGCCCCCAAGATCATCAAGAATATCGTCATGACACCAGCCACGTGCTTGGCGAGATATCGTACGAATGATTTCACGCATTCCGAGAGATATATGATAAAGTATTTGGTTATAGTCCATGGAGCAGATGAAAAGTTGAGCTTGGTTCGTATTTGCGACAGTTGGGAGCGTCTTGTTTTAGCTGTCATTTGTGGGGGAATAAAAGGGAAAAGGGAGAATTAGAAAATCTTGCATGACTTTGACAGATGGTGTTGAATCTAGGGCGAGCTCTTCTTTCCGAGTTCAAGGGAGTTGGCGCTTGCTTGCAAAATGTGTCATGGCTTGAGATTTTTCTCGGTTCTCACCTATATCTTCTTTCTGAAGCCGCGAATCGTCCAGTAAAGATGGTGCTGATTTGGTGGAATCTGGCGGATCCTTTTCCATTTTGACACGTTTTCTATGTTGCATGATGATGTTATTTACTCGTCAAGTTCAAACAAAAACTTAAATGTCGGTGGTCGGGATGGAAAACGAGCAAATCTTATGTAGACCCTCTTAACAGATATAGCGCGTAAAATGCTATCGCTCTTACCTTGTCGTTGGGGCATCCGTCATGATCGAGAATAGCTACTCGCTCCTTGAGGCGAAAAACTGCAGTTGCAAGAGGATGTTGCTATGGCAAGATCCAACACCAGACACGTCGAACTTGATGCATTTTCGATATTTGAACGCTACTTGCAAGGCAAAGTTCGATGCGAACTTACTGGATTTATGCTTTAAATACAACATCATACATTATATTACATTGAGCACCATAGCTCGTTCAAAACACCTCTCAGTCGCTGATCTCCTTCTCGAGCAGCTAGTTCTGATAGGTGCTGAGACGTAGCATTGATCTGGCGAATCAAAATGGAGCAAATATTAACAAACCAAAGAAACTGTTCCAAGGCTTTCTGCTATTCACCTGAGTAAGTAACTGTTCACGGTACCGATACTCTCCAAAGGTAGTCTCTCCAGCATCAATATCCCTCACAGCTGCATTCAACACTTCAGCTACACGCGTCACCATTTCAACACCACCATACTTGGTGATTGACATTGGTGATGCTAGTGCTGATGCTGCATTGATTCGAACTTTACTATAAAGACGAACACAGTTCAGATTTTATGACTTCAGCCCCTCGGTGTGGTTTACGATACTCACAAGTTCTTGCATGAGGATACAGCTTGCATCAGCGCTTCTATTAAAGGCCGAATCCAAGCTGCACCTTCACTGGGCAGCGAAGGGTTCGAAAACATGTTTGCAACCGCATGACATGAATTCCATCGTGTCTGCCGTGAAAGTAGCGTTGAGCGAAAAAAAGTCAGTCAGTCCCTGCTGGGAATGGTGAATTTACCTTCATAGCACCACTCGTCATGTTCTTGATCAGGGCGTTAACCACATCCTTGACTTTACGTTCACATTCGCGATTCAAGAAACTTTCATTCGATATTCGAATGAGATTGCCTAATGCGCGAACTCCATTCGATCGACACTAAGTTTCACGGATGAGCAAAAAAGGTCCATTATTGAAGAATGATACGCATCGACGAAGCATTCTGCGAGTCACCTTGTCGTTATCCCTTGCCGCAAGCAGCGCTGTCTCTATCAAATCCACCAACACAGAGTCTGTAAGCACTTCAGAGAGATCAGTGTTGGAGATCCTGCATGAGACGCAGTCAGATCAAGTGAAGCTGACTTTTTGGGCGCAATTCATCCTTGATGCTCCATACCTGGTGGAAACAAGAGCATCAGTCATATTCGCTAAAGCCCAACTAGCTTTTGACCGAACACCAACGCCCTGATCAGACACGTTTGGTTTCAACGTCATTGCTACATCCATCATGAATAAGGCGTCCTAAAGCAAAAATGAAATTTAAGCCAACAAAGAATAAAGAAGCAGTGTGATTCCAACCTGCTGAAGTATCGGGAACGTCACAAAGACACCAGCAGTTCTACAAGCAGCGATCCGGACATTCACGTCCTCTTCGCCATTCATCATGCCCAATACAATAGTCACTAGCCCATATCGCTCAGGGACTGTCATGACATTAAACACATCTGATGGGATGTGTGAGACACAATCACAGCATAATGATCTGACAACGTATGAGGCATCAGCGAATCCAGGGATAACATATGTGTTGAGGACTTGGGTATAACGTGGTGATGGTATGAGGGTGCTTTCTGACGAGGTTTGCACTTGTATGTCGTCTTCGTCTGGGGCAGAAGAAGAGCTGCCAGCTTGTAAATACTGTTCAAATACTTTGTAGCTTGCTGCTCGGAGAGTAGGGTTCTCGTCATTGATATTCTTGCTTATTTTTAAAATTATTTCATCCCAGAATTCGCTGCAGCAGAGAGTGAAAAAAACGAGAGGTGTCAATCAAGCGATTGCAGCCACCTGTGTACAGAGTCAACCCACTTCATGGTAACAATATCATTCTTGGCAAACGCAGCAACACAATCGAAGGCTGCAATCCTCGCCGGCAGCGACTCCGACTCGAATAAATCCAAGATGCAGGATAATGAGAAGCCCGTCTTTTGCTTTGACAAAGCATCCATAGATGAGGTCTTGAATCCAGATTCCACAAGTACAGTGATCACTTCCAAAGCAGCGACTTGTGTCGTCGTATCACTTCCTTGAAATAAAGATAGAAAGACCCTGATGAGAAATCTCTTTAGGCCCGAAAACCTCGAAAGCACGTACCATCTTGAGCTCGAGGATACATCAGCGAAAGAATCCAGAGCGGCAAATCAGACGGTAGATTCTTAAATGTTGTATTTCGTATCAATACAGACAGGGCCTGCTCGAGAGAACAGTTAACGATTTCAAAATCGAAACGACTGTGATTTGTACAGAACGATACCTTCAGCAAGTGGACTAGAACAACCATATCAGGCTCTTGCGGTATAGCACTCAGCAATTGAAAGTACGTGCCAGTCAATTGCCGACCGAGTCGTTCAGCCAGAGACGTAAAAGACTTGTTGGCAGAACTAGATTTGAAGAAATAGTAAGGGCAAAAGACCGGCCACTTCGAAGGTAAAATTTCTTACGAAACATCAGCGATTGAAAGATATTGTTTGGCTCCATCGAAAAGAGCTCCAACAACTTGATATACGGCCAACCTCACTCGGGACTGTGGGTGATGCCGTGCTATAGAACATAATGTCACAGCTGAACTAGTTTCTGGACCGTCCGGGAGAAGTCGAGACCATGAAGAGTGAAAGAGCTTTGGAGATTGCTTGATGGCAGTATGGAGACATTGTAGTGCATTCATTTCGAGACGGCCCGGGTTCTTCGACCTATGATACGTGCGGATTGCATCAGAGATTTCCAAAAGTGATATGAAAGCGTCTAAGATTCGCGTACGTTCTAGTTGACCCAAACTCAGAATCTGACATCTCAGAATCTGAGGTCGTAACTGGTACAGTTCTTGGATTTCGAGCTAACCAGAGGCGTTCAGATCAACCGAAAGCGAAAGTGCAAGGAGAAAATAAGATTGTGTCTGATATATACCTGTAGTGGCGGATTGGATGGCTGACTGTGACTCTGTCGCGAGAGCAACCATACATAAAAGCGTAACAAGAGGCTCCACCGCACTCGCCACTGCACTGCTACTCTCAGTTAGAACGAGCTGAAGAGCACGGAGAGCATTTGTCGCGATCTGTTGGTAAAATGAACTGGGTCAACATAGATAAACGTCAACACGTCTCGAGAAAACTTGCTCATGCCTTGGCAGTACGATCCCCTCCATCAATGGTATGACAGTCCCGTAGATTTGCGTATATAACTTGACAAACTTCATCATAAAAAGGAGCTTTAGGTCCAAGCTTGACGCACAAATGTCCGAGACACACTAGCGCTGTTCTCCTGATCTCTGCTGATGCTGATGGTGCCGGCAATCCAGATGATGTAGATCCCGTATCCGAATGAGTAGCTAGAGGGATGAGTGCGTCCACGACTTGTCTTTGCAACTAGGTTATAAGATCTGGTTGAGTTTACGAGCATAAGTCGAATAATTGTCACTGCAAGCTTACCGAGTCTTGCAAACTCGGGCCGTTCTCGAAAAGCAGAGTCCCGAGTGCTCTGAGTACGTCTATCTTCTCCAGATCAGAGACCTTCTTCAGCGTATCTAAGACAAATATAGTGAATGCTGACACGACCACAGATTCACCCAAGTTGACAGCCTGACGGGGAGTCAGAGGAAGGGAATGAGAGATTGTTTTCGCTTAAAGTCTGCAATCATAGAATTTCTTCGATACCCTCAGCTTCCAAACATACATACTTTTCTAGGCTGTCGACTGTAGAGCTTGAACAAGATGTTGCAGAATTTCAGAGCCTGAGGTTCGGGGCGGTACTTTTGAATCCATTTTACGAGCTTACTAACATCCTAGATCAGCAATAAACATTAATATAACGCGTTACTCTATATCTGCACATATGCTCTTACCCCATTCTTCCAATCTCTGTCATTAATGGGATATGCAACTCGATTCAAGTCATCTAGTACATCCAGATCTGAGCGATTCGACGCGCCATTACTGCATAACTCGTCCACCAACGCGTGGAAGGATCCCTGGAGGTTCATGTTTCCATGAGGATGTTAAAAAAAACATAAAAATTAAGACAGCTTGTGCATGTCGACGTTCAAATTGAAGAAGGAAGCCAATCCAAAAGCAATCATATGAATAATCTGCTATTAGAAATTAGAACGACGCGTCCATTTCAACTAAAGACGAGAAAAAGAAGCTCCATAACTGGACAGTCTTTTTCTAGATCCGAAACCAACTTACGTGACAGAGGCGAGTCGATGGGGAGGGATTTTCAAGTAAAGTGGGGCCGTCGTGGCCTTGGGCATTAGACGAGATGGTACGGGTTCCGCCCACAGCAGACAAAATTGTCCACCGTCAAGTCGTTTGCCACCAAATACAACAGTCAATTGGCCCCAGCGTAGCTTGGAGCTGCAGGTGTCAATGAGCTATGTTCATACTTTTGGTCGGCTCAGCGATACCAGCAGGCGAGGACTGAGTTGGGATGTTTTGGGCTGTTTGTTTTACTGACATCAACTAACCACTAGCCTCTTACCCCAACAGCGGTGTGGACTACACGCATATGTATAATATAATGTTGTATAATATAGTAATAAATAAACTATACATAATAACCACTTTGAACAATATAATCTTCATTACAAAACAAAGTCGCATTTCAATGCAACACAAACCGCCTGTTTACAATGCAAGAAGTTCTTGTATTTAGTTGCTCCCACACTATAAGCACTTCTACCACCATAAGCCCTCGTCACAGACTTTATCATCTCTCACACCATTACCACCAATCCATAACGCTCAGGAACTGACATGACATTAGGGCTCCCAATTCGAGGCAGCCTGATTTCTTGGATCTATTGTAAGAACAGGGTGGCTTGTATCAGGTGGTTGCAAATGCGATATCAAAGTGCTCGAAATTCACTTACTGTTTGCTTCGTCAATACGAGTTGAAAAGCACTTGTAGCCGCCTTTGGTGCGAACAAAAAATACAAAAAGGGCTTGACAATCGCCTTCCCTTGGCGGCATGATCACGTCCATCAATTTTTTGATATTCCCCTGAGTTCCGAGATATAGCTTGGTACGTCTCAGATTATATGGAGTTTTTGGTCCAAGCTTGACCGACAGATGTAGACAGACAAGTGCAGTCCTCTTGACTTCTGCTGATACTGCTGGTGCCGGTAATCCAAATGATGTGGATCGGCTTCCGTCAACTTTATCTATGGTGTGGAATGAAGAAACTGTTAGAGTCAAACCCACGTTCAAAGTTTGGACGCGGACAACCAGAAGTTACACACACAGATGAATTTACACTGGCAATCAAATAATACGATGGTCTTTATCGTCTGTTGCCTCCTCCAGAGCCCTTTCAGATTCTAAACTACTAGCTTCGTGGGAAACGAAGGGGACGTGATATCCAGTCAAATGAGAGATGCCTGGTCACAATTGAAAGGGGAAAGCGTACATCGGTATGAGATTCACGTATGATGCCTTAAATCATGTCTTTTGACAACATTTGGTTGGGTTTCTCATCCGTAGTAGTAGGTACTTCCCAAAAGCATTCAAAACATCGTTGATCCCAGGTGTACACAAGAGCCCTAATTAACATTAGGCGCGTAATACTTGAAAATCATTGAAATCCATTAACTTGCGACTCTAAAATAACCTTGAAACACGTCAGTATATGCACCAGTAGTTCTCGAAAAGAATATCTATTCGCATCATCCAGTTGAAGGATGGGTCATGCATCAGTTGTGGTCAATACACGTAAATACATACGCGTAAATCAAGTATCTCTCATTCTTCAACCACCATCTCCAAATTTCTCAGATCTTTCTCTCACCCACCGAAGTCAACTGAGGTGATTAGAAGCCGAAAACAGCAAAGAGGTACGTTGAACGAGGACACTATCCCGTCATGTAATGGCATGCAACAATCAAGTTTCCACTATTACGCTATCTGCATTTGCTTTACAAACACGTCCCGTTTTGGAAAAAAGAGGAATGGGAGTTGTTGGTGGGAATGTCAATGATTATGACAATATAGAGAAGAACGATGTATTGCATCCTAGTACTGCATCTGCATAGTATGCATTGGAATATCTTGCCATATGGCATCTTACCATCGTACACGCAAATGTCATCAATTTGTTTGAAAAATTATGCATTAATCTACCATGCAAGAATGACGACGAAACTAGAGATTGAACAAGCCCAAATATTCCAAATCCACATATATACAACCAAACAAATCAAATCTAACCCTCCATTCACCTCATAGAACCTATCGTGTTCTACTTTGCCACTTTAACCCCTCCTCTTACACCACACATCTCATCACAAGGATGTCTGACCGTAAAGCCGTAATCAAAAACGCAGACATGTCTGAAGAAATGCAGCAAGACGCTGTAGACTGTGCCACCCAAGCCATGGAGAAATACAATATCGAAAAGGATATCGCGGCATTCATCAAGCGAGAATTCGACAAGAAATACAACCCTACTTGGCATTGTATTGTGGGAAGGAACTTTGGGTCGTATGTTACGCATGAAACAAAGGTACGTCTGTGTGGTTGTGTTTTGGGGAGAGAGTTGGATTTCGAGGTCTACTTCAGCAACGATTCTGATTCTGTTTTTTTGTGAGTAGCACTTTATCTACTTTTATTTGGGCCAAATCGCCATCTTGCTTTTCAAGAGGTGAGTTTCTATCGCGTGTTTATTATTGTGTTGTTAGCGTTTTGTGTTGGAAGACGGGCCTGTCACGTCACATATATCAAGGACCAGTGCTTTTTCTGTCTTCCGACTGGCCCTCCAATGTTACAAACACTTCCTTGCTGCTGACCTCGTTGGGGTTGTGGTCGTTTTTGTCATGCCGGCTCTCCTGCATCCGATATTATAATCGCTATTTCATGTTTTTGGCTTCACATCTCCCCCTCCTTTCCCGTGCAATACCTAACTCCAATCTTACCATATCTATAGTGGTTAAAGAAGCAGCGTGTATATGATCCCGAACGAAAAAAAGCAAATCCTAGAAGGAATAAAACACTGTCATTCAGCAAGATATGGAGCTTCTTTATATATATATTTCCATCCGGGTTGGTGAGGAGAGCAAAGAGAGATTGGGGTGCTGGTGGAGGTGTCGAGGATTTGAAAAACACAATATAAAACCTTTTTTTGCTCCAATCTGGGCTTGAACTTAATGGTGGATTTTTCTTCTTGTGACTTTTGCTGCTTTTTGATTCGCTTTTTTTACTGTAAAGAATAGAAACCTATGCTATAAATCAAGGAGACCGTCGTATGTTCGCGAAGGGGCCAAAAACCGGCTTGCAAGTTATATTGGATGAATGTTGCGTTCTTTTTTGAAATATTACTTTCTAGAATGGTTGCACTATGCTTTGCGAGAACTAGATACAAGGGTAACAAATAAAGTAAACACACAACCACATTCTACCGCTTGACACTCCCACCATCATTCAAATCATCTATCGACCCTTCCGGCGTCGCAGCACTCCCAACAGTCGACGTAGACCCAACTCTAGTTCGTGGACTTGTCACCCTCTGCTGCTCCAGCATCTGCATTTGTGCATATCCAGCCTGCTGTTGTTGTAACTGTTGCTGTTGCAACGCATGCACATTCCTCCCATCCTCATAATGCAGACTACCACTACCACCACTGCTTCCACTATTATTACTGTTACTACTATACTGGTATGATGCATGTGGTGATGCTGATGATGAGGATTGGGTGCCTTTGGTGATGGGGATACATGTTTCCATATGGTCTATTGAACGGCTTGTGCTGTGTTGTTGCTGTTGCTGGGGTGGTGGGATTGAGGACGAGAGAATGGAAGTAGTGTTGTTGTCAATGCTGCCGTTATCACTACGAGACGAATCTCGAAATCCACGTTTGAGGACGCGGTTTTCGGCTTCGAGGATATCGATGCGTGCTTTCAGAGCTTTTATTTCGTCTGCATAGTCTGTCATTCGCTTTTGGATGTCGTCTACTTCCTATTGTAGGTTGAACATGAAAGGATGTGTAAGAATGCGGGAGTGCAAAAAACACACTTGGAGACTTATAAAGTTTATTTCATACCTGCTGCTTCCTCTTCCGATACCTAGCAGACGCCTCACGATTCCTTTTTCGTTGTACTTCGGCAATAGCTTCTTGTTCAGACATGAGCGAGTCTATCGTTGTTTGTTGATTCTGTTGATGCTGCTGTTGTTGCTGTATTTGTACATGCTGTTGTTGCTGCTGTTGTTGTTGCATCTGTTGTTGCTGTTGTAATATACCACTACTAGAAGGCCCACGATTTATCGGTGGCGATTGCCGTAAAGTTGGTGCCTGCTGTTGCTGTGTTATTGCTGACATTGAGGTATCAATTGGTCGTGGCATCATATGCGGTAGCGGCACGCCTTGATCCTGCAGCTGCGGTAACTGCTGTTGCTGGTGCTGTTGTTGTTGCAGTATTGGCGGCGGTGGTATTGTTCGAGCAGCCATTTGCTGTTGTTGTGACGACGGATTAAGGATTGATGATGATATTACTGATGGTAGAAGCTGCTGTGGTTGTTGCTGTTTCATTTGCTGTTGTTGTAGTTGTTGCGGTGGCTGTTGTTGTTGAGATATATTAGGTTGATGTTGCTGCTGCATCATATTATTTGGTATTGACGTATTAGGCGGTTGCTGGATCATACTATTAGGTAGAGACGTCATGTAATATGGCGTTGTGGCTGGCGGTTGAGTGACGTGGCTCATGGCCATGGGTTGTAGTGTTGTCGGTATTAAAGACGAAGAAGTGGAGGGTGGAGGTAGAGCTGGATTCATTAAATGGAGTGGCATGAGACTAGATGAATGAGGGCGGTCTGATATCGCCATGTGAGGATGTTGAGGCTCTGGAGGTGGATTTGTATTAGATGAGGAGGCTACTGGAGTTGGCATTCTTGGATGTGTCCTACAGGCGGAGAAACACGAGGGTAGTAAGCAACACAGGTCTCATAGGGGAATGGTCCATGTTTTCTGCAACAGCATCCAGCACTTACTGTTGCACAAAACCACCATTTGCTCGTAGACCTTGCAGAAACAAGTCTGTCTTGCTAGTCATATTTACAGCATAAACAATTCCAGATGTTTGTAGATACGTCAGAAACTTGGCAATGACATCCTCGTCGGGTAAGAATCGACAAAAGAACCCATCGCCAAATGAGAATGTACACCTGTCGACATCCAGTATGATTCCATTCCACTCAAAGACATTCCTCAGATTGATAAAGCTGCCTACACAGCGCACACTTATTCCAGGATATTTCAGCAGCACGTCGTGAAAGATTTGACTAGATAAACAAAAGAGTTAGAACGAGATCTAGGCGACATGGTATAATCAAATGATGATAGAGAAACCTTGTCTTGTATTCCTCCAGAGCACCGCCAGATATCAATGCGCGAATGCGATCATCGTAAGGAACGAGTTCCTCCTTCTCATGGACTTTGAAATATGGTTTTTCTGGATCACCATCATGAGTAAAGACGGTTTCCTTAAGCACAATAGAGCACGTCCTCTGCAAATCAATAAAAAACAGATAAGTTAGTACGAAAACACTATCCGACAGTCGATGCAAGGCAAGTGAAGAGTCGGAATTTTTGACAGGTGGAGGTGGAGACGTACAACATCGTGGTCGTTACTAAATGGAGCTAGGAGCTTGGGTACTTCTTCATTGTGTATGATACGTATAATGACAGTCAGTCTAGTACAGGGTTCAGTTAGAAGGGGTCAGCTCACAATGCAAGAATGAAATGTTGGAGTCATGTCTTTGCCAAAACAACCACTCTTATGTCGGAGGGAAATAGTAGGGACATGTTGCGCCGTTTGAGTCGTAAACAGAGCTGCTTCAAACATACCCGGCCAAATCTAGTTCCGTCGAGTTGGTGTCCAGCATAAAATCCTGCTGGGTATATGTTCGCAACAGCTTTGATGAATTCCGGGCGAGATTCGAGAGTAAATGCAAATATCCGCTCTCGTCCTTCAACTGAATTTTTGCCTTCCAGCTGGAGGGACACATCTCCACTCCTCTCGTCTCCCTTGTTTTTCGACGTCACTGTTTTTTTTTGGCAGCTCGGGTGGTTTCGAGCACACGGCGGAGATGGAATAATTGGATCTCCTCGTATACAACTCAGTTCTAGTCGTCACGCTACAGTTTCGAACTGTTGGAACATCGCCATTACTACTACTGTCGCCCTGATCTATGTAGAATTCTTCTCGTCGGTGACAAAACGGCGGCCAACTTTTGAAACTGGTCAGTTCCCACGTAACAAACTTTATCGGGCCGTTGGCTGTATCAATACAAGAATACAAGATATTTGCATTACGGCTATCTATACAGTCGTGAATCTCGCGTTAAAATCATGGTTTCAAAATCACGTCGTTGAGAAACTGCCAGCACAAAAACCGTTGTGCTTGCCTTTGATAATTGTACGTAATTAGCAGCTTCCAGCATAATCTAGTAGCATTCTGACGACTCAAATATTTGATCTAAGATGAACTGATCAAGTTTTGCCTTGTTTAAGCAGGTATCATCTCGTTCTTCAATGCTTGACCACGAAACCACAAGTATTGGAGCATGACATACACTGCCCAACAATTGATTTCGGAGTGTCAATATACGTCCATACGTCCATGCTGTTTCAAGTTTGAGGGAGCCGATGTTGGTGTGAAAGGAGAGGAGGCTCAATGCAATTTTCAGATCTAAGACCTTAGACCTGGCCTTGGGCGTCATTTCCTTATTGATATGCGGCAATCTTCAAGTTCTCAAATTCTGTAACTCTTTTGTTACTACTATCTTCATGCGTCATTAAACGTGTGACATCCCAGCAGTGTAGTAGTTATTGCTCGCAACTTTGACGAGAACCAGTGTTGACATGTGACGAATTACCAACGAGACACATACGGACAAGCTCCTAACACTTTGAAGTAATCTAAAATCAATTTGGGACTGTTTGAACCTCTGTCGAGCCGTAACTTTTGGCATTCACAGCCTTGATCCTCCTTTCACTTAAACCAACACTGATAGATCGCTCTATAAAAATAGGAGTAAAAGTGGATTCTTGCAGGTCGAATTCCAAAATCCCGTCCTCCAGATAGTCCTGGCGCCTCACCAGTCATGAACATTTTGACGTGACATTGTATCCTTGACGCAAACATTTTCAGACATGCACAGAAGCAAAAACAACGGCTCTGAGACACTTGAAACGATTTATTTCAACATTTCCACCTTCTCGAGTGATAGTGTATATTATCCATATTCACCTAAACGAGCCTGGTCGACCAAATGACACATTTTCGCAGCACCACCGTACATTTTTCACGTCCACCACTTTTGCTGACCTTATGGCTGCACTCTTGCACACATAGCACACTTTGGGATTTCTAGTCTTGGATCCTGCCTACCGGGTGTTTCAGAGCAATGCTTGAGTAAAATAGGACGCCTGGACTCCTTGTCAGAGCCCATAATTTCAGGCATCAGAAGGATGACAGTAATTTCACGGTATACTCCTTTTTTTTGCGCAGAAATGCATTTTTTCATATAAACTGTTGTTGCTGGTCTTAACGGCACGTGTCGAAACTCTTGAATCTCAATTCTCTCAAATTGCTGCTGGTGTGTGATCCATACTGCTCCCGAGTCTGCATTCATATCAGAATTCACTAAGTCAATTCTACCAAAGTGTTGTAAGCTCAGTCTGTATGCTTCGCTTCAACGTCTTCAACAGCTAAGAACATTTCGATCCAAAACTAGATGGGAATTTTTTATTAATGCTACTTTTGATCCCCGCATCCTCCAAATCATTACTCCTGTTAGAGCTGCAGGACTTGCAGTGACTCGATGACTCTTTGTCACTGCTATTGCAACGGAGGTCGAAAAGAGTATGATGATACCTTTTCGTCGGCCGGCTCATCGCACTTTACATGAGTACCTCAGAGGACGGAGTCGAAATATTTTCTGTACAAACGCCATTACATAAAATGAACTGATATATTCGACCTCAAATATGACATCGCAAGCTATTGTCCTTCACTCTGTCAGCTCGAGCGAACAGTTGTAGTTAGCGACAGATCAATGACCCGCTTGATGACGTAGTCACGGCAGAGAATAGTGCTGTTTGACGTCACTTTGCAAGATTTATATCTCTTCACTTCCTTTGCTTCAAAAGCTTCCACTCCAACTCGAACAAACTTTAATCACAAAACTGCAACAACCAAATGATTTGACCCAAATGATCACAACAAGAATATTCACCGCCTACGAATCCTTTTCTGCATGCTCGTTATTGACTGGCCTCTTCTTATCCTCCCTATCAATCTTTAAAACCAAACGCACGTACAATGCTCCAAGAGACGATCCACGCGTCATACGGCAACGGTTTATGGGCGTTGGACTATCCTGCATACTGTCTACCATAGTGCTGTATGTTCTGTTTGCTTATAAGGGTAGAGTATGTATTCGCAACGCATCGGAACGTCATCAAAACGTCCAACATCCATCTTAACCTCCTTTTTACGTTTTAGAAGCAAACCTTATCTCAACTAGCATGGCTGATGGGATTACGCATAGATCACCTACTCATATCGACAATCTGTCCCTTGATCTTGACTGCATCTTTGTTTCTGGGCCCGTTGGTTGTGAATGGAGTTGAAGGAAGGCTTCCATTTCAGAGGAATTGGACTTGGAGGGGCCACGTGCAGGATTTTGCTAAAGATTTGAGGACGTGGAGGACTTATTTTGTGGTATGTTGGACTTGATTTGGAGTCGAGCGTTTGTGATGTGGCAGTATTTTGATGGATTTTTGGCAAATTTAGGGACCAGTTGTCGAAGAATGGGTGTTTAGAGCATGTATGATACCAGTCATGTATGCAGGAGGATGGTCCAAGTCTGGTATTATTCTGATTACGCCGTTGCTGTTTGGAGCTGGCAAGTAATGGTTTGAAGATCAGGAGCCAAGTCATCCCAATTCATCAATTGATATGGTTTTTTTAGCTCATTTACATCATGCGATGGAGGTTTATCGGATGCACGGAAGGACACGAGAGGCCGCTATTAGAGCCCTACAAGGAGCTCGTAAGTGCCTCGTGGGCATCTCCTCTATATGATTTACAATCTCAAACAACTCCAAATTAGTGCTTCAGTTGTCTTATACCACCCTGTTTGGATGGTATACCTCCTTCTTGTTTATGAGAACCGGTGAGCCATGACTTTGAGCAGACAATGATCTGTCACTCAATTCGATCATATTTAGGACACTTGGCTGGTCCAACGGTTTCTCATGTGTTTTGTAATATAATGGGACTGCCAGATTTTGGAGCAGCTCTTAGGCCTTCTAGATACCGAAACGGTAAAACACTCGATGCGATTTGTTGATTTTGTAAACTGATCTTCTTCTTGGTTGATAGTATATGCTGCGTCGTATTTGCTTGGAATCACGGGATTCACTTATCTATTGTTTGCTTTCACGACACCAAGTTGGTACGGAGGAGCTTACTGGACATGAATATATATTTATTTTCTCGCATACATTACGAAAGTAATGTTAAGAAAGCAAGAATTCTTTTCATGTTTAGTCACAATTCACGTTTTGATCAATTGAAGGTGAATCATTCGTGCACGATCAGCAACAACACAGCAACCCATAGCAAACTAAAGAACTCGACCGGTCATGATATAGCGCGAATGCACGTCTCTACCGCTTCACTAGTGCCGTTAAGCTCAAGATAACATCCGAAATTCGTAGTTTCGATTTTCTACAAAATCCAAAAAAAAACCTGAAGATATGACTACCGACAATAACGACCACTCCATAAAACAAGAAGAAGCCGAAAAGACGATGGTCTCCATTGAAGAACTTTCCGACGACGAAGCACTCATCGACGCTCTCAAAGCAGACCGACAAGCCAAGATAGATGCTGAAGATGCCAAAAAGCAAGCTGCCAGACTCGCTAAATCTGACGATATGAAGGCCAAAATCTTGACTCAGGTGGAGTACTACTTCTCAGGTAATTGAATATCACGACCATGGAGCTTTGATACACTTGTTATGTCCTTCGTTCGCTTGTAATTCGCTTCCAACATTTTTGGGTCAAGACATCAGAAAAAAAAGATCAGGCATTCAAGTCTAGCCCAAACCACCTCAAAGAAGACAAGAAGCTAACTCATGTACACTCTATTAACGTAGACGCCAACCTCCCAACCGACTTATGGTTGCTACGATCCCTCCACGCCAACAATGGCTGGCTCAAACTCGAGCTCCTGAGCACCTTCAACAATATGAAGAAGCTCAATACCAACGTCGAAGTCATTGCTGATGCTTTACGGAGGTCTCCTCAATTGCTTCAAGTCTCGGAAGACGGATTGTATGTGCGACGACGAGGCTACCCTCCTGAATTGAACGCTGGTCGTATTGATGGCCTCAGCCCAATACAAAAGTCTATCTATGTTGTAAGTTTTGTTATGTGATTGATGCCTGTGATTGATGCGCATATGGTGGTGTTGACGAGTTTGTGTGAAATTGCTGTTCAACGGTTCTTAAATGCTTTTTTTTTGCTTTCTTGTAGGGAGGCTTCCCACTAGACTTGAACGAGCCTGAAGAAACAATCAAAGGACACTTCCAAATACATGGTGGCGATGTGAAGGCTGTCAAGTTACGTATGGATAAGGACACTGGCAAATTCAAGGTATTGTGACATTGACATTGCAAGTTTTGCTTTTTGCTCTTCTCCTTGTGGGAAGCTCGTTGAGCAATGATCTGATCATCTGCACCTTTGATAACAGGGCTCAGCATTTGTGGAATTCGTATTTGCTCATCAAGCTCGGAAAGCTCGATTCGAAGCTGATCCAAAACATGGTAATACTCCATTGACTATCAACATGAAGTACGTGTCTCCTCTCCTTCTGCCGGTCTTTCCTTTGCTCACGAACAATACTCCTAACAACATCTCTTACAACAACAGGGAAGAATATATAAACAGGAAATATGCCGAACACTTGGAAGATGAAGAAAAGAAAGCCAAGAATGCTCATTGGAAGATTGGTGACCATCAATTGGCTCCTCCTCCAAAAGCAATCAAGCTTCCAGATCGTCTCAATGGTGCCTTGTTACATTTCAAAGCTACTGAAATGGAAGCCATACCTGAAGGCCAGTCTTTTATGGCTATTGCCAAGGTGTGCATATCAGACCAGCCTGCCTCTTTTTGCTTGTCTGCGCATGTTGGAATTCAACTCACATGTAGTTCTTATTCATGACTTCAGGAATACTTTGGGCAACCATTCGAAGTCAAATGGGTTCACAAACCAGAAAACAGCGACGATGGTTTGATCTTATATCATAATCCAGGTGATGCCCAAATTGCCTTTGAACACTTTGGTGCCACAAGGGCCAAACCTGATGGCTTGTTGAATGGCACAACCACATTCCGATTGGCAACGCCAGAAGAAGAATCTGTCTTTTGGCAAGCATATGAAAACACAATGAAAGCCACACTTGAAGAACGAATCTATAATCCAAACGGTGATAGGAACCCTGGTCCAAGCAACCCAGCCAATCTACCAACACCACACAACAACAGGAACCGTGACGGTGATCGAAAAGACAGAGACAGCAAACGAAGCGACAATCGAAAAGATGGAAGCAACAACAATAGTAGGGGTAATGGTGGTAGTTCAAGTGGTCGAGGACCTCGTGGTGGTGCAAGTGATAGAGGTGGTGCACGAGACCAGAAAGATCGAAAAGGAAAAGGTCGAGATAATGGTAGAGCTCGAAATGAACGAAGCAACAAAAGCATCTCAACCACCGATAACAAAGTAGACGACACAAAACCAACCAACGGTGATATTGTCGCAGCAACTGTCAAAGCTGACGATAACACCACCACTACAGTCAAAACAGAAAACATCAATGGAGCCAACAAACGAAAATCAGAAGACCCTGATGATGTTGGAGACAGTAAAAAGGTCAAGTCTGAAGAATCAGCTGCAAATGGTCACGTCAATGGTGCTGCCAATGGATCAACCATGACCAGTATCACTTTGCCAGAACGCAAGTCCAGCGAACTCAAACGAAAACCAGATGGTGATCATGATCATGGTGCTGGTGACCTTAAAAAGACGAAGCTGGAAACTTCAGCATGAGGGATTTCGGAATGGATGGCATAGGATGGATTTATAAAAGGACAAACACAAAACAATCACAGCACGCACCTCTTTTTTCGCATTATTATTGTATTGAGCCCACTCCCCTTGTAAATGTATAGCAAGACAAAATAGGATTGGAAATAAATGATTTGTCACGAGTTTCCAAGCAAAGGTGATGGTGTGTACCGAGGTTCATTTAGTTCCAGCACTCTGGCGAAGAAAAGAACAGTCAATGTTCATGTGATGCTGTAGTGCAATGTGCAATGATACTCGACTAAGAAAGAGACTTCAATGAACGAAACGTGGCGTTGAGATCTTAACTGCCAAGGCGTGCTATTACACGTAAAAACTGGACGCCAAGGCAATTTGAAACAAACTGGAGCCGACCGTGATCCTGATAACAGCCCACATTGGCATTAATTACAATCACCCGATCATACCCCCTACGCTACGATACCTCTTTTACAATTTCTGCAAAGTTTCTGGTTTCATACAAAACACAAAACACAACATTGTTCACCCAAATCCACACCACAATCTGGCTCTACAAATTTCTGAGAGGATGTGGTCACAGGCACAGCCATATGATCCCTCAGTTCTATCAGCTCATATGTTTAATGCAGCACAAAATAGTTGCGTCGTCATTTGCCTATTTTCTTTGACTATCTAGTATAAATAGCTCACATGATCGCAATAGCTCAAGATTGGATCAAGACGCAGTCAAGAATATGGACTCCCCTTCACATAGATAGTATTCAGATTCAGAAGACGATGAACCCCATCCAAGTGATATTCGTTCTCCCATCGGACAGCAGTGTAAAGGAGTACGATGAGGAAGAGCAAGATATATGGAAATTGATTATTCAGCATATGGAAGGACAGTTGGGCGTTTCGACATTGATTTGCGGTGTGCCAACATGGACGAAGAATCAACAACGCCAGTATGGATACACATCAGTTTGGTCAGCCTCTGTACCAAAGCCGGATTCGACATAGACGCACGTTGCATTGAATTTGTATTGCAGACGAGTAATCTATAGTTTAGGCGAAACCTGTTTAGACTTATCCAAAATTCATACTGGAGGCCAAACTCGTTGATTTCGTACTCTTGAAACAGTTTATGTGATAGTGCCATCTTATACAAATGCATCCATTTTAATACAACATCGTCTCTTCCAAAGACCTCTTCAGCAAAAATCGTCCCAACAAAAAAAGCAACAACTCTAAAAGTGGCATCATGGCATATCAAGCTCGAAAGATATGCAGCACTCGCAGCACACGACCTCTGCATATAGGGCATTCTCTAGTTGATTTTTCGACCTTTGTAGCACACTAGAGACAAAAAAGCAAAGAATTAGCGAGTTGATGAAAACATTCGGGGGTGTCTGTTGCGGTGTTTTTTGGGCTCGTGTAGATGAAAACTTTTGAATTCAAGAAATTGAAACAGAGGACTCACCTCTAAACAGCATACAAGATGCTAAGAAGAAAGAGACAAAGTAAATACTTGGAAGCCGAAAAAACCGCAGCGAAATCAGGATAAATAACGTCATCAAATCGTCCAATGCTTTTCTGAATCGACAATAACACATAACAACAATTCAACCTACCCCACAATCCAGGAAAACAGCATTAACGACATCATCACAGCATATCTTGCATAACTGTTCGTCTGAACCCCTTTCAGCAGTTTCTAAAGTACATAGAATTATTTAAATAAGCCTTCCTGGGTTCTTTTGCTTGCATGCACCATTGCAATTATGGTAACATACCCATTTCAAGCCTAACATTCTCAACAAGCCTATTCACACGAGATACCAGTTCGCTCTTTTCAACGACACCTATTACAAAAAAAGGTACGTTTGTTATAATGCAATAAAGACAAAGATGCTTTCTAGCCATGGTTCCAACGATGCGACCAACACAATTCAGACAACGATTTCAATACAGTTACCTAAATGATCAACCCTCGCATTCTTCAAAACACTCTTCAACATCTTGGTCGACATTTTCGAAACGTCAATTCCATCCTTGATTATAGTCTTCACACTTGGTGTATCGTCTACTTTCGGTGGTGGTTGAGGTGCTGCTGAGGGACTACTACCATTTGAATTATTATTGTTACTACTACTACCACGGGGCGGCGTCCCACCACCATTAGCAGATCGTAACGGATCACTACTCCTTCTCTGCCTAACACCACTAGTACCCGGCTGTGGCGGGGGTGTGAATATCTGCGAAATAAAATCCGATATTGGGTTTTGTTGTTGCGAGGGTGTGTTGTTCCAGTTATAAAATGGTTCCTGACGCGGCTGTTGCGGCTGCTGTGAAGGTGTTGATGATGCGGGTGGTGGAGGAGCATTAAAGAATCCATTTAGACTTGATACGATATTAGTTAGTATATCTGGGATGTCACTGTTTTGTGATTGCTGTGCGCTGGTTGTTCGGGGCGGTGCTTGTGGTTGCTGCGGTGGTCGATTACTAGTATTACTGTTACTAGTACTATTGCTTCTCGCCCTATTAGCACTTGAGCTTCTCGGAGCACTATTGGCGTTTCCGTTTCCGGTACTACCACCATTAGCAGTAGGCCTGCTACGTGATGACGACCGCGTTTCACTACTAGCATTGGCAACAGCGGGATCCAGTGTAGAAGAAGGAGCTAGCCTTCTAAAATCAGCCAACCTTGCGTCTGTGATTGGCGTACTTAGAATGAAGCGAGCTAAATCCTTTTTCTCGAGTGCACCGTTTGGGACTTTGATGGCGTATGCTTCGAGGTAGGATTTTAGTTCTGCAGTTGGGAGTTGGGAGAGCTGGTCTTCGGATTTTCGTCTCACTATGATGGATTTGTATTGAGTATCAAGTTGCGACATGATACCAATGCTTTAAAGACAAGTTGCAAATCTTACTTGATAGGAATACATGGCATCGTTTGCATACAGCAGACTATGACAAATAGAGTGAGATACAAACACACAGGATGTTGAAATGTTGACGGCACGAGCAACAGGCCCACATACCGGAGTCTGGAGATTAGGATTCAAGAATGCAGTACCCTGTCCCAGGCAGTCAATGCACATGACGGTCTGGCAATAGTAGCAAAAATACTTTCTGCGACTAGAATTGAGGGTGAGGATGGCAAATGGCGACAAAACGTAAGAATAAGTAATGTATGGCTTACTAGAACAAGTTGAATGGTTTCGTACACAAGCATGTAGTGTATGCCTGGTCTATTGGCGACGGGGAGGCACTCATCGCTGTTTCGTCGCTGGTTGACTTTTGTGGTTTTTGCGTCGGGAGGAGATGGACTGGTTGTAGATCTGAAGAGTTATATTGCATTGCGTCGCATTACAAGCTATTGCATACATTGACCGTGATACATATACACATTTACACATTTAGACGTTTGGTAGTTGGACAGATTCTATTTCCAGGCACCAAATCACGTTATAAGGCATATGCAACCAGAACTTCGTGTCCACGTCAGTGCAAGTAGTGCCACGTCAGATTCATAGTGAGCAGACTGACAGCCACCAAGATCAAGCTGCTCTACCTTGAAACGTGACGACTGAATGCGACAGTCCTGGCGAAATATGGCGGATGCATTCATAGACAGAGACACGCTCAACAAGACGTAACCAAGCTGCATCAGTTGCCTGGCGACTAAACCATATAATAATCTCGTCTTTCGCTTCACTTCATACACGTCTGATTGGTTTGATGAAGAGAAAGAGCGAGCTTAATTCTTGACCAGATCCTCCACCAACCAGTCAGACACCCTGGCACTCCCGACCGCATTCCATAGCGACCATATCTGCTACTAAGACGTAGCATTGGGATTATCCAAATCCCTCGTGCAAAGTTGAGTCAACACTAAAGAGTGGCGTCGAGCGTTGTAAACTAGGAAGAGAGTACAGCAAGTAGTAGTCAGTAGTAGTCAGTAGTATAGTAGTTATCAACAGTTTGTAGTAGATAATAGCAGGTCTCTCCTCTTGCCTGTATAATCTTGCCAAGTCTGAAGAAGAGGTAGGTTTTGGGACCCTGACAACTTGTTGCGTCCATGCTATATGCAAATGGACGAGGAAAGGGGTCTGCATACCATTCATGACTAATAGCAGTGGCTCTCCGTTGCTTGTCACGCTGTCTTGGACATCAAACACAGCCATCAATGAATGCCCACGGAATCCCTCACACTCTTCTATCTTAGCATAGGATGAATAGGAAGAATCCTCCAAGACAGCTCATTGTCTATGGAAAACATCAATTCATTGCTGTATGTATAGTAGACCACAGACTGTATGCTAGTGTTGTGTGTGTATGCCCATGTGAAAGACACGCCCAACGCACCACTCTCATACAGCTCCATTACCCATTCTGCATGCTCTCCCGATACCAACACTGTATTTCTACGTAGGAGGAAGAAGACGAACTAACCTTCCAACCTGGCGATCCAATCCTCGTCATTGAACGGGACGATCAGTATGGCGATGGCTGGTGGAAGGGCCAAACTAGAGACGGAAGGGAGGGACTATTCCCAGTCAACTTTATTGAAGAAATACCGGATAACGATCAGCATGACAACCTATCATCCAGAATGGATAACATGAATTTGGGTGGCAACAACAATAGCACACCATCATCACGAACAGCCACAACCAATTATACATCAAACAAGTCATCGCCCCAGTATTCGAATGATATGAATGGAATCAGCAACAAGAATGTTGCTCCGCAGGCTGCCACATACAACAATAACAGCAGATACAGTTCATCAACGTCCGGAACAGGAACACTCAACAAACGATCTCCAGGCGGATTCAAAGCTCGTCGGCCAGACCAATGGTCGATAATCGATGTCACAGACTGGCTCGAGTCCGCCGGATTCAAAAGTGTAGTGAATAATTTCGAACAGCATGAAATTACCGGTGACATACTATTGGACCTGAATTTATCGAGTTTGAGAGAATTGGGAGTCGAGAATCTGGGTGATAGAATTAATATACTGCATTCTATTCTGGCGCTCAAGGAGATGCAGAGTGGTGAGAATGATGGGGACGAGAGCGAGTATGGGGATGATGGTGGACATCAGGGGATTATTGGGATGATGAATCAGGGGATACAGGTATGTCCAAGTGGTTGTGTTGAATTTGAAAGTTTATGGACCGCAATCTTGGTGGCGTTTTTTTGCTGATTGAATTACTTTGAAATTTTGAAATTTTTGCTGTTCTACAACGACATAAATTACAGTTCATCTCACACCACTTACATGTAGGCACGACAAATGCAAACACCACCTTCATCCCAACTACAATCTCAACAACCATCCCAGCAATCATCGCAATTCAACGAATCCTACTACGACGACCTATCAGATTACTACGACGACGATACAGACCAGCAGCAGCAATACAAGAGTAAATCTCTGGGTCGAATGCCATCGAACAACAGCGGTGGACGCAACAACAACACGTCTCAATTTGACGATGATTTCTACGACTCTTACAACAATACCTCCACCAGACCAAACAACAACTCACCCACAGTAACACCACAATCACCATCCGTGATAAACAACCGTCATCTGAACGGTCTTGGTCCAATAACCACTGGTCCAACAAACAATATGCTGCATAAACAGTTATCGTCGCCGACATTGTCTACGCCGAGACCATCGCCGCCTGCTAGTAATGCGAGTGTGTCGAGGTCGGATGTTGGTAGTAATAACAGTGCGACGGGAGTTAATTTCGGGTCACCGGATTATGAGGGGTGGTTGAATGTCAAGATTGGACAGGATCGTGGGTGGAAGAAGAGATGGTGTATATTGAAGGGGAGGAGCTTGTATGTTATGAAGGATCGACCGGTGAGTGATCATTATTTGGTGTATGCTCCTTTTTTTGTCGGGAAATGTTGGGGTTTCGTTGAGGATTTGATTGCGTGAATGAGTAAAGGAAGAGTATTGATGTGAGACAAAGACCATCACAGATCGTCTCCCTCCAATTCCTCTTCCTTCTTTTCCCTCGCCAATTTCTCGAAACCAAACAAAAGAACTCATTATTTTATCTCCCCATTAGCCATCCAAAGCCATTGCGCAGATAGCACTGGACGCCAACGCAACGATACTGCCAGATTCAAAAGCACCGAAAGGCAAATTTGCTTTTATGGCATCATCACCGGATACACCTACGTTTAGATTTGTGGCTGATACACAATTGGCTATGGTGTCCTGGATTAATGTTATGGTTAGAGCTGGTCAGAAACGTGAGTACTGGATGCTCTTTGGTGTTATGGAGAGTTTCGTTGTGTTCTTTTTTGGTTATTAATTTTGGTGTGATGCCTTTGTATATTGACTGAACATTGTCTCTTCAATTGAACAGGACCCGCAAGAGCTGGACCAATTCCTCTTATTCCCATCAAACATCATGGCCGTCCAGGTATAAAAAATGTTGTTGCAAGTCAAGCAAAACAGAACGAACGGAAGTCTGTCAAATGAAGTCATTCAACTCACAATCATAATTTTGTTACTCTCCACACAGCACGAGTACCAATCCTAGAAAACTTTAAAGGCACAGACCCCATAGATCCAAACCGCTCGCCTGGCAGTTCCATAAACGAGGCCATGATGCCACGAATGGGTAGCAATGGACCACTACCATCTGCTAAGTACTATCCATCAGAAGGGAGATCTCAGCAGCAGCGAAATGCAGGAGGGATGGCTGGTGACTGGCTTTAAGTTGGGAGTGTATATTTATTGTGGGAGTGTGATGGTACAAAGGACAAAATCAAGACATGCTATGTGTCTGAGGACATCTCCCTGTCGATATTTGTGTTGAGCTTATTCATAGTAATTTTTTTCATGCAAGTTCTTGTGTTTCCGTTATCGGAGGAGTGGAGTTGGTTGTGTGAGATGGATGGTGGTGCCTCAAGAAAGTTATATTCAAGTATTATATACAAAAAAGTCTTTAATAAAGTTCCAGTAAAACCAGTACACTTTGTTTGTCTCTTGCATGATGCGTTTGAATCTGCTGCCTCTCAACCTCACATTTGGCAGCTCCACATTAGAATAGAAGTCGAGCATCAGATCCAAACAAGTATACGGAAACATTCGTGTATTTGATGCTTCCCACGCCATCAAATCCATGGATACCGCAAACCACACCAGAGACTGTGAACGAATAGTATGTGGCTCGTCACAAGAAGATCTCGTTCTGTTTAATAATATCTCTGCATTGGCACAAGAGTCTACGAATGTGGGATCTAGTGGTGCCATGCCTGTTGCTGAGAATGGTGTTAGGATACATCCTTCGTCGATTATGAATGGTGGGATTAGTCAGTTGGCTGTTATGAATGAGTACTTGTTTTGGAGTGGTGGGGATGGGTCTATAAGGAGGCAGCATATTGGGCGGTGAGGCTTCGTGAGTATGTATACTAGGTTGTTGTTTATAGAGAGGCAGAATGTAGACCAGTAGTTTGCCAGGAAATGTATATACCAAACCTTAAATTAGATTCGGTTTTCATGTAAGGCACCAACAACTTTGTATTTGAAAAGCGAAACGCGTTGATTTGCGGTATCCAATCGCGGCTTTTCGACGTGTTAAATTCGGTTGCGTCATTCTCTCGAGATTTTGACTTGAACTTTTTCAAGAGGACTTGTTCCTTACTCGATGGAACTCCAGGACTGGAGCAAGTAGTCCTGACAACAGAAGAGCCAAGGTATACAACGCGCTCAATATGTGGTATTTACCTCTTCATTGTTCTGTTTGACATCGTGCGGGCAACATCAAATAATAGATTTTGGGGTTTTGACTTTCTTAGATATACGCCAGCGGTGCAACTGTAGTTATTGCAGACGCTCAATTAAATCCTACTCAAATAATTGAGGACTCGCAAGCTAGAGCTTCTCAATCTGTCAGTTTGGACGAGAGATCTGGATTGGTACTTCTTGAATCGGACCGCTTATGTTTTTACAAGGGAGGTATAGATCTAATTCAGTGTTTTGATGTAGTTAGCAATCTCATTTGGACGTGATCTTGCTATATATCAGCCTGAGAATGTAGATCAGGTAATGGCTTGGACATGACGGTCGAATATTGGTCTTGTTTCTTCCGTGTTTTTGCTCTGTGTTCTATAGAAGGCAATGTGGCAGATAATCGCTGATTTGAATGTACAAGATGATGTATCGTCTCTTTCATGGAGTGAACAGGTAATTTCTGAGCGTTGATGTGAACAATGTTTGGATCTCAACATTGTGCGTGGTGGCAGGAGCTCTGCTTGGAGCTGGAAATAGTATAAATATCTGGACACGATTTGGTCCAATAGAAGATTGGAATGTTGTGTTTTCGACATTGTATATTCACATGCAAAACGACGTGCCTAATAGTGTCAGCATGACACGTCAAACCACATCTTAGTCTGGCTTCACCCATCAAGAAAGCTTCCTTTGCTGCATATGGATATCAGTTTGCTACCATCGGAGAGGCTGGTAGTAGTACAGATCGAACTGAGATCATCCATAATAATATGTGTCTCTTAGCTAATTGCTTTTGGCAAGTCTCACATCGTCAAAAACCTAGCTTCTTTCAGAAAGCTCGCAATATTTGCTTTCGTAGTCTTTGTGGTTGCTTTCGAAGTCTTTGTGGCGTCTGATGTGCTGGCTACCTTGAATTTGCAAAGGTCAACCAACTAGCTTTGATGATGTAGTGAACGTTACAACTTTTTTGGGCAGTTTTGCAAATTAGCAGATTTTACCTTCTGGTAAACAGGTTATCTTGTCACAATCGTGGCATGTGTTGTTGAGTGCTGTGCGTTGGCAATTCTCCTGTACTCCCAGTCGCATTTGCCCTTCAACAAAAGGATTTCCACACAAAACATTTCACAAGGAGAAAATCGTGCATATATTATAATATAGCTTAAAAATGTTATGAAATCTCTTTTCGTTTCTATCTCTGTACTCTTGCAAACGTGTGCGGTGTTGTTGCGTAAACTCAATTTTTTCATGACAAAGGAATATCTGAAATGGAACCTGAGTATAGGTGATTCGTCTCCCTCCTTTTCTTGTCTTCTTCAAATCAGAGTATCAGTCTGCCTATTTGGAGTAGCTGATGGTGCTGAAGATCCCCATAACAAGTCAGGTTGTCCTTTGAAAAAAACACAGAAATGTGAGCAAAGTAACAGAAACCCCAACGACATCACAAGATCCATTCAGCACGGCATCGAGCAGAAACAACATACCATAACTTCCACCAGTCTGCGGAATCCCAACGACAGTCTTCGGAGTCCCACTCTTTAGCGCATTCAAACTCAACTCATTCTTCAGTCCAACCGTACTACTACCACCAGCGCTATTATTATTCAACGCCATAGGATCTAGTGATACGAGACTTCCAAAAATATCACTTCCTGGTGTTTTGGTAGGCGTTGATGTTCCAGTTTGCATGGGTATCAATGGAGGATTACTACTATTATTACTGAAGGCAGCAAATCCAGTTGACGGTGTAGGTTGAGTGCTATATGATGGTACTGGTGTTGATGACGTGCTAAATGATGCGAAATTGGCGAATACTGGTTGTTGTTGTGTTTGTGGTGGTGTTGAAGATGCGATACTGCTTCCAAATGCCGCAAATGTTGGTTGTTGCTGTTGATGTGGTGTATTATTTACAACAGGGAAGGCAGCAAATCCAGCTTGCTGTACTGGTTTCGTTGCCACTCCTGATGATGTGAAATCGGCAAAATGAAAATCATCAGTCAATAAAGTTCCACTTGCTGCTTGTGGCGCTGCTGCAACTGCTGTTTTATTTGCAGATGTTGCAAAATCACTCCAATCATTTGTTGCTTGTGGTGTTGAGTGCTTTTCTACAGGTTCGGATAATGATATATCAAAATCCAGCAAGTTTGCGACTTTTGGTTGTGATGGTGTTCTGGATTGAGATAGGTGTTAGAAATTTATGTCGAGACTACCGAAAGCAAAGAAAAAAAACTTCAGAATAGCGTGAGCAAGCACAAGAACTTACATTAATCCATTACTGCTTGACTTGGACGCACTAGTGGCGGTAGCAGATACCACACTAACAGCTGGTGCAGAAACTGATGTTGACGATATTGTTGTTGTTGTTGTTGTTGTTGTTTCGGCAGTTGATGTTGATGCGGTTCCATCTTCAGGATCGTCTTGGAAACCTCCTGGTGTAGCTAAATACACAATGAAGTCAGCATTCGGTATACTCTCCCAATTCTTGGGCAAAAATTCAGTCAAAGTAATCGGGGTATTGTGACAATACAATTCAAAACACACAGAAACATACCACTTCGAGCAGGACTATCTCTTCCAAAACCAGTGTATCCATGAGAATCTGATGATGATCGAGTACCGTCTGATGCGACACCCGTATACTAAGGTGAAATGTTGGGCATCATAGGTCTGCGTTGGTATATTTATGCTGGGCATTCCAAAATACATACCTTGTTTCGATTGATTTTAGCCTTCTTCCTCTCCTCCTTGATTTTATTCGTATCTGCCAAAAAGTCCACAATCTCTTTTGCTCGATTCCTCACTACAGTTGGGAATTAACTTGTTAGGCAGACGCGAAAAAGTGGGAAACGACATGGTGAATCTGCTTTCGACTGTACAATTCGACATCCAACATCTTCAAAATAATAACAAATAAAAGTGAGAGACAAGACAATCATACCATTAATCCCTTGATCCTTCCCCTTCTCATCCACAAACACAAAGCTCTTTAGCGCCCTGACATCGTACGCATGTTCACGAGCAACATCAACAACCCGTTCAGAGCCATTCTTGACCAAGTATTCCAACAATTGCAACGACTAGGAGGAGTCAAGTGTCAGTCTGGTTGACAGGATGCACACAAAACAGGAGAAACATGACATAACAAGGCGTACCTTATAAATCTGACGCCATGTAACAGTCTTATCAGCCAGTCTCTTGTATAATGTGTCCATGATTTCGTTCATGTGGACATAGTTGAATGTCCCAGCAGCGATTTCGAGCATAAGTGTTGAGCTTGCTCCCCCTGTTGTTCGAAAAGTATCAAGATAGCAGATTAGATCGAGTATGTGAGCGTTGAGTTCCTGATGCAAGTGTCAAATGCTCTTTAATAATGCCTCCATTTTTTGGCACATACATGCTTCAGGACCAGTTGCATCCCTAAGCAACAAGAGTAATAAGTACACATGCTTCTCGAATCTGCTTTACATGAATACTACAGGTACCTGACTTTAATCTCCCACTCAGTATACTGCCAAATCATGAAATTTGAAAGTCAGCCAAATCATTACAAAATCGGCGCCAAATGAATCGCCATAACGAATCAGACGATGCACTTACATTGTAGACCGCATTCTTGACTTTGTTGACAATAGATCTATGCAGCAGGTAAATGTTGTTAGATGTACCCGCCACGCATCTTCATGAAACAATCAGATTTCATTAAATGGCACATACGTTATCTTGTCAGTGTCAATGTACTGGGATAGCGATGCTGTAATGTTCTGCATCCTTGTTCTTCGAGTACGATAATGATATGAATATGGCTGTCTCGTGGCAATGCGAGGCTGGAGTTGGTGTGTGCTAAAATTCGCGAGGAAGTGGAAGGAGAACAAGGCGGCTGCATCAGGCTGTCCGAGAAAATGGAGAATATTGTACGCGCTAAGAAAGCTCGCAGAACTCAAATGTCGCCTCGAAATCGCTGTAAAGACGTATGTTGAGCCTCAAAGGACACAATTTATGAACTTATGAGCTTTCAAATTTTTGTTCGACCAACCGAATGTCTTCTGGGAATTCGCATAAAATCGCAGTTTTCGTTCTTGCAATAAGCTCAAATTGAGCGTAACTAGTGTTGCATTCAAAAGACGAAAGAAGAAAAACTCAATTCAATCGAACGAGTCATGGAACAACATTGATTCCCTTCTTTCTAGGTGCTAGTTCTCTTTTCTTCGATTACGAAACAAGCGTTTTCTTTCTTCAGCAATACGTCTGCCTTCCCACAAACAACAACCTCACCAACGCTCCTCCCTAACCCCTTACACACATCTGAATGCAAAAGCATTCAACTTCCCATACGCAGCCCCAACAACATCAAAAGTCAGCTGTACTACCCGAGTAAAGATCCCAGATTGAGCAAGGAGTCTTTGCAGGTATAAGCTTCCAATGTTCTGCTGCTTCCACTCGATGCAATTGCCATTGGTTGCTTGTACACAAAGGGGAAATTCGTAGAGGATTCGGAGTTTGGAGTCAGAGTACATAAGATTTCTTTTGTAGAAGCCAGAGTACATAAGATTTCCTTCGTAGAAGAGTGTATGATGGACCTTTCAACAGTGAAAAGAGTGTGGTGTGAGATAACCGAGTATGTGCACAGTGCTGAATTGAGCGTCCAATGGGACAAGGAACTTTCAGATTTTCCAGCATAGTCTAGCTTATGCTTGTTGAGTATCACTGAGGCAAAATAGCCTCGGATTCACTTTGTGAGGTTTAATCATCTCCTTCACAACACCTCAACTTTGTCGTATCTTCAAAGCACAAGCACTAACAAACCATCCTCAATATTCTCATAAGCGCCCTCAGACAATTTCACTAAACCAGGGAAAAAACTGCCAATTGGTATACCTAACGTACATCAGCAACCAATACTCGCCCACATTATCTAGTCCCCAACGCGAGAATGCTCTAGTCCCCAACGCGAGAGTGCACTAGTATGTCCGTCAGCCTGGAACTTCAATGTCTGTACATAGTTCTTGAACTAAATCAAGATGTAAATGTGGGTCGTGTGTGGTCAGTCAATGAACGACGTTCAAATCGGGCAGAATTTCGGTTTTTTTTTTGCCTTGTGGCACATTTGACAAAATAAGGTGAAGTTTGCTGAACAATTACCTAACAGCATGTAGGAGAGGATGAATGCTTCGAATCCTTACAAAGAGTAATCATGAACACCAACACATCACAATTCCAAGCACATCCGCCAGTAGCAACAAATCTTAGTACCAGGTATCTCAGATCACCAGACAATACTAGCCTCTCAAATTTGTCTTCCATAAAAAGAGAATCTTCATCTTAAAGACAACTCGAAGTGTTGAAGCAAAAAGCTTGGCAACGTCATCACATTGACAATGTCATCACATTCCAAACCACAACAGCACTCGCCAACCTGGAAAATCCAAAATATAATCTCAATAGGCACGACCATATAACTATTCGTACAAGAACAAATACAATAGCTCACCCTCTGTCGTCTCTCAAGTTTAGAAATAGCTTCTCGACGAGAACAGACGGATGTGATAGCGCCCTGTTCACTGACGTGAGGTTTGAGCTGCGCCCTGTTCACTGACGTGAGGTTTGAGCTTTGACAGATAACAGGCTATCACACCGACGGAATTAAAAGACGATATACCTTGCGTCTTTACCGAACGAAAGTGCTGAATTCCAACGAAAAAAATGTGTACACGTCTCAATGAACACAACTTTGGTTGCTTCTCCTCACATTCCTCACTAGGTAACTAATTCTCTTGTTTTTCAACAAATTACCAACAATTGTTTCCTTTTTATCTTCTTGCAACCACCTCTCTCCTCAACGCCTTCATGCCATCCCCATACCTCAATGCTTTGCATCCAGCTTCTTATACGCAGCCTCAATAGCATCAACTTCGGCAGCAGTACCCAAGAAGATGCCAGATCGAGCATGAATCTTTTCAGGTATCAAATCCAATATTCTTTTGCGACCATTCGATGCTTTGCCACCGGCAGCTTCAACGATGAGTGACATTGGGAAGCATTCGTAAAGGATTCGGAGTTTGGCGCCTGGGTACATGAATACACCTCCGTATAATAATGTTCGGTGGACCTAATGTAGTGTGTGCGGGAAGTGCGTGAGATGAGTGATTATGTATTAGTGACGAAGCGTGCGTTCAATCAGAGAAGAATATTGGGCCTTTGTACACTAATATTTTTGGTTTGATAAGATGCAAGGAGACAAAAATCCCGAATGATGCACCCTTGTTCAACTTTTTAAAACCCCTTTCAACAAGTACAACATTGTCAACATTCTCGTTTCCTCAAACACATCAAGAAATCTTTCATCATTTTGTCACCATCAACAAAACCTCACTCTCTTCCAACCATCCAAACAAGCGAAAAAACGGCCAAAACTCATTGCCCGTTACTTACATCAGCAACCATACTCCCCACATATCTAGCTGAATAAGGCGTAAATTTGCCCGTTTGTCCTTCAGCTGGGAACTTCAATGTCTGGATATAACTCTTGACTGCATCATCGAATGTATGTGCGTTTCCTTCATTTATTGAGTAGATTTTTTTCTTTCCGATTTTGATCTATTGTACAGATATGAGTGTGGGTTAGTGAAAATGTGCTGTGGAGGTGAGCGATAGACGGTAATCGTTTCGTCATTTCGCAACTCTATGCGGTGTTTTGTTCTTCAACTACGCAACAGCCAACTCAACCGCTGCGTACATTGGGATGAGTCAATACGAATTCACCCAAATTTGGATCAAGAGTGTATCCATGTAAATCAGATGGTCCTGTTGTCAATACGAGGACGGTGGAAGATCCATACATGCAGTAACCTAAACGTAAAGTTATAGATATGTGAGGGACAATGATGTACGGGATACTTATAGGCTTTGATTTGTACGTAGCGAATATCAATATAGAGTAATGAATGGGGGGCAAAGAATATCATATAGCGCCGAAATCTCCAACTCTGTTGAAGAGAAATACGACTCCACAATTACACAAGCCCTTTTCATGGACACCTACCAGCAGCAACCATCTCAGTGCCAGGTCTCAACACATCAGACAAGGTGCCCTTTGATCCTTCTTTCTAAAACATCATAGTCTCGTATAAGTATAATAGAGGGTAGTGACGTGTAAACCAAAAAAGATTGTCTATCGCATTTGTACAAAGTCATCCAGTTGACAACAGAAAACATCATCCTCACAAGCACACCAACACCCAATTCCCTCAAAACTGTACTCACCAACTTGTAAATGCCAAATATGGTGCCAATAGACACTCCACAATCAATATTACTACTTCCATCCAGCGGATCAAAGACGACACAATACATTCCCTTTTGCTGTCCCTCGATGAATAGAGCCTCTTCATCCTCCTCGGAAACAAGGACGGCTGTCTTTCCGGAGGATCTGAGGAGGTTGACCATGATTTCGTTTGAGAGCATGTCTAGTTTTTGTACGTTTTCTTCTTGGACGTTTTGACCGCCAGTTAGGCCGATGCTATGTGGAGATTAGAGTGTCAGCGATGCATTCATGTAGCTTCCATGGTCTGCTTCTCCTGTTTAATAAGATGCTGGTACTCTGAGCACCTCCGACACAATTGTTGACCAAATGTCCAAGCAAGCTCCAAGCTTTAACAGAATAAACAACCAACAGCAGATACAGCATCATGCACTTCAGCAGCTTACACTTTCAGTAGCTCCGCCTTTCTGACACAGTTTGATACCCATTTGCAAGCACTTCCAATCGAGTTCAACAATATGGTCATGTCGCCCGTAGCTTCCTTGTGCTGTTGCTGGGACGACAGAATGTGGTTTGTCAGCGTAATGATGTCTGTACGCGTCTCTGCATTGCCCTGATGGTCCATGGTTGCTACTACTATGTGATGGTAGCTGAGCTGAGTTCAAATGTACGAATGCTACTCACGATGATGCAACGCTTAGAGATTTTACGGCGATGTTGATTATATAAGACACAGTTTTTCAGATTATAAAATGTATTGGAACTTGTAGCATGAATGAATATACTGTTTGGTTATGGTGCTTCTTCGTGTTTGATGATGTGTGTTTCGTGTAAACACAAGAAATGGCCAACATTTCGAGCAAAAGAGACGCTCTTCATACCTATATTACCTGTAATATTGGCAAATTTTCCATGACGTTGAATGATGTTCTCGTTTATCGAACTGCGTTTATGGAACTTAGAATAAGTGGAGTTGCTCCAGCTCTTCGCGGTCTTGTTCAATTCAAAAACATTATTAAATTAGTATCCCAAAGCCATCAAAACACAAAAGAATACCCAGATCGGATGCAACGTTATCAGACCAAACAGCATTTTAGTACTCACGTTTCTGACTAGCTCGAACCATAACATAAATCCAAGACACCATAGCCAATTGTGCATAAGCCACAGATTCAAACGGGGGTGTATCCGGCGACAATGCCACAAAAGCAAAATGTCCCTTGGGTGCTCTTGAATCTGGCAGTATTGTTGCATTGGTGTCTAGGGCTATCTGCGCAATAGCTTTTGATGGCTATATTACAAGTATGAATGTGGTGTGACGTTTGTTGAATCAAATAGTCAAGAAAATGGATGATCTCAGTTCGATCTGTACTACTATCAACCTCTCCGATTGTAGTAACTGATCTCCATATGCAGCAAAAGGAAGCTTTCTTGATGGGTGATGCCAGACTAAGATGTGGTTGACGTGTCATGCTGACACTATTAGCACTTCTTTTTGCATGTGAACATACACTGTCGAAAACACAATATTCCAATCTCCCATTAGACCAGAACGTGTCCAGATACTTATACTGTTTCCAGCTCCAAGAAGAGCTCCTGTAAAAACACACAATGTTGAGGTGTAAACATTCAACACAGACACAGTCAACGTTCAGAGATGACCTTGTTCACTCCATGAAAGAATAGATACATCATCTTGTACATTCAAATCAGCGATTCTCTGCCACATTGCCTTCTATAGAACACAGAGCAAAAACACGTAAGAAACAAGACCAATATTCGACCGTCATGTGCAAGCCATTACCTGATCTACATTCTCAGGCTGATATATAGCAAGATCACGTCCAAAGGAGATTGCTAACTACATCAAAACACTGAATTAGATCTATACCTCCCTTGTAAAAACACGGTCCGATTCAAGAAGTACCAATCCAGATCTCTCGTCGTCCAAACAGACAGATTGAGAAGCTCTAGCTTGCGAGTCCTCAATTATTTGAGTAGGATTTAATTGAGCGTCTGCAATAACTACAGTTGCACCGCTGACGTATATCTAAGAAAGTCAAACCCCAAAAATCAATTATTTGATGTTGCCCGCACGATGTCAAACAGAACAATGAAGAGGTAAATACCACATATTGAGCGCGTTGTATACCTTGGCTCTTCGGTTCTCAGGACTACTTGCTCCAGTCCTGGAGTTCCATCGAATAAGGAACAAGTCCTCTTGAAAAAGTTCAAGTCAAAATCTCGAGAGAATGACGCAACCGAATTTAACACGTCGAAAAGCCGCGATTGGATACCGCAAATCAACGCGTTTCGCTCTTCAAATACAAAGCTGTTGGTCCCTTACATGAAAACTGGATCTAATTTAAGGTTTGGTATATACATTTGTTGGCAAACTACTGGTCTACATTCTGCCTCTCTATAAACAACAACCTAGTATACATACTCACAAACCCTCACCGCCCAATATGCTGCCTCCTTATAGACCCATCCCCACCACTCCAAAACAAGTACTCATTCATAACAGCCAACTGACTAATCCCACCATTCATAATCGACGAAGGATGTATCCTAACACCATTCTCAGCAACAGGCATTGCACCACTAGATCCCACATTCGTAGACTCTTGTGCCAATGCAGAGATATTATTAAACAGAACGAGATCTCCTTGTGACGAGCCACATACTATTCGTTCAAAGTCTCTGGTGTGGTTTGCGGTATCCATTGATTTGATGGCGTGGGAAGCATCAAATACACGAATGTTTCCGTATGCTTGTTTGGATCGGAGATCGTAGAGGGACACATCGCCACGTTTCCCACCTCCCAATAATAGGTTTGTGGTGAGGGAGTGTGATAGGGAAAAGACAGGGGAATCATGACATGAGAACGTTTTTACAATGTTTTGATTTGGTGGCATGAGGATATCAACCAAGTGGATTGTGCTAGGAGTAGTGACAGGTAGAGTCTTGAGTGCTATTGCCACCTCTGGGACTGCCATCAATGGTTTTTTTTTGCTTACCTGGAATTATGAAGATCAAGTCCAGCCAAAGCAATCAAACTACCACTCGCTATGAAGCTTACATCGGTACCACTCTCCGGAAAGCACTTCAGCACTTGAATCGGAGTGCGGGAATGAACGTCCCACTAGAATTGAAAGATGAGCAAAAGAGACAGCCAGACTACCTTACGAAGGTTCTCAAACTTACAATTCTCAGTTCCCCACCAGTATCAATCGCCGCAAACCGATTTCCGGAAGGCGCAAATCTTACTTTGACATTCTGATTAGTCACTTGTGAAGTGGAAGACGTTGCATACGATGCCACTGTTTCAGGATTCGAGAATTGGAGTAGGTGGATTGCATCGTGAGTTCCAGCGATGTCTAAAAACAAAGAGGAGATCAATCAGATCAGATGTGCGAACGACGTTCCTTTCCTTGTTTTTTGCTGTGACTTACAGAAATCAAGAGACGGATGATAATCTGTCCCAACAACACCACCAATAGCTCGACGTAATACGACACCATCATCTTGATTTGATCGTGAGGGCGCTGTGAAGTGAAGGAGCAAAAAATATCAGTCATCAGATATTATCGAATGTTCTCTATGAAGCCAACATACCAGCAGACGCGCTCTTGTTCCTAGCTAGTGACGGAACAGCATCGTGGCTCTTGGATCGACTGATTGTAGTCTAGAAAGTGTCGGAGAGCGTTAGTTCGTTTAACGTGCAAAAAAGCGACCATCAGATTGCAATCATGTTTATTCTCCATGAACTGACCTTTCGCGACTTAACGGCCATCCCAACATCAACCTCCAAGATATTTACCAACGTAGCAACAGCTACTTGATTCCCATCCAATGAATTCATAGCAAAGAATCCAGACGATGCACCTTCCGATCTATAAATGACTTCCTCCTTATCACTGGTATTACGAATAGCACCTATAGCAGAGACGGCATCAACACTGGCTGATCGTTTAATATCTGGTGAAGATGCGACAATAGCTGCAATGGCGGGAGTAGGTTTCACTTCGATAACGACCAATGAAAAGATTCCATCCCAGAATGATTTGAGTCGTTCAGTTTCAATGAGGGAGTTTATGGAATCGACTACCTCGCCAGCTCGGTTTTCATTGACACATGATCGTAATCCGTCTAAGCATCAATAAACATGCCAAGATTTGTTAGCCAAAGGAATGCTATCATTACTGTCTCATGAACGTCACATACCAGCGTTGGGAATCTTGAAGACACCAAGGCTGGCTTCCTGTTTCGTCTTACTAGCTTCATCCTTCATCATCTCAAAAATCAAATTCGTGGTACTCAGAACAGTACTTGATGCTTCAGATGCTCCGAAAGTGTTTAATGCAAACACTAGAGCTTGAAGTATTGCTAATACACCAAGATGGTGTTGTAGCGATGTATGAATTACGACGGTATCATGATCAGCCATATCGTCTCCGTTCGTGACTTCCAAGATCTACAATGTACGAAAGATGAGATGAGAAAAAAGTCGTATCCAATAGCCGTATCGAAGTTATACCGGTCGAATATTCCTAGTCTTTCCCAATACCCTCCTAATCTCATCACCATCAAGCCTAGCACACGCCTTCAAAAATGGTATAAAATCCTTCACACATGATGCTGGATTCATATTCCCATTCATCGCCGTTGCAATGAAGGCAATAAGCGTAGTAGCACCAATTTCGAATACAGATTGTCGTAATGATGCCTTTTCCGGATCGGGTGATGTGCTGGCAATGTCAACGAATTCACTTATTGACCATAGAGCGTCGCTAGCAAAAAAAATTATGTGGGCTGTACAACATCATTGAAGACCCATGAACCTCACACATACTTGATACAAGGCATATTCATCTTAAACGCAAGATATTGATTCTTGAGTATATGCTGAAAGTGTGCCTTCTGAGCACACAATAACGAGAGGACATTTTTACGTAGCACAACTTGTCCATCATCAATACCATCATCCACCTTCAAGGATATAAAGGCAAGACTCGACAACAATTCGTGACACTGTTCCTTCACAAAGGTCAATTGAAGTGACGACGGTATCTCCATCAATGATAAAAGGTTCAGGAAGTTCGCTCTCAGGATGGTTGGATCGAGTGATACGAGATCAGAGTGTATGACGAGCATACTTGTGGATTTGTATACATGCTAGTGAAGAAAGCGAAAAAAGAATGAAAAGGACGTCTCCACATAATTGAAGTCCAATTACATACCCGACTCATCTGCAAAACCAACCTCCACATAAACAACTTGTAATGTGACACCAAACTAGCAGACGATACTGGCCCTCCAATACTATGACTCGAATCTTCCTTTTTGAGACTAGCACTTTCAGACCCTTCCAAATCTTCCTCCACCACTTCCTCTTCATTCGTGTCTTCAGTAATCATTGACTTTCTAAACGCATCATAGTCATCATCTACTGATACTTTAGGTGTCGCTTCACCCCAATCCAAATACGATGATGATGAAGCAGGTGGACTTGGTGCTTGTGCACTAGGTTGTGACCAATCAAAAGCCGATGCACTCTCACTAGTTTTACTGGTTGGTACACTTGGCTGTGACCAATCAATAGATTCAGCTTTTACAGGAGCCTTCACATCGGGTGTTGCTGTCTTTGTTGTAGCAGGTGCAGCAACACTCGGTTGCTCTTGTCCAGCAATCAAAACATGTGAATTATGCATCATGATTCTCAATGCTAGAGAAGGACATCCAGATTGTTCGTAAGCGAGAGCAGCACGACCAATAAAATCTGCTTCTACTTTGGGAGAGACATCAGGAATGGGGATACGAGATAGACGATATGATGACTTTAGATGTTGGTGTAATGCGACGATGGACGCATCATGGGTTGCGTCGTCTTCAATGGTGACTGAAGGATCGAGTTCTTTCAATGGTACCTAAGTTTGGTGACAATTAACAAAAAAATCAGCTGCAAGATGTAGAGTCTAAACATACACAAACTGCCTTGAATGCATCAGCCTTCCTTCCTAGCGTCGTCATACACATCGAAATAACCCAACGATCACTGGTTTGATATGCTTTGGGCAGTAGATGTGTGGTAATAACGTCCTTCAGGGTGGCACTCTCATCACCTAACGAATTTTGATTGAGTGAGTGTGTTTTTTTTTGTTCGAATAAAGGACTTACCTTCATAAAGCCTACACAAGATAATAGCCAACTGTGGATCATCAAGATGCTTCAAGCAAACATTCACAGCATCCTTGAGCTTATCACCCAATAAAAAGAATGCAGCAGCGTACACTACATAGAGCAAACAAAATCACATATTCTATCATAATCAAGATCCCAATCACCAACTCACTGTATCGCTGCTTCCCAAGCAACGCAAAAGCATTCTTCAAAGCCGCCTTCTGCCATCGATCTTCACTGAAATCATTAACCAAGAATCTTAACATGGCAGCCTGTTCTGGATGATTGGATGCCAGCTTCCAAAGTCCCAACAAGACATTCTTCTTGCGAGATGCAATGTAAAAAATGGCCGAATCTACTGGATCCTTGTCGTCTTTGGCCATGTAGTGGTTTCGAGCTAGGATTTCGATTTGGCGTCGCTGTGCAGAAAACCAGTTCAACCACAGCAAGCCACATACATTGTTTGCATCTCAAAGTCGACATACCAATAGCTCAATATTCCTAACCCAATAGCCCATTCCCAAAGTCTTGAAATCATGCCACAATAGTTTACCGCCCATGGTTTGTGAGACATAATCCACAAGCACATCCTGAACAGAAATACCAAGTAAGAGACTGGGACCACGTTTGTACTGTAAAATGCCCGCCGGAAATCTGCCATCACACTCACTTGAGAATCACTATAGAAAGCCCACACAAACTCCCTTGACTTGAGTTCATTCTGACGAACAGACGGCATCATTTTCGACAAGAATGTAAAGAGTCTGAATCCCAATACAAATCGAACACCATTAGCATCTAGTGCTCGATTTCGACGCTCCACCTAACAGAACCAGAAAACAGTTATGGCTATCGAAGAATCACTCAGATTGTGAATATCCACCTCTAACAACGTCTCCAGCACAGCGGAAAGACGCATCTGATCCACATTCGAAATATCGGGTAATGATGTGGTTTGTATCAGTTCCATGAGGTGACGAACCATTTGGTCGAATGAGTGTGTGGAAGGATGATCATGACTAAATAGAACAAAAAGTTGGATGAAACCTGGGAGGAACGTAGCTGATCCACAAGAAACTCACTCTTCAACGGTAGCGGTATCCAACAACGATGTGTAATCTGACGTCGGTACTACAGATTCTCGACGTGACTTTGTCTTTTCAACGAACAAAAGCATCAATACACAAGGAATACGAACGTGCCGTTTTGTCAAGAACTTACGACTCGATCCGAAACTTCCAGGAAATCAGCAGATAAAGGTATGACATCCAATGGCGTCTTAGTTTCAGCAAACTTGGACACGATATTGTGTACATGAGTTACGACCTCTTTGACACCGTCGAATTCATCTGTGCGAGAGTGAAAAAGAATCAAAAAAAAAACTTCGGAAAGCGTCGCAGCTGACATTTACCCCAAAGCATTCTTTGCATCAGCATATGAGGATGATATTGAGGTAGTCCTCCAGAAGCATTCCATATTGAGGTGAAGACGTTTGCATGATCTGGCACAACCATGTTAATGACACATAGGAATGGTCGGTTTTTTTGGATTCAAATATCCTCATACCTGTATCACCATGAGTCCAATCACTCATCACCAGAATCTGCTTCTCGTCTGTTCCACATACTAGTGTAGCATCTCGTAATATAGTGACGGATGTTACGTTGGCGTGCCTATCGAAGCGAGAAAAATAAGTCGGGCTTCTGAAGACGTATAATTTGTTCTTTAACAACATACCTGACAATCTCATCATCTCTCAACAAGTCCCAACTACTAGAACTAGTCCTGTGTTTTGAAAACAGCGACACATTCGTGCCACATGCTACGACTAGTGCATCAACACCTGATGATGTGAGCCATGTGATGTGATGGGTACCAGTGCTAGAAATGGAGTGGTCTCAGTCAGTAAATACTAATCCGCCTTCTGTGTGGTAAAGATTGACAAATACCCTTCCAGACGAAGCGACCCAGTCTTGATACAAGTACTTGTAGGAGCTTCACATTCGTACACATCAATACGACGTAATGCCTTGTCTTCGATTTCTATATGAATTACACGCTTTAGCAGAGCTCTTTTCCGGTAGAACCAACCATACCTGCCGCAACACGTCCAAACGAGCTCGCCACCAACCTCACCACACCAGGACTCATAGAGATGTGGCTCGTAGCTTCCCAAACATTCTTCTTGCTTTCCAAACTCCATAATTTAGCCTTCCCAGATTTACACTCAACAGCCAATAATTTACACCCTTCAACACCCCATTCAAATCCATCAAGAGCAACATAGACTGAGTCTGATGAGTCTGATAATGTCGTATCTGTGGTATGGAGTGAAAGCTCTGCTGGACCAATTGGACCTAATATACGATGCGTTGTTCAGCCAAAAAACAACCGAGTTCATTCTTCATAGTGACGTACTCAACAAATCCAATGTCCCGCCACACACTTTAGCACTATCAGATCCAACAACAACAATCTCCCAAGTCGTCGAAGTGGGATCAGTTGTAGTAGAAAATATATGCAGAAACTTGACTGACAGGATTTTGGAAGGTAGATTCACTCGACCAACTTCAGTGCAGTTGAAGTTCGTCACCATATAAATTTCAAGGGATGTGCCGCGAGCGACGACGATAAATGGTCCTTGTAAGAACAAAGGAGTGCTTAAGAGGCCAAAAAGACGAATTTGAGAACGTTTTGATACCTGACGGTGTCCATTTGATATAACTATACGCCTCTCCAGAAGGAGGCGTCATATCACCAATAATCTCAATCAAAGACGAGCTTCCAGATGCCAAAGTTTCTGGCTATGTGAGAGTGGAAACGCTTCAGAACAAAAAGGCTAACATTGTACTGGGATATTATCACCTCAGGATGATGAAGCACCATAACTTGTCCATCAGCAGTTAAACCAGCTAGGTAGGACAATGTAGAATGTCGCTCAAAGCACGCAACAGGTGAATGTGTTCCGGATACAGAAGGTCCAGCGACAAATCGTGCTGATATTACCCGTTTTGGGATCTGGTTTGTTTCCAATTGACAGACACGTAGACAGCCGAGATAGTTGAGGTAGGCTATGAGGACCATTGTTGTGGTTCCTATTGTAGGGGACACGTTAGATGTTGTGGCAAAAAATTTGAATGATCGCTGACGAATACCGTCCGATTTGCGAGTAACTGACACCACACTGCCATCATTAACCCATGATGCAGCAAGAGCATGAGAAATCTCTTTCAGCTCTCTTGAATAGTTATGTCGACCATCGTTGCTAGAAGCCTATCGTTGAAGAGGTGAGCACAAAAAAAATGGCTATTGCTAGAATGCACCCGCTCGTTAAACATACCGTCAAACCCAAGATCCCCAAACTCCCAGCAGCATCAATCTGAAAAAACAAATCCGAATACGCCGTCACTCCCAAATCAACCTTAGCAGACGGCAGTTTATCAAAGTTCACATTCAACGACGAGATATGTCCTTGCTTTTGATCTTCGTTCGTACGACCAGCTTGCAACCAGTGTAAAGATCGAGCTTCAGGATGGAGAGTAGTGGATAGTCCCAACATGACACATCCATAGTTTTCAGTTGGGCAAGACCATATGCGAGATACTCCATCTTGGGATGTTGTGAGTAGCATGTTTGACCAGCTGTTGTCGCTTTAGTTTCAGAGGTATTGCTTAGCTCAGGAAGCAAGAAAAACATTCAACGGCTCTTCTACCTGAAACGAGCAGGACCCCATTCCAAATGCGTGGCTGGTAATGGATGCAACAGATATTCATAGTCATAATCCCAAGCTACAGAATACCAGCAGTTAATGGTTGCAAAAAAGGTTTTAAAGAAAGTGAATGATACCTTCTGGAGTTTTAATCCACACTTTGACATATGGCTCATACTAACAACCAAATACTTAGTACATGGATGATCTCAGTTCGATTTAAACTACTACCAACCTCCGCGATGGTAGCAAACTGATCTCCATATGCAGCAAAGGAAGCTTTCTTGATGGGTGAAGCAAGGCTAGGGTGCGGTTGACGTGTCATTTATTCGATGGCCCAGAGCTTTTTTTTGCATTGAGAACATACACTGTCGAAAACACAATATTCCAATCTCCCATTAGACCAGAACGTGTCCAGATACTTATATTGTTTCCAGCTCCAAGCAGAGCTCCTGTAAAAACACACAATGTTGAGATGTAAACATCAACACAGTCAATGTTCAGAGATGACCTTGTTCACTCCATGAAAGAATAGATACATCATCTTGTACATTCAAATCAGCGATTCTCTGCCACATTGCCTTCTATAGCACACACAGAGCAAAAACACGTAAGAAACAAGACCAATATTCGAACGTCATGTCCAAACCATTACCTGATCTACATTCTCGGGCTGATATATAGCAAGATCACGTCCAAATGAGATTGCTAACTACATCAAAACACTGAATTAGATCTATACCTCCCTTGTAAAAACACGGTCTGATTCAAGAAGTACCAATCCAGATCTCTCGTCCAAACAGACAGATTGAGAAGCTCTAGCTTGCGAGTCCTCAATTATTTGAGTAGGATTTAATTGAGCGTCTGCAATAACGACACTTGCACCGCTGGCGTATATCTAAGAAAGTCAAAACCCCAAAATCGATTATTTGATGTTGCAAGCTTGGACTCAAACCGAACAAGGAATAGGAAAATACCACATATTGAACGCCCTGATATGTCGCGCATTGTATGCCTTGGTTCGTCGGCCTCTCAAAAACTACTTGCTGAGGTCTGCCCATTGTCTCCAGTGTACGTTGTTTTCACGAGACGCCTTCCGTGACCAAACACCCGATCAAAATTATCGCTATTAAGTTTTTGCTGCAAGTGACTGTCTTTATTTCTTATGCTACATAGGTGTTTTACGAATTTTTTTGAGTTTACTCGGCTATGCTGCCAGCAGGGAATTCGAAGACAACATCTTTGCCGGTCAACTTTCTGTATGCTGCACTGAAACTCTCCAGTTTGTATTCGAGCGATGTGTTGTCCTTTCGATCCAGGAATCTATACGAATGTGGTGTTAATAAAATAATTCAAGATGTTTCGTGTGCAGCTGCTGTACTCTTTTTTGCTCCACGTCTTATCAACACTTACACTTTGGTGAGCTTGCTGCCATCCACCCTAATCTTGGTTCTCTTTCCGACGATTTCAGTAGGGTAGACCAAATCCTCCAACAATTTTTCATGCACCATAGTCAGAGTACGAGAACGAGGTCTCATTTGTCCGACACGTGCACGACGAGTTGGCTTCTTCATGACTCGACGTTGAGCAACCAATAATACATGACGATCCGAGAACTTCTTTTCCAATTCTCTGACGAGACGAGATTGCACCTTGTGGAAGGATTTGAGAAGTGGGACGGGTACAAAGATGATTATGACTCGTTTTCCATGTCCGGCGTCAATCTAATTATAAGGTGTCAAAGAGTGTATAGATGGGAGATGTGTAGACATATCAGTCTGCTGTACCTCCTTGACGGATGTAACTTGTAAACCACGCAAGTCAGCCTTCAATTCTGGCACATTGGCTTCCAAATCAAAGATATTTTGGGCGACTTGCATTTCAAGTTCATCTGGCTCTACACCGACTGGTTTGAGGATTTTTGAGCGTGGAGTCGTCATGTCTTTTGATGTCTGTCTAAATTATAATACTATGGAGAGACGAGTGAGTGATTCGATTCAATTACGCCTAGTCAGAGTATCGAGAGCCTCGTTCAATGTCGTCCTTCTCTCTGTCTCTCTCCTTCACAAGCTTCAAATCGCGAGTCTTTCACAGTGGCAAACATCCCATCGCATCCATCCATCACATTCAAATAAGAGAAGTGGCATAGTAAAGGGGACAGATTGGCCCTAAGATGGAGACAAATCTCGATAACTTGGCTCTTACCTTGACAGATCTCTATCGACTGACAAGCGTCCTGATTGTGAAAATTGTAACAAACTTTGATCGGTACAAAGTCGGTAGGTACACAATTCGATGATGGACAACAACGCAGGATCAAACAGCTTGGGGCAAGTACATCGAACGGTCGTGTTTTTCGTTTTGCATTCTGTCTGAGTTTAAATGATTGTATGATTGTGTTTTGCTCAAAATTTTATATAATGTTCACGAATATTTCACGAGCTATCGCAAGATCTAACGTGTCAATTTAAATATTTAATTGATTTCTATAAGAATCTGTTGTCTTCACGAGTCCCTTTCGTTGCCAACCTCGAGACGACTGACAAGTCTGTTTTAAATCACCAAACAACCTTGTTTTAAGCTCAACCAAAAGGAAGCTTTCTCCAATTTCGCGTTGCGTCTTGCCCTTTAAAAAAATAAACCCGAGACTCATACTCTTGCCAGCAAATTGCCACGCTGCCACTTGACCAAAGATCTTTAATAAAGTGTAACGTGATTACGCAAATTAACACATCGCAACTATGGAATCCCATGTCTCAAGAGCGATGGCTCGCACCTCAAGCTTGACTGGCAGCATGAGCAGTGATTATGAACTAATGGACCCGGTATGGAAACATGTGGCGTGTCTTGAAAGCTTCTTGTTGTTGCTGTTTGTGCATTTTGTAACGATTAGCTCGCTAACACCGCAAATTTCATATTCGAAGGAGGACGCCCACTCAGTAGATCCAACAAGTGTCTCCTCATCAAGTGCTTCGGAAGATGACGAAGCTCATAGGGCTGACGGGTCGTCAAATGAATGTGCTCCCACCACTTCTACTACAGTTGGAACTCCCACAGACTCCAGAGCAACCACCGCTACCGAAGTGAAGCCAACTGTGAAACTAGGGCTCGCGGTCGTTGGCTATCCTCAATCTGGAAAGTCGTTGTTGATAGACACTTTCATCAACAGAACACATACCGTCGTCGATTCAAGGATAGCACCTTGGCCAGTTTCATTACAAGAGTGTAAAGGTGAACAAACAGTCAGGATTCTCGAATCTAGGGATGCTCGAAACTTGATCGAGCTTGAGGTTACTGAACTTCGATTAGGTACGTTTCTTCCTGTTTGTGCTGCAACCGATAACAGATCGCACTTGTCTACTTGAATGCAGCACTCTGAGATAAAGCCGCTAACATGCATCTGTGAACGTTTTTTAGGTGGTACACCCACTGACGCTGTAACAGCGGAAGCATATCGGAACTATTTAGAATCAGGACCATCGCAATTTGAAGCCAGGTCTCGTGAATACAGTGCTACTGCCCAAGACGCCACTGTAGCTTCAAATTATAATGGAGTTGCTGCGGTCATTTTCCTATGTACGAATGGATGGGTCTCTGATACAGAGCTGTTTGCTATTCAAGAATTTGCAGAATTTGCTCCAGTAATTGTTGTTCTTGGTCGGGTGAGTAATTTAAACCCTTCCCATCGTCCGCACTTCTACTGCTTTGAATCGCTCAAAAGAAGTTTGAATCTTACACAATCTCTTCAGGCCGATGCTCTCGACGCACATGTATATGGACAAGAAGAAGCAGGAGGCCATCCATACCAATCCCAAAAGGATAACGTCTTCCGCGTACTAGCAGGCGCCAATATCCGAGTCCACTCCGGCACCATCTTTACAGTAATGACTGGTACTCATACAAACGACGACGGAAACGACATAGATGAACTCAGTCAGCTACTTCTATCATTTGAAGGCGTACGGAACTTGTCGGTTTACACGGGCAGGAACATTACAGCAGCCGATAAATTCGTCACGTACTTTAATCGCAACCACCGCCGTGTTGGGTTCCTGACTGCAATTGGAGCTTCCATCAATCTGGCATTGTTTGATACAGTCTGGGGACGCATGTTTCCCAGCCATGCTTCACATCAACGACGCCGCTTCCCATGGAGAGCCGCTGGTACAGTTGGAGCACTTGCTGCTGCTGGAATATTAGGATGTGGTGTAGGAATGTGTTTCGGCGCCCTCAAAACCGAAGACCTTAGAGCCCAAAACATAAGTCATATAAGCCGTATTATTCAGGTACAGCAGCAAAACCAAGATCTAGTCGAAAATATTCAGACCTTGTTACGTGCGTTGCACTACTACGGGTTGGAGTCATATGATGGCATCCGTCGTGTTATAACAGTCGTCTCCAATATAGTGAATGATGGTCATGTAACAGGCTGACACACGTAAAAAAAAGACTCAAGGACACCTCAGAATATGTAAAGTGGCTATAAAGTTTGAATTTATATTTTTCTACAAAACAAAACAAAGAAATTTCTCAACTCATAACTACAAATGGCCTCATTTAGTTTCATCTCACTCCTCAGAGATGCTACTGTCGACAATTTGTTCCTCGAGAGCGTGTTGAGCCCATATACGAGTCATGAGTACATTCACGAGATATCTATCCCGTAAATGCACGGAATCCAACCTTCATTGGTAATGTAAACACAGCCGGTTGTATGGATTGGCCGTTCTTGATCTCGTCGTTCGTCCAATATGTGGAAGTTGAGATCCAATGCTTTGAAACACCTCGTAACGAGACTTAAGCCTTCAATACGCGACATTTGACCATTCTTTTGGATATCAGCACGTGCTGTTACCATGATGTCGTGAAAAGTCTCGAAGCAGCACCCGGATGATGAGATCCAAAGCTTCCAAAGCAAACAATTTCGTAAATAAAGTTCATCATCACCACACACAAACTTAAAGCATCTTTCTCAAAGTCTGATATCCACATCATCATTGGTGTGTGGTGTGGTCAAAGCGATGAAATTAGCGGGTTTGCCAAAATATAACAACTGAAAGATGGAACCAATCAGGAAAAAATCTGAATTTCACACGTCTAGCAAAAGCTTCCTTCATGACTACAACAAATCCTCAAGGATGTGAGGGCATGGTACAGCCACATATTGTATATTAACTTACGGATCAACAAAACCACAAACAGCCAGTCAGGTGATGAGACATGAACACCGTATAGAACATTCATCATAAAATGACTTCCAATTGACACGTGAAATAGACCGACAAATAAACGAGCACGTCCCGACTCCGAAACATCCAAACTATGGCGGTTTGGATCATGTTCTGCCGGAAGCAGAAACTTTTGGTGGATAGGAGCTTGGAGCCTCGTGTCAATGTGATGGATGGTGATGCCCGCGTCGACATGTGTGCGGATGGTGGATTGTAGGAGGTGTTTGATTTGGTCGAGTCATTGGTTCCCAAATTGAAGGTGAAATAAGATCAAAAGGTCGGGAACGGGTGGCGTGTGTAGATCTGCAATCTTTTGAGGTCGATACAGATCAATGATATATGTTGAGCAGCATTGAATTGCATGGGGTGGTGATTTGTTGAAGTTTCCGTCAATATTAATGTGGTGAAGTCATCGAAAAGAATTCATTTAAACCAGAGCAAAAAGGTAGCTTGACGTGTCAGATAGCATCAAGTCATCATATTTCATATTCCGTTGCAGAAGTGACAAAGTTTGATCAAGATTGTGAAAAAGCCAAAATGTTGAGCAAGTTTCTGAGGAACTGCATTAAAACACGAGCTTAGTGACATCCGTTGCAACCAAAGCCAGTCAAAACTATATTGGATAGTCTAATTCGATACCTCTTTTCAACATTGGCAAAATAGAGACTACGCGCTCACATGCCAAAACAAAAAAACCACGAGCCGACAATCAGCCAAAATATAGCCAACCAAGCACATTCCTGGCGTTCCAAGTCACTGGTCCTCATTCCGTTGCGTACCAAGTAGTTACCTGCCTTGCAAATTCATGCCGTCTCTCACCCTAATAATGTGCTTGCGTTATGCACATGGAGACACAGCCCTCGTGAGTCACATGCGATTGCCTATGAAGTAGTTAGATCTAAGGCGTATCGCGTACTTAAATCATCTTTGAGCTGCTGAACTGGCTGGATCTATCACCTTCATGGCGGAACTGCCACTTGTCCTGCCCGTCACGTTGGTTTTTTGCATCGACGCCAGATTCCGCTTTTTGGAGGGAGTTGGACAAAGGAAGCCTTCGAACAAGGCCGCCAATAGACCGGAACGCTATGATGCCACTCCTTGCAATTGGGATCGGCAAGCTCGCACATGAATTAGGGAGTGACTCTGTAGGCAAGCTTGGAAATAGGATCAAGCACGTTTGCCGCTAGGAAAGCGAGTCTTCAAAGTTGCGGGGATCAAACTAGCTTTGAAAGTTACAATGTCTCAATTGTTTGACACGTCCGATGGGTTAAAATGATGCTTTTTATTCAAGCTCTCAAGCTACCACAAAAAGCAACACAGCGAAGAAAAATACACAAATTGTGACTTGTTCAAAGAGCATACTAAGAATTCAGTTACATTGAACAAACCAGTACATACCTGTTTGAGTTCTCGTGTCGTTAACAAGACAGGGTGTTCTTTGTAACATGGAGTCAATCGAGCTTGCCTTGGTGTTCGAAAGCATACTGAAACTTGAATAAAGCCTTCAAATAACGTGTGACAATTAACGTAGAAAGTGTTTGATCACTATTTACGTATAGTTGCAACATATCTCCAGGCGTGTTCTGTGTCGAGAGTATCGAGACCTCCAGGATGAGTTTCAATTCACGGGTAGTCACAATCTGTCTAAATCGAAAAAAAACAAGTTCAAGTGGCGAGCAGATGAGATAATTCAAAGTCCGACTCCTTGGGACATATTGGATGCTGCTACTTGACGCAACATCAGAAGTCTGTGCACTCTGAAACATTCAATGGAAAGAGACCTCCTTGCAGAAGGTAGTCTGGTTGCACAGAGAGCATCGTGTCCTCTATAATGGGAGACAACCTTGGATAGCCAAAGACCTCCCAACAGTGGCTCCACACTTTAAGTCGGGAATGACTCGACGATAGAAAGCTTGGAGACGTGTTCAAGCACGCTTGCTGCTGGGAAGCAACAGTCGAGTTAGCCATTGAATTTACAATAGGCATCTGCCGGGATTTCCAAACTCTTTTATTGGTTGTCAGCGTGTTTGACGCGTTCACCTACATCAATCTTGAGTGATGTGACCCGTTCGAGAACTTTGGGTTGCGTTTGTGAACTGGACCTTACAATTAATACGCTCGTCAGCGGTATAATTCCTCGTGATCGCCGTTTTCCAATTGCTGATGCTGAAAATGATCGTTGTCGTGTTCGGCGAAGGAAGGTTCTACATTAGTTGGATTGTTGACTTTCTACTTTTGCGATCAAAGACAGTCTTTGAACGTGGTAAGCGGCGCCTAGACCACGATCGTGGTGGTTTCGGAGAGGCGTTATGAAACGGCGTCCCGACAATAAGCCAAGAATAAGGTGTGACGGGTACGAATAGAGATTACATACCTCAGCTTTGAGACCGTAAATCTTACTGTTTAAGCTGTTTCTATTTGATGACCTACAACTTTGTTACCAAACAGCAGTACAGCATCGAACACAAAATAAACAAGTTGTGAATTGTTCAAAGGGTATATTCAAAAATCATTTAAATTGAACTAGTACGATATGTTTGAGTTCTCGTATAGTTCAAAAGAGAGGGTGTTCCTAAACTGGGAGTAGTCCGAGCTTGCTTTGGTGCTGAAAGCATACTAAAACTTTAAAGAGGGTTTCCAGTACAGGCCACGATTAACGTGGAAAGCGTGTGATGCTGTTGTCGTGTAGCTGCAACACGATTGCAAGGGTGTTTGGTGTCAAGCGTGTCAGGATCACGAGATTTGGTGATTAATGCAAATCCACGGTTAGTCACAATCCAAATGAAATTAAAAGAATCAGATAAATGGGCCAGTGGATGCGATGTATCAAAGCATGAGTCCTTGTGATGTGCAGTGGAAGATATGCAGCCACGTCTCATGCTTGACGATAGTGCATCCTATCAGACAGTTGTTTTGCCTTGATCCAAATGAGCACAAAGGCGGAATGGAGCCTCTCGCTTGGGCCTATGGACTCTTGGTTAAATGGATACTTTTTCCTTCCCTTGGGTTACCAAACCACAAACAATAAAGCTCTGACCACCTGTCGATTCTAAGACCAAAAGATACCCACTAATTAATTTCATGACAGAGAAATTGCCTTCGGAAAGCAACTTCAAAGATCAACAAAAATTGACAGGTATACATCCAGCTCGTCCCTCCAGCTAAGGCACATTATTCCAGTATGATGTCCGTGTTTTCTGGTGAGTTTGCTGGACCAGACGTCCTTGCAACAACCATGAGCACGAGTCACCTGTCAGCAACATATTCTCAGTCTTTATTCACGCCAACCGACACATCTGCTCTACTGGATGCTGCTACCTTGCGCAAACTCAGTGCTTCATCGTCGCTCCAATTTGCAATGGGGCAACCACGAGGTAAACAATTTCTTGCTTGTTTTCTTTCAAACCTGACGGGAGGGCTTCTGTTGCGATTCCCGACGTTGCAAGGATTGTAATTTCTCATATTTTTGTATTTGAAATCTGTCCTAACTCTCTGGATCTCTCCCCTGCCACTGTCATGTGTACGTTTTTCTTAGGTTTTATGGCTGAAGATGACGCCAAGCATGTGCTATCAAACAATATGGACACTGATGGGTCTGCTATCGTCTACTCGTCGGATACGGCATCCAGAGCTTCTACTGGCTCTCCAACTCATAGTGTGCGACATCAAACCTTGTCATCGGAGTACCGTGCAACAACATACTCGCCTCTCTTCTCAGAGCCACACTTTGACAACTATGTAAAGACATCACCGAATCGGTTTGCTATCAATGGTCAAGTCGGATCTCCATCAGACACTCCATCAAGGATGACTTCACCTGCGCAATCTACGTCACCATACAGCACTACCACTCAACCAGCTATAGGAAACATCAACAACAAACGCCCTACACCATATAAACAAACCACCCCAGCTTCCCGAGCACTCTTCGAGCCACATACACGAGTATCAACCAATAACGACAAGTCAGGAGCTCCATTCACAGCCATCGGTAGTCATCTAGGTGTATCATCACATTTTGCCCCACTATCATTATTCGACTCGACACCATCTATAGTACAGGCCAAACCAAAACAATTGTCATCAGCCTTTGCTACTAGCCCCAGGTTGTCCAGAGTAGATCCATTCGTCGGCTCTATGGGTCAACAATACACAATGGATGTCTCACAACCATCGAATGATATTTGGCATCAACGTGATAGCGATGATGGCAGACTATCAACTACATCGTCTAGTAGTCTCAGTGCTCATCTCAGCGTCAGCGTGTCTAGACGGGCTAGCGTTGGTGATATAGTAGGAGTAGAACGTGCACCACAAGTCATCAACACTACATTCCAGCATCAGCCTGACACTGTTATGGAAGAGAATAACCGAAAGAGACTCGTCTCCTTTGACTCTGCCGTCGAGTTGCAAGATACTACTCCGTTTACTGCTCATGGTGACGAGCAAGATCTGATGTTGCTTGACTATAGTGACCAGACCGAAGATAAGCAAGTAGAGAGCTTTATTGGATACATGTTGCAGCATGGCTCTGTCGAAGTAGGATCGCCAACAGCAAGAGCACTCGTAGACGAAACCGACAATAGCAACACCATGTCGTCACCACCTCGGTCAAGCGCTTCACCCGAAATCACAGTCAAGAGTGAACGCCGATCAAGGAGGCATAGACCTATAACCCGTCGTAGTCGTAGAAGAAGACGTGCTAGTAGTGATGATGAGCCAGCAGATGCTTCTGCAGATGGTTCCTATGATGAAGATGGTGGTCTACATGGCGGTAGCAGTAGTGATGCCACACCCAGACACCAGTCTCTACGATTCGATGGTGATCTGTATACTCCCCGATTGGTGAGATATAGTGGTACACAAAAGCAAGGCTTTTGTGAACAATGTCCTGAACCTGGCAAATGGTTGCAACTCAAGACATCTGCCTTTTGGTAAGTGTTTTATATGTTTGTTGTTTCTAGTGATTTCGTATCGCGCTTCACGCACATCGACTAATCACTCTTTGTTTTTATTCAAGGTATCACAAGCAATTTTTCCATGGCATATCATCTATAACTGGGCAATACTTTACAACACCTGCATCACTACGTCTCGTATATCAACAAACTGGACAAGCTGACTTCACCGAACGCAAACAAAGCAACTCCAAGGACGGCGCAGCACCGACAGCAACCTTTATGGTGGAAGCCCTATGTAAAGAGTGTGATAGCTGGATATCAGTCATGAACCCAAAACGACGAGGATCAGTACCAAGTGGCATACCATCGGAACTAGCAGCTGCCCATCAAACACACCAACATCGTCGAGACAGTAGTAAGGAAGCTGAACAACCATGGTATACAACACTGCCAGTTGGTACGAACATAAATGACTCCAATTGGACTGCTCTTGAAGGAGAACCCGAAAACCGATATGAAGTACGAACCAACTCTCGTGGCCAATACGTCTTCCCAACTGGTGTAATTGATACTGTCTTGAACTATACTGTGCAGGAGGCTGGACATGTATTGAAGGCTGACGGAATGACTGTGCTCTGGTTTAGGCATGCTTACAGGTGTACGGATCAACAATCAAGTAACTCTCAGGACCGTGCCAAACGAAGTGGGAGTGGGAGCAAGAATGATGAATGAATTAAACGATTTTTTATTATAACATGAGAGCACGAGGGGGATGTCTGCTTTGGAAGAGCTGATTTATTGCTTATGTGTGATTTGATTTTGAGTTTGTAGTTTGATTGTCTTGCTTTTCGTTATTGGTGGTGATGGCAAGTGTGTAAATATGGCCTTGTCTCATACTTAATTATTACGTGTGGATATATATAAAAAGCAAATAACTCTGTGACTCTTAGTATGGTTTGTCTCAAATTGCGCCCAAAGGAAAATTTTAATTGATACTCAAACTTGTTTGTACGGTCTACGGGTGGAATTTTTCAATGGGGCTGACTATCTCCCGTTCCGTTGTTGGAAGGAGAGCCAATCTGTGATTCCTTCCTTCAGAACACCCATTTTTTGCTAATTTACCTAATCGGTCTAGATCAAATGCACCCCGACTGATGTGTGTTAATTTACCTAATCGGTCTAGATCAAATGCATCCCGACTGATGTGTACTGATGTCATCTAGTAATCACACACCCACGTGCCAACGCAATTGGCAAAGCATCGTTTTTGGGGATACCTGCCAAGGAATGGAAGGAATGGCCACTTTTCTCTCATGGTCGGTTATGGTGGACGACTCAAACTTGTTCATTCTTGGCAATCGATGAGGGAATATTTGTGGTTGAGGAATGATATTTAAAAGGGGGCTATTGCAACAACGTGGCATGGAAACTTGATTGATGAGATGACTCTTGCTACGTTAGATTTTCCAAAGTCACCCTTTGTGGCTTGAAAAGACCCGATTCAACGGTCAAGCGCTCGCAGACATTGATCAAAAGTCGTCAATATTCGCGTTTCTACGCAAGGTCTCTCGTGACATTTGTCAAATAAACAACCAGATGTTACAATTGATGAGAATTTGGATTTGGGATGGTTGTGGATTTCCAAGTGAGGGAAACTGAATAAATTTGTGAGGTGTTGCAGGAATGCTCAATGTCAACCCTTCATGATATAGGTGGAATTTTGACTTGAACAAGCTGCTTTTGGGGAACGCAGTGTAAGAATCTATGTTGCTCTTACTTGGACCTACTCAAGAATGTCACATTTGGTGATTTGACACGATCAAATGTCACAAAGACGTGGCAGTAACAGCACAAGTGTCTTTCGTCATGTATCTGAAGCCGTCGCTCGCTGTGAAGGACGATACCAAGAACCTCACCACAATAAGCTTTGCAAACTGCTCTTTGGATTCCTCCTACTTGAACGATCATTGGGTTCCTTCATTCTTCTTATCACACAAGGACTCAAATGTAAGCAAGTAGCTATTTCTGAGTCTTGGAATCGTTGCCCGGCTACAACTATGTCAAATCGTAAAGACGCAAACAAGTGGAAGCAGGAGGTCGTCTTTGTTCACATCTCGTTTGGATTTTATCCTTTTGGGGATAATCTGTCTATGATCTAGTTGCCTTTTTGTTCCTTCAATTTGTCGACAGTTCGTAGTAGTAATATGAGATTCATCACTGACTCGAAATGATAAGAAAATGCATTTCCGCAAAAGTATGATCATCGTTTTTAATAGAGAGATAGATAGGTTCAATACAATAGAAACGATTGTAGCTGAATTGAGCAAAGATAGTTGTATGCCTCGTCCATTGAAACCATAAGACTCTTCACGCAGTCACAATCTGAAAGCAACACCACCTGTAAGTTCGTTTGGAAAGGGACCAATTTCGACGAAAATTTCTTGTTTGTTTTCAGGTTAAATCCTGCATCAGCAGTAGCGTTGAGAGTGTCGGCACCAGAGTCCACATGAACTACAACAACAAATGGACCGTTGTTCCCTCGCTTGGGCTTGCAAAGCTGACCGATTCGTTGCCACCGATGACATACATTACCAATCCGAAAATCCTTTAGTGGCAGTGCAAAAATTGTCATGGACCAAACGCAGAGTGGGATGTGACGTTTTAAAACGTATTGAAGATCGTGTATTAGTCACAAGCACTTTAAAAAGAAATGGCATACGGTGAATACTCCACTTCCACCAAGACACGAGGAATAATGTTAATGTGTCAGTAATTTAACACAATAATTTCCGGGCACATGATGTAAATATGACTTTTCGTGCAATTGGGGCGCGAGCGCTTCATCAACAATATTCAGCAGCAAGCATGAGGATCAGGTTATCCCTACAGTTCGGCAGGCCCCTTGTCTGAGACAGCCAACGTGGCACGGGAAGAAAAAATGGTCCAGTCACCGAGGAATCCCATGCAAAAAGCTTTTCAGAAGGCCCCAGATCCAGACTATCCAGAGTCGCAAACCAAGTTCCCTAATAAAACCATCAAAAATATCTTGAGTATATATGAGTAATAGGAATCATAAAGTGGATCATAGCGCCAATATAATGGATCAAAATAACAACGACACCGAAAGCAGACAATCCAGATCACAGCCACAAGAACACCTTTTTACATGGCCATATCACATACAGGCTTTGGGACGAAGTCCAGCATCAGAAAAACTTGGCTGTGCAGTGCTCGTCGTCTCTGACTTCTATATTGAGACACCACGTATCGACGAAGAATGTGGCCTTGATCACGTCGACCACATGTAATTATACCCATAAAAAGATAATGTTTTGGTCTAATGATGCGGTTAGGATCTTGTTGACGCCTAATGCTGGTGGTGACTCGGTGTTTTCCGAGGCGTTGTCGTTGGAGTGGTTGAAGCAAGTGGTTGACACGAGGCTTCTTGCTACTGAAATGGAGATTACGTACTTTCCGGTATGTTTCGTATTCTGAAGATGGATTTCGAGTGACATGGAAGTATCTTATATGCTCGTCTCTTGTTGTAGCGTGGAGGTTCAATGACAGACTATATTGTCTCGATGTATGATAGCCACGCAGTCTCTGTATCCGTGACGCGCGCTATGCCTTGGCCGCGTGGTAGTGTCTTCACATTCGAGCAAGCTACGAGGTTGCTGACCAAGAAGCTGACTGGTTTGTCGAATGTGCGGCACACGATTGATGTGAGTGTCTGGTGCAAGTTTTTCAACTTTGGAGAGTTAAAGGAATAGAAGCCCACATTCGTCACGATACCACCCAGCTGTATTCACAATTGTCTCAAATTATCACCTAGATGGACATTGACGCTCATATTCTTCACGTTTGGGCTCCGACTAAGAAGGTCGTCAAGATGCTGTTGGTTGCTTATAGGACGCTGCCTGTCTGCATCAAGGGACAGTTTATAGTCATTGTCACGCTGACGGATATCGAATCTGTATTTGCCAAGACGCGTGTCAGCAAGAAGGCTCTCCTATGAGGAATTTGCTGGTGCGTTGGGGATGGGGTGTTAGAGGATGGAGGTGCTCTCACATGATCATCTGATGACAGTAATCTAATGGTTGGACTCGTTAGAAGGTCGACTGGACTTGGTCGGATGGGGTTTCTGTCTGTAGATCGATTTAAAAGATACTACCTTTATCTTGTATGATATATAGATAGTAAACGGACCTCCCAGACACGTCAGTATGAGCAATAATTATGCGCAGTAAACGATTTCTTGGCCTCTGCTTGTCCAGCTGCTTGTTCACTGCTACATTTCGCTTTTGCTCTGTACTTCGAATTTCTTCTAACAAAAACCTGCTCAGGTGAGTAAATGGACAATATCAAACTTCAATGAGGACCGAGACATACTCCAAGCTCTGAAGAGACACGACAATGATGGACTTCTGTCTTTTTCTCCTCTCAAATCGTCTTCTATACGTGTCTTTTGCTCCACTTTACAAAAACGAACCTCTCAGAATCTAACATCGCAATTACAATCCTTTACAAGGGTTTCTCAAGGTCTCTTCGATATATCATACAAGTACAAAAGATGTCATATAGTCGAGTCTACGTTGGCAGGCTTCCTCGAGATACTGATGTCCGAGATTTGGAAGGACTCTGTGAAAAATTTGGTCGAATCCGAGACTGCAAAGTATTGAATGGATTTGGATTTGTCGAATTTGATGATCCTCGTGATGCCTCTGATGCTGTACGAGCGTTGGACAGGACTCGCTTCATGGGTGAAAGGTATGTTGGATTACATGGTGTTCGGAAAGCGTCAAAATGGGAAGTTTGTTTATTGAAGGACATGATTATCAACGGAGAGATTGCTTGTGACTTGAAACGTATCAGCAGTTTAACGGGAGAAGCTCAGCGGTTCAGTCACTCGCATTTGTTTACTTTACTTCCGCTTTTTTAGCATTCAAGTCGAGCCCGCTCGTGGTGGACGTCGAGACCGAGACCGAGATGATCGAGGACCACCACCACCTCGAAGTGATCGCGCACGCCCTCGTGGCACTGGAGAATTCAGGTAACCATACGAATGCAGCATTTCTACCTTTTTTCATCGTCAGCTTACGTCTGTTTTGGCATAAATAGGTTGAATGTCAGTGGTCTTCCTCGTGGAACAAGCTGGCAGGTGAGTATTTGTGCTGTCTTCAAGAAACGGTGAAATCAAAAACAGCGGCCACCTCCTGTATTTGTTTGTTTTGTGGACGAGACTTTTTAGAAGGACTTTTTCATATTGAAAGTATGTTCTGGAAGGAGGCTCATGGTGGATTTTGGTCTCTTCTCTCGAGCTCCTCTGTTTTGGTGGTGGTGGCAAAATGATAGCCCTGTCAAATGTTGCCAATTTTGAATTCAAGCAATGGGACTGAAATGGATTGCCACCCCTCTCCGTCTCCCTCTGTCTCTGATCTGATTTTGACGTCGCGATGGTCTTCTAACTGTCTTGCCGTGGTTGCTCTTTCTCCTCTGCTCAGGATCTCAAGGACTTGTTTCGTCGTTGTGGTGAAGTTCGATTCGGTAAGTTCATTTGGATGATATTTGTTGTGGTCGAGATATGTTACTGTTGCTAACGCCCAACAAATAGCTGACGTGGATTCCGAGGGCACTGGGTACGATATCACGGGATATTTACGTTTGCTTTTTGGTACTCATTCGAAAAAGCCATCAACTGAAATTTTCAACACTTCCCGATCATTGAACATCTCAGTATCGTGGAAATGTTCAATGATCGTGACGTTCGTAGAGCAGTCCATGATTTGGATGATTCCACCTTTCGTGATGTCCGTATTTGGGTTCAAGAAGTACGTACATCATTTATGAGATTGGGACACTGACAAGGACGTACTCTAACCCATATTTGCTCTCGTTACAGGATACTGGCCGTGGTCGTTCTCACTCCCGCTCTCGTTCTCCACCTCGAGGCGGCCGAGACCGTTCACGATCACCACGAGGAGGCAGAGGCCGTTCACGATCTCCACGTCGTCGATCGCCCTCTCCTCGCAAATCTGCAAGTCCTCCTCGTCGAACTCGTAGCACTCATGATGACTAGACCATCAAAGTCAAACGAAAAAGAATGAAGTTGGGAGAGCTGCTCTTTGTTCACTACTTGCTACTACTTTGTACACAACAACAATTCGAATAGCAAATAAAAGCAGAATCTCTATTCTATATTTACATGTGTCTTTTGTTCGCTTTGGGCAAGTCCGAATTCGGAGAGGATAGCCGATTACGATTCATTGAAGCGAAGATCAAGCGTCAACACGTCAGCAGGCTGCTAGCTCTGAACTAAAGGCTAACTAAAGGATTTCGCATTCGAAGCGCGTCCTTCTTCAGCTCCGTGTTGCTGATAGATCCAAAACTCCGAAACCCAAGTGGATTGACGATGGGCAGCGATTTAGATAGGTAAGCAAGATTGAGGTGTTGTATTGCGTTCTACATATCGATACTAGTACCCCTCTCTTCTCACCATTATGATATGTTAATTGTCCAAAACAGACAGATTGAGCAACTTCGAAAATGCGAGATAATCAAGGAATCCGAAGTGAAGGAGCTATGTAACAAAGCCAGAGAGATACTGATCGAAGAGAGCAATGTACAGCGCGTAGATGCTCCTGTCACGGTATGTGCTTTGTACTCGCTGGAAAGGAAGACATTACAATGTGGGTTGGTGATTTGTTGAAATTGACGATTCACATTTTTTTCCCTATGAATAGATATGTGGAGATATTCACGGCCAGTTTTACGATATGATGGAGTTGTTTAAAGTTGGTGGCAAGTGTCCTGATACGAATTATTTGTTTATGGGTGAGTTACCTGAAGGGGAATACCCCTTTTTTTGTTGGAGGGGAGATTTGAATGAGACGATCCTCGCTAACATCTCTCTTTGTTGTAGGTGACTTTGTAGATCGAGGATTTTATAGTGTAGAGACGTTCTTGCTGTTGCTAGCTCTAAAAGTACGTGGTTTGATCAACGTACCCCAAGGCAGTAAAGAGCATATGGAGCCAGAATAATGGCAATAGGAGCTCCGGCTTATCTTGATTTTTCAACTCTGTTTCATCGTGACCACGTTCAGTCACACACTTCCTTCCTTCTAGGTACGATACCCAGACAGAATAACACTTCTACGCGGCAACCACGAAAGCAGACAAATCACTCAAGTATACGGCTTTTACGATGAATGTTTACGGAAATTCGGATCAGTGAATGTGTGGAGATATTGCTGTGAGGTCTTTGATTATCTGAGTCTGTCTGCTATTATTGAAGACAAGATATTTTGTGTGCATGGCGGATTGAGTCCGCAGATTACGTCTTTAGATCAAGTAAGCGAAAATTTGGTCATTCGAAAACATGGATTGATGTAGGAGTCACCCAGACACTGACATTGTGTGTAATAGATTCGAAGTATAGATCGAAAACAAGAAGTACCACATGATGGCCCAATGTGTGATTTGCTTTGGTCTGATCCAGACGGTATGTGGATAATTGTTTAATTGCGCGAAAAAAGCATCACGAGGTCATTAACGACTCTTCAACAGATGTTCAAGGATGGGGACTCAGTCCACGAGGTGCAGGATATCTCTTTGGAGAGGACGTCGTTACGGGCGTGAGTACAAGCAAAAAACCCACGTCGAGCGCTGAGTCTTGAATCGTGGACACTCTCACTCAATCGGAACTACTCCTATAGTTTATTCACAAGAACAATATTGAATTGATTGCCCGAGCGCATCAGCTTGTGATGGAGGGATACAAGCTCATGTTTAAGGATACTATTGTGACGGTGTGGTCGGCACCCAATTATTGCTATCGGTGGGTCTGGCAATGGTTGCGCTCTCCTTTTTTGTGCGATGGAGTCACTAACTCTGTTGTCACATTGAAAGGTGCGGGAACGTGGCAGCAATACTAGAATTGGACGAGCATTTGAGTAAGAATTACAAGATATTTGAAGCTGCTCCACAGGTACGAATCGGTCGTTGGACCAAGGAGAAAGAAAGAAACGATATCAGGCTCACAAACATCATCCTCCTTTCTCTGTAGGAGGCGCGAGGACTACCTGCCAAGAAACCTGCTCCAGATTGTATGTGTGAATGCGGGTTGGTTTACCATATCATGCCCTCTAACCACCAATCCTTTTGTTGCCATAGACTTTTTATGAGCTTTTGGGTTCGCATCAATCTCTCGGTTAGATGCGCCGTGCTGACGTGTTTGAGCATCACTTTTTTGCATCATTGAACAACCCAACTTGTAAGAAAGAACATTTTATACTTAGACATAGTTTCTCTTGTTGTGAATATTTGAAGGCTCGAGGTTTATTACAGTTGTTTTATGATTTACTGGGGCTGTCTAAAGATGGTGGTAAAGGGTTTGATATAATTTACTCAATTAAGGGTAAGTCGTCGCTTGCGCAGCATCACAGATCGTCTCTGGTGGTATTTTTGGTGGTGCGGGGAGGGAATTTTTAGGCACAGATTATCCCTAATATTTCTCACTTCTTGTTAGGCGACCTCTTAGACCGACGGTTTCAGAGTGTCGTGACGTTCTTGCTGTTAAAGATACAGTGGAGCTGCATGCCTGAAGCAAAAAAAAGACGCTGGGCTTCACTCGACTGGCTAAACATTCGGCTCTTCCTCCTTTTTCCATCATGACCACATTCACTCAGTCAAATCCTTAAACTGTCTGGAACAAGACCAGATAGAATAACGCTACTACCCGGCAAACACGAAAGCTTACAATCTGTCAAGTATGCATATTCTAATATGAATTTCAACTCAACTTTGAATCAGTGAATGTGTAGGGAGTTGCTGTGACATCTTCAATCATTTGAGTTTGTCTGATGTTATGGAGGCCAACATATTCTGTGTAGTATGGAAGTCTGAGCCCGCTGATATCTCGTTGGGTCAGAAAATCGACCAAAAAGACAAACGAAAACATGACAAATGGATAGAAGCACTCACAATGCAGAAGATGACGTTGGGGTTTGTTGCTAGATTCCAAGTTTAGATTGGAAACAAGGAGTGCCTTATTGGCTGTCCAATGTGTGCTTTGCTGTGGTATGATGTAGTATGACAAAATTAACAAAATAATTTAACAATGGTTTATTAGCACAGAATCCTCACATACTCACTCCGATTCTTCTCCAGATGTTCATGGATGCGGAGACTTCGGCCACGAGGTGTACGCATGAAGCGTATTTGTTTGGAGACATAAAAAAGGCTTCAAGTCCTGATGATTGATAGATGAAGGAAACTCTCAACTCAAACATCACTTTCTCTGTACTTGATTCACAAGAGTACTACTGAACTGGTTGGTCGAGCGCATCAACTTGTTTTGGAAAAGGATATAGGGCATGTTCAAGGATGCCATCATGATGGTGTGTCTGTCACCCAATTATAGTGTCGGGTTTGATGAAGCACGAGATAACAGACGCTGCGTGAGATACCTGAAGCTGTCATGGGACTTATCGAGGTTTGGATCATCAAGGAAGCGAAAAACAAAGGTGACGTGCACAGCGATTCATCTCCCCGTCACTATGGGAGGCACCAGGACTACCAGAACCGTGCCGCGGATTGTTTGTTTAATCGGTCATACTCGTGAACTTTTTGCGTTTTCTTTGCCATAGATCTTCTACAAACACTTTGGTGAGGTACATCAACCTCTTGCGAGGTCTTTATGCCTCCTTTTGCAGCATTCACCAACGAACTTGCCATACAAGACATCAACTTAAAAATGGTCTCATTGTTTGAAAGTTCAAAAGTGTTATATGTAGTAGGGTTTGGATTTTATATCAGAGATATGTTACTAGGCGATGACTGGACAATGTATATTGGTCGTTGTTGAATCAGACCAAAGAAGCGTGACGGGATTGCTCTCTCATGCTGTTGTTGCTGGTGAGACTGTATTGAGGGTGACGGTGGTTGTATGTAGCGTTCTGATTCTTCAGTCCGTATGACTGTTCCGATACTAGTATGGAATGTGGTGTGTGAGTAACTGGCGAAAAAAGTGCATGAGCTTCTATTGACATACGCCATGAAGAAACCAAACGTGGCTCCAGATTGCAGCATTGCTCTTCCTATTGCGGCCATGTAGGTTCTGTTTCCAGGACCATACCTGTGTAGAGAGCCGAGTGTGTGTGAGTTTGACACGTTACTGAGTCAAGTTTTCTTGCAGTGTGATGCCATTGCACGTTCTCACCTCAGAGCACTATAACCACCCAGTAAGAAGCCAATACAGAGGCCTACAGAGCCGCCCATCAGGCCGCCTAGTACGATTAGAGGTTTGTAAGTCGAACGGCTTCAGATTGACGCTAAACACGAGTGCAAAAAAACCGAGACATGTCCAGAAACACGTACCCATCATGAGTTTGTTTAGCATATCTTGCATGCGGCCGCCGCCTCCGTTAGCCTGTCCTGAAGGTGGTTGGAATGCCATTCTTGGAGTGTCTAGATGTTCAAAGTTGTGGGCAAAACATGGAGCTGATGGGATCAAAATGTCAAGAAACACGGTTGATGCTGGTTGATCTTTCGTAGTATTGTTGATGTTATGTAATAGATGAGATCTGCCTTGTTTCTCAAATTGATTCTCCTTCGATTGAGACGGTTTGGCAACAAGTTTCAACGATGCATTATCAAACAGGGCGATGAACGTGTTTTAACGTGATGTACACGTGTAGATCGAGTTAAAAAATATACAATCATTACTGAACCAGCACTTACTTTTGCACCTTACCGCTTGAAATCTCGAAAAGAAATGTCGTTGACTTCTTAGATTTCCAAAACTCCAAACATAATCCAAGCTAGTCGCCAGCGAGCGGCAGAATGACTCTATTGCATTCAGTCCTGTCGCCACTGATTCTCGTAGCGGCATCAGATACAAGCCATGCTAGCGTCTCTAGCTCAAACTATGCTTCTTGGTCTCATCTGCTCGCTCCATTCGGCCTCGTTCATGGCAAATGTATGTCACTGATTGGAGATACGAGATACATATTATTCAATTTATATTTCTGTTTACGTGATCCTTATGATCTTATCTTGTCTACTTGACATCAAACATTTGACACTGTATCTTTCACTAGTACAAGTTCGTGACGCCCAGGCAAATCTCACCGTACTAGACGATTACATGGTTCGATTCATGACTCCCGCGGAATTCGGGCAATTCACTGCAAATCCAGCTACTGTACAATACATTGCAAACAAGGCACTCCAGCTGTATACCCAGCCGAATATTCATTTGCCAGTCATTCGCAATGTGAAGGATGTGGATAGTGATTATGCTACTGGTGAGTACTGTGCTTGTGTGTGGATGGTGTGGTGGGTGTGGTGGTATTAGAAAGGAGGGTTGGAAGACAAACTTCAGCACTTTGGAGCGTTCTCTGGCTGTCTTTTCGTTCGAAAGAGTAATTGGTTGAACGGTAGAAGGAGGTGCTGCCTATGGCGGCGTACATATGCTGGCTTCTGCTTTTACTGGTTTTTGTGGTGGTAAGGCATCTCCTGCTGATGCTTGATCATATTCAATATTGTTCCAGCTGCTTCAACGCTGGGCAGAAAGATTTGCTAATTTGCATTGCCCACGTTTATTGATGACATTAATATGTTTGTGGAGGAATGTTGGGAGATGATAAAGTTTTACAGGATTGTGGAGTGTTATTTCATTCCATATATTTGGGAAAAGATGCCGTTGATTTACTATCATCTAACAATCAACCTTCCCCTTTTCGCGTCATTGTAGTGAATACGGACGATCTGACCCCATGGTTTGCTGAATATCGAGAAACCATTTGTAAACTTATTGGCGTTGGAGAGCATGAGACCTTCAATCATCCCATATCATGTAAGACCAAAAAAGGTGGTCCGACACCTCACCGTACTCACCTGAAAGTCATTCGCACTCACACTAGGTTTGGTGATTGTGTCAGCTCAAGATGCTGATCCAGTCCAGATCGCAAACGACTTGCTAGATAACACTGTCAAGAAACTAAATACGTATCGTGGAGCACTAGATACTAGTTTGTTACGGCAGTATATTGTCTTACATGATGGTCATGCTTCTACAGATCAGCAGTAAATATACAAAAATAAGATGGATTGTCGATTCTAGATGCACGGGTTGACTGTCTTCCTTGTCTACTTACAGGGTCGAAACAGCACTCACAGCAATGAGGAAAGCATTCGGAAATGCATGTCAACTAGTGAAAATTAACTCTATACCTAAAAGTAATGGTTCATCATCGCCCACTCGGACTTGGTCTGGCATCAATTATTATATAGATAGATGGCGAGATGATGCTATGGCTAGACATCGTATCGCTACATGTGCCGCAGAATACGAGGCATCAATGAAAACCGACGGTGCTCACGCACCTCAAGAAACAAAACCATATCATGAAGACCTAGTTGAATACGGGTCACACTTTTCTCAGGATGATATTCATGGATTGCAGACTTTTGTAAAGACACTTGTTGGATTAAATCTGTTTCCGTTTATGGAGAGGAATATGCAAGTGTGGAATGAACAGGTTGGTTACATTGGTTTATAGAGTTCGGTTCGTTTGTTGCCTTGTGGAATCTCTGATGGGTTACAATCTTTCAAAAGGTCGCAAGTCAACGTCGAGGTTTAACGAATCGTCTCATGACGGCATCACGGAGATTCTTTGGTGGAAAGCAATCCAGTGCGGAGGCTGCCATTCAAGATCCCAATCAAGTCTTGTAAGTTCGCTAAGAGGTGGTGGCTAGGAGAGCATGTTGACAGCTGTGCTAACCTTTTTTCCTCCTTGTTAGATACCCAGCGTCGTCACCTGAATTAGTGATGAGGAGACTGGCTGACTATGCCTTCATGTTGCATGATTACAAGTTCGCTCAATCGACATATGATACTGTAAAACGAGATTTTACTGCGAATGATAAAGCCGCAAAGTATCTCGCTGGTTCTCAGGTAACCCAATGTCTTGATTTAATACAATGCGCTCTTTTTTGCTCAACTATTTGGTCCCGTTAGGAAATGATTGGAATATGTGCTCTAATGTCAGATCCAACGACAACAGGTCGATCCGTAGATGGATATGTTGATGCTGCTATTCACTCGTACGCTGAATCGAAATCATCATTATATGCTATTCGCACGACACTACTATATTACGAGATGTTGAGAGAACGAGGACTGTATCGAGATTGTCCTAATTTACTTACAAGGATGTTCAATATTGAGGTAATAAAATAATCGATGTTGAGTTCACTGCCCAAGAAAACAACGCATCGTATCATCATTAATTCTCATTGCTTTCGAAATAGGAGATTGATGTTCGTGGTGGTCTATTACTAGAACAAGCAGGTTTAACTTATTTGAAATTCAGTCCTCCCATGATTCGGAAATATGCCTTCCAAACTATGTTGGCTGGTCATTGGTATTCTAGATGCGGCTTGGTAATCCTGAATCGATTTCACATACATATCTGTGTATTAATGCAAAAGGTCTTATTTTTTCGTCTCACAGAGAGAACACGCATATCGCTGCTACGCTCAACTAGACTCAATGGAGAAGCGAGAAGGCTGGTCTACACTATTAGAACATCACTACTACAATATGGCCAAGACGGCACAATTGTTGGGTGATGGTGATCATGCTATAGAATTGTTTGTGAAATTATTGAAACCGAATCGTGGACAGACTCCTGGACAGCAGTATACGTATGTTAAGGATTTGGTTGCGATTTATTCAGTAAGTATCGCTGAGTGGTGGTCGTTGCGTTAACGTCGAGAAAAAAGATGATTTTGTACCGTTACTTGGTTTTTTTGCGTCTTACACTGATTCTGTTAATAGGAGTTGGCTGGAAAGTCCTCTGTACCTATCAACGTTCCATCTATAGATATTCCTCATATTGATCCCAGTACTGTGTATATAACATTATTAGAGACTGGACAGCAGCAAATGCAAGATGGTGATGACGATGAGATATGGCTGGATATGGAGACGAAACTGAATAATTTGGTGTCTTCTACGTACAAGAAGATTACTAGTCGGGCTCCCATCGTGTCTAAGAATCTGGATAAGATGTTGTGCGCCATTGGAGGTATGATAACAGCGCGATTTCCCTTTTTTGCAGTTGCAATTACAGGGCTTATAAAGTTCATGTTAGAACCATTGTTTGTGCACTTCGAATTATTCAACCCACTTCAGATATCAGTCGCCATATCGAACGTAGTGATTGAATGTCAACTGGAAGTCGATCCTAAAGCCTCAACACGTGTATCTCCCTTGCCTCGACACTCTCTATCTTCCGCACACTCAACACTCATAGACCAGCCACATTTCAGTTTAGAAATGCTGGACAAGGTTGTCCTTGATGGCCTTGAACGACGAACCATCCGCTTACGAGTACATCCTCGAAACGAAGGTAACCTGACGATACTAGGCTTCCGATATAATATCTTTGAAGTCATACCATGCTGCAAGCTCTTTGACAAGCGTGGTAAACGATTGAATGATACATTACCACAACGGACTAGTCAAGTATATGGGGCTGAAAGTTCGCTCAAGTTGCTTGTGACTGCTCCTATGCCGCTCATTGATGTTGCTTTCCACTCTTGGCCTAGTAAAGGAGGATCTGCCGATCCTGATGGTGGATTATTGTTGGGTGAAGTTGTTCAGACTGTTATGGAGATTACCAATAAGGGAAATCGAGGTTTGGTTGATTTGAGGATTAAGATTAGTCATCCTACCTTCCTGTTTGTTGGTAGTAGTGAGCAGATTGATTTGCCTGTTTATGGTAATGGACCAGCAAGTTGAAGCTCTTTTTCGCCAACGGATATGCGACTATATCTCAATATCAATACACTTTTTAGCACCCAGTATCAACGAATCAAAGATGATCAACGTGTCGAATGCATTGACAGATCCCAGTGTGGTCTCTGTGAATTTACCTATCACGGATTCTGTCACTGGTGAAATGATTCTGGGACCCAACTCGACTACCTTGATTCCTGTTTGGTTGAGAGGAGAGTCTGTTGGAAGGCATCATATGAAGTTTCTGTTTTCGTATCGGTCTGAGGTACGAGTGTTTTGAAGAGCTTTGTTACTTTTTGCGCAGGTGCTTACATCATTGACATTTTGTGAAATATAGGATAAGAATGATAAGATTGGATTCCGAACGTTTCGATCCAGTATGGTTGTGGATGTGATGCCTTCGTTACGTGTAAATGCGTTTACGAGGCCGTCACCACGGACCTTGAATGATTTCATTGTTGGTGTTGAGGTATAGATCCGAGGTTGAGAGTTTTGTGGTGCTTTCAATTGTACTTATTGCTTTCATTCTTGCATCGACTAGATTGAGAACATGCATCCTCATTATGATTTTGCAATGGGGCAAATGACCTGTGCAAGTCGACTATGGGAATTGGAAGCAGTTGATGATGCGTAAGGCAAACGCACTCACAATTCGTCATAACAAGCAACTGACGTTGTGTCTTTCGTAGTAAACCAGCACCGAATTTATCACACAAAAACACAACCTTTTGCTTCTTCAAACTGTCACGCCTGGATGCTGGATTATACAAATTTGATTCATCGCCTGAGAATATGAGTATTAGTGCTATTGAGAGTTTGATTGTTAAGGATACGCCTCAGGTTATTCAGCCGGGCAGTATATCGTTGAGTGTGTCTACAGTTCCACTGGTAAATCTTGGATGATCTTGGAAATCTTTGTTGCTATTTAGTGCTGAACGAAATGACTTTTTTCTTAGGGCACGTCGCCTAGTCTGTATACTACCATTCCACTACAAGGCCTCACAACAAATTCACGAATCGACCATCGAGTAACAGGACTCTCATCACAATACCCAATGCTCAAACACTCACAACTCGATGACTTATTCACACTTTACGTATCAGATGAAGTCGACCTGGTCTTATACTATCAAGTGCAAACAACATCATCTGACGGTAGTGAGAAACTCAGACAAGGGCATCTATATCTCTTTGGAATTAACCTATCTCCACAGAATTCAATGCCATTTGATGCAGTGCTAGCACGGAATAATGTATTAATAAGTGGGCCATCGAAAGCTTTGTTTGCAGAGACTGTGAGAGAACGCAAGTTGTTTGTGGCTAGTTTGATGAAGCCAAAACAAAAGGAGACTAGTCCTGTGAGGGTTGAGATTTGTTGTGACGGTGAAGTTGTGCATGATTTTGTTAATGAGAGGTATGTGTGTGTTGTTGTGATTTGAGTCAAGTCAGCTCTGATGTTCAATGACACAACTACAACACTTCTTTTTTTTAGCTTTTGTGTCATCCGTGTTTTAGTCGTGGTGAGGAATAGCTCATGGATGAATAGAGCGCATTTCGTGTTGGAGTTGATTAGTGGGAAAGGGTAAGTGCCTTGTCTCTTTTGGCTTTTTAGGAATGCAAAGAAAGGCATCTGGTGGTTACCCTACCTCTCTCGTTTGAAAGCATTTTCGATCATGTTGACTCACCGCTAATTTTACCACCGTTAAAACATAGATCTGACGCGACTTCGCCAGAATACCAATGGCTAGGCACTCCATTCTGTGAAGCAACTCTTGAACCCGAATCTGAATTCACATTCGAAAACTTTTTCTGTGTATTACGAGAGGGTGTTTATAATGTATCGAATTGGATGATTCATGTTAGAACCAGCTTGGCTAGTGGTGATGTGCATGCTGGTGGTGTAAAGAGTGACCAGCATTTCACTCAGACGTCTGGATTGCCGCAATATGTTACGGTCTATGCTGCTTGAATTGTGATGGGACAATTGTTTATTGTATATATATTGATACTTTTCACATTTTCTTTGTTTTGCAGTGTCATTGTTTTAGTGTTGGAGAGTCTTGCTTTGTGCTGGTATTGCTTTTCTAATTTGATGATTATTTTGAAGTAGTGCTTGTACGTCGGGAGTTTCATCAACAATACACGAAAGGCCAAGTATGTGAACTCCAAGAATTGGTATCCTCCTTGTTAATTCCAGGTTTCTTGTGCCATTGGATTGCAATGAATGTGCGGAATGTTTGATGTTGAGTGTGCCACTGGTGGCTTTGGGTGTATGTGTCGCTAAGGTATACGTCGTTATGGCGCCAATGAGGGATGATCGCAGTTTGATTTGCTGCATATGACTGGCACATGGTCCCGTTTTTTTTGGCAGCCAGAATCCAATTGATTGACTTCAAGTTACTAACACAATCAGGCTTTCTCACTTGAACTTCTTCATAGTCAATCTTGTCGATTTCATACTAGGCTTTTGGCTGAATGTCGAGAGATATCACTGGTGAAGTCATTGTTGTTGGAGACGTTTAAACTTTCAATATTATGTAAGGCTGGGGGAAAAATCTTGCCAGAATCTCTCAAGGATGCGTCACAATTTGCGGCTGACTCTGATGTTTCAATGGTAGCTCTGGTGATTGTTTCCACTCCGAATATTGATCGAGTAGAAATAGCGAAGGATTTGTTTAGTACCACTGCTCAATAAATTGGGCCTGTATCGTGGAGCTACCTCTGGATCCATGTCGTAATGGCAGTGTATTTCCCTGCATCACGGTGCCGCTTCTACCGACCGACAGTAAACACGCCAAACAAACGAGATAATATCCAACAACTATGAGATCAACATTCTCACATTTTATGCTCGTCACTCAATAGCCTTCACCACAACGAGAAAAATCATTTGGGAATTCCTGTCACGCAGTGAATATCGACTTCAAACGTAGTGGTGCATCAGATCCTATCGGACATCGTCTCGCATCGTCTATAAGCTGGAGACCGTGAAGAGATAATACGAGGGTGAGACATCGTATTGCGATATGTGCTCCTGAATCTGAGGCACGATTGAAACACCACGGTCTCATGATGAAAAGGTACTATTACTTCAACCTTCTCACCACTTTACCAGATGATAATCATGAACTGCAACTGTTTATCAAGACTCTCGTTGGGCTGAAATTGTTTCCCTTCATCGACAGGACAACTGCAAGTGTGGGATGAACAGGTTTAACACATGCCATTTCTTCTGTCCAGCTTGGCATTTTTGTGTGCCTTGTGGAATCTCGTTCCTCATGGTTTCAAATGTTGGCAAGTCAACCGCGAGGGTTTTAACGGATCGTCTCATAATGGATTACGCTCCTATCCGTTGAACGTGAATGTGACATCAACGTTCACAGACTGTGTGTTTCTGATGTATCGAATTGGACTGTTCATCTTAGGGCTAGCGGCCATAACAGCAGGTGTTGGACATGCTGGCAGTGATGGCATAAAGACGGAACAACGATTCATGACTTCATGGGATCGTTTTCGATTCAATACACGTCGATTTTTGTGCATTTGTACAATCCCTAAACCTATGGCCACTCGTTCCGTTTCTACAGCACTTGTAATTTATAGGTATACAGATTATTTATACAAAGAGAACAGAAAAACACAAGCGGCAACAAAACTTGTCGGTTGACTCAATGGTACCCTAACACTCACTACGACTGCATAGCCTGTAGCCGCCGTATCTCTCTCATGAGGCCACGAGCTTCATCTGTCGTTATTTCTGCTATGGCCTTTATAGCTGTTGGGTATTGTGCATTGTCTCGATAGTGTCTTGCTAACTGCGACACGATTTGAAATGTTAGCCAGCCATTCCATGCAAGATAATTTTGGACAAAGAAGTGCTTACATGCATAGCAGCATCTTCTTGTAAAGATTGAAACCTCTATGGAACAGTGGTGAGACTCCTTTTTCCCGTGCACGTTTCAACCAAAACGTTAACAAGCTTTCTTATCACACCTGTAAATCAGAAGTACTAGTAGTAATAACCAGCTGAAAACACTTGATAGCCAGCTCCGGGTTCCCATTTGAAGAATGCAATCTAGCTAGATGATGCCATGCAAAAATGTCTTCTTCAGAGCCTGTAACGGCACGTCGATAACATTGTATAGCATTGGTGTCATCTTGTAGTCGTTCGTATATGGCCCCGAGGGCCTTCCATAATCTACCATCTGATGGTCTATAATGGGGTATATCGTGAGCCAAAAAAAAGAATGCAATGGACTCCCCATAAATTTCAACATAACCTGATGTGAGTAGCACGCATATAGTAATGTCGGGCGTATGCGTATATCTTGAGGAGTTCGTAGGCTGTTCCTAGACCAAACCATGCACGATGGTCTCGAGGATTCATATCTAAAAGATTTGCGAACACTGTTTCAGATTTTTAATAGGAGGCAAAAAACGCAAGCTGTAGGATCTGGATAGCACACTATCACTAGTCTCCATTGAAACCTTCTACCAAACACCTACCAGCAGCTCTCCGAAAAGCCTCAATAGCAGCATGAGCATTCTTCCCTTCCAGGTGCTCATGCCCCAACATGGTCCAAACATCCACATTATCAGGATTGAGTTTTAAAGCTCTTCGGAAATGCAGTACAGCTTTCTGATGTTCCTCTCTCATGGAATAGTAATTGGCGATGACACATGATGTCTTGTCTGAATACTTGTCGATTCTGCTGGCGATGTGTGCCAGTGCTGAGAGCCGAGGAGCATCTTTTAGCATCCATAAACAGTTGGCGTATGTATCCATAAAGTCTAGACTGTATGGGGTTTTAGAAAGAAGGGTTGTAAAGGTTTTTGCTGCGGTTGTCCAATCTGTGAAGGTGAAATTCGTGAGGTTCCTGAGTGTGCTAAAAGGAGGGCTAAGCTGTTCACTGATAGCTCGAAACCACATACTTCCAATATGGAACTCTGCCGAAGCTTTTAGTCCCAACACATGACTACTGTTTGGAAACATGGTCGTTAGCTCATCACAGAGTTCAGGCATGGCTTCGTCTGATAGTGACAGACTGCCAGCTAGATGCACTACAAAGAATTTGGCCACCCAACATTTCGGCAGTAGTTCTAATACAGCCTTCATCTACAATAGAATTTGACCAGATTGAGTTATGATGCTCCGACCAATGAGGCGACGTGCAAAACGAGACGCCGCACAAATTATGATCTTACATCAGATCTGGAGCTAACAAAACTACTCAATTCCAACCAGGCACTCCAATTTAATGGTGCCTTTTTAATAGACTCAATCAAGACATCACGAGCTTGTGATTCTTGTTTTTGTCGACTTAGGATTATACCGTAGCTAGAAAAATTATTCGCTCGAATTAGTGAAAGGAGAACAAGCATCTGAAGTCAACAAATCACATACAGGTGGAGTAAATAACCATCAAGTCCAGATGTGTCGTGCCGCTGGTATAGTTCTTGCTGTATAGCTTGAAACTCTGAATTCGAAGCAAGAGCTATCTTGCGATCCTTTTCCGAGAATGGATCCGGCATTTCCTCGTTTGTTCTCTTCTCGGCTCCCTGACCACAACGTGAGTTGGAGTGAGTTCAACGTTTGCCTTGTAGTTGAATACTTTCGACGAAGAAAGGGGTTGGCAGCATGCACAGCAATCATCCTGGAACGCTCCCGCTGTTTTTTGTTCCATAGAGTCCATGCCTTCCAACAAGACAATATCCAAGTCCGAAAAGAACTCACCAGGAATCGACAATACAGCTTGAGAAACACGCCGGCAGGATGTTCAATATGTCTCAAAACATGGGCAGCTTGATCGTACTCTTGCATGGCAAAACACGTCTTTGCCAACACGAATAGGTCGTGTTCTTGCAATGTCCATTCTGGATCCAGCGCATTGTTTATCAGAAGAGGAGCATCTATCAATGCATCAGTAATTCCGGAGAGTTGTTCAGCTGCCCTAGTTGAACAGGAAACAGAGTCAGATGCGAATTGCTTAAATGCTCAAATGTTTACAAAAATGTTGGATCAACTTGCCACTTGGCTGATATGAGGAGCCCTCGTTCAGTAGCTTGCTGCGTAGCTATACGTAATGAGCGTCTCAGAGCGTCTGCACTCATGCTACTGGTCGACTAATAGCGTCTATAAGATGAACCTATTTGTTTTGTCAAAATGAGCAACATAAATGTAACGAAAGCTTTATGAGGAGCGTGTCTTTTTCCATGGAAAGAGTCCGATCAAGTAGTACTGGTAGCGACGATATACTATTTACGCGTAAAACACGTCCTTTCTGTTTCTTTAGCCCATCGCTTGTTCTCTCTAAAAACACACCACTGCCAAACATTCAGCATAAGAGACAAGAGACAATCCTACTTAAGGATATACATACAGGCATATGGCATCTAAGCAGGATCTGGTACGAGAGTTTGGGCCGGTGCTCGAACGGCATCCAGGCAGTTTGGAACGACTGCTGTCTCTTGCCTCGACTTTCAAGACGAAAGCAGAGGATTTGGCATCAAAGTGGGAGTCCCATGCTATATCGCTAAGTCGTCAACCTACTAGTCGTAGTAGTAGCAGCAACAATGACCACAGCGTCGACTTGTCTGTTCCCACACTCGATGCCCATTTCGATCAACTGCGCTCGACATTGCAAAAGGAACAGGTAAGCACGTGTGATGGTCGTTGCATGGTGTTTATATGCCATGGTATGTTACAATATTGCATCTGAATCATCATTAACTGAACCATTCCATTTTTAGGACGCAAGATACAAACAAAACTATGGTGTGAATGACCCAGCATCTTCCGTCTTTGTCAAGAAAGGACCAATGGGAACCACATCCGATGCTCCACTGCTCAATAAAGAGAATCTACAAGACTTTATAGACAGCCAAATATTAGGTACTCCATTGGCTAAACGTGGAGGTAATGTTCGAGGCACTGTCAAAGTCACCCCACGAAGCAACACCAACAATAATGCATATTCTGGTTACGATCCATTCGAAATGCCACCACCAATATCATCTGCTGGTAAACGACCATCGTCTGGATACCCAAATACTCCAGGCCAACAAAGTAAACGATCAAACCTAGCTACCGATACACCAACCTCATTTACACCATCTCCATTGGCTCAAAAGTATAAAGATCGTAATAACCGAGGAGCCATTGTAGAAAAGTATGGAGAGAATGTACCATATGTGCCAGGAGACAAGACCAAACCTGTATCGTGTGAGGTAGCAATCGTGCCAGGTCAACAAACGGAAGGTTATCGATACTTGAATGAAAAGCTAGCTGATAAAGGTGATGCTCTTGATAATCGTATCGAAGAACTCACTCGTATCATGAGAGAGGTCGTACAGCTGGAACATACCGCTGCGAAGGAAACTGCAAACACAAATGGCAGCCCTGTTGTCAAGATGAATATAGAAGAACCTGAATCTAAAAAAGAAGAAGAAAATGACTTTGCACCTGTTGGTGAGCCAAGTCAGGACTCTGTGATAACTTGTGGTCGTATATGCGTTGATTCTTCAGATGGTACCGCACGTCTCATGGAAGGCATGGTAGTTCTAGAAGGATCAAGAGAAAGTAGTGGTGGGGATCGAGTCAAATTAGATTTAGGTGGTGTCTCTGAATCTGGATTTGCTCTATTTCCGGGACAGATTGTAGTAGTGCAAGGATCCAACCCAACTGGTCGAGTATGTAATGTGACGAAAATACATCATCCGCCACCACTTCCGCTTGCTCAAACGGCAGCTACACAGTTGCTCGAGCTCTATCCCGCCGGCGATGGTGATAAATTACGACCCATCAATATAGCTATAGCTTCAGGACCGTATACATTAGAAGACTCGACATCTTTTGAACCACTCGAAGATCTGGTAGTCAACTTCCAAAAAGATCCACCAGATGTAGTTATATTATTAGGTCCATTTATTGATGCCGATCATCCAATCATCCGAAGTGAGGAACTGGACGTTACCCTGGAAGAATTATTCGCCCAACAAATATCAGCACGACTGGAACGTATGCTCGCGAATCGACCATCTACAAAGATCGTTATGGTGCCATCTGTACGTGACGCTGTATCTCGATGGATTTGCTTCCCCCAACCACCACTCGCATCGGCATTGAGACCCGAAGAAGCAAACCGTAGACGAGGTGTATTAGGTATACCAGATGACGTATTACTACTACCAAACCCAGTTCAATTGACTATAAACGAAGTGGTGGTTGGTATATCTACCATGGACGTCTTGACTCACTTGTCGGCCGACGAGTTTGCTCGTTTGCCACCTGGTGGACGACCAGACCGTGTTGGACGACTATGTAAGCACGTGCTTGAGCAACGAAACATGTATCCCTTAATCCCTGGTAGCGTAGATGAAGCATGTCTGGATATGAGTCGCTATGCAGCATTGGATTTGCAAGCTACTCCCGATATATTAATATTCTCGAGTGCATTAAAACACTTTGCCAAAAATGTATCTGGATGTCTATGTATCAATCCAGCACACCTGGCTAAAGGCCGTGGTGGTGGTACGTTTGTTAGGATGTGTGTGCAGCCTCTTGATATTGGGGCGATGAGAGAGCAGTATGGTGCAAGGACGGATGGTCAAGAAGACATGTGGACGCCGCATTTTGTAGCAGATCGTTCTCGTGTTGATTTTGTCAAGATATGAGTAAGTATTTATGGTGGTGAACGGACGTGAGGGAATTCCATGAACGTGTAAACACTTGTATTCAACTAAGGCTTGAGAGGGAGCGTCTTGTATGTAAATTAGAATATCTCACACAGTAGGTGAAAGGTTCTCCTTAGGTGTGTATGTTGGTATCTTTGCGTCAGCAGGATTTGGACCCAAACTATGTTTGGGAACAGGAAACATAAATCTCTGCAATTATGCCTACCTGTGAAGTTCAAAATTTCATTGGATAGAAGTATGGAAGTGAGATCACTAGTTACAACCGATCGACAAACTTGCAACGAACCAGTAATCTTGTATTCGTGGTGATTCAAGGAAGTAGAAGACACACTACTCATTGCGCAAGTAAATAAGAGCGACGTCCCAGTTCCATGTAAGTTCTCATTATCGGGCTTCAATCTGCAAAAGTGCATTTAAAACTGCTTTTGTCATTCTGAATTTATGCTCATAAACAATTCAATTTTCAAGTCAGTTTCCTGAAGTTTCGATCCTCCCGTTGTGGGGAATCAAGTGGAATCAGGAAACATGAATTCGAAAAAGCGAACGCCATTTTGACACATATATTTATGTTTTAAGCGTAGCATTGGGTTCAGCGTGGCTCCGTGAGTTCCGTCAAGTTTTCCAATTGGCTTATTAAACTGACTTCTCATATTACATCCTCTTATAGCCAGTTTCGTCAAACTGATTGCGGACCCTTCAGTCAGAGCATACGGGATGCTGGCTGGAAGACACGCACCATTGACGTCATCGTATATTATAGTAAACGACTTGAGCGTCTTGTGCGCGAGGCTATGCGCCAATCCATCAATCCATTGGTTCAGGTGCTCTTCCATACGATATCTGCTTCTAATAAAAATCAAATCGTCCAAGAGTGGATGAGGTTCAAAGAAATGCGTCCATTTTTTGATTCAAACTAACCCAGTTCCTTCTTGATGTGAATTAGTTCCAACGATGCAGCAGCTAAATGAAACTTTCATACAGCTCTCAACATTCGAAGTTACAATATCTGACTACCATATATGGGGTTTTTCTCCTTTGATCGCTTTAAAGGAGAATAATGGATACAAGCATTTGAGAACAAACGATGAGAGACACATTTGAGACGTTCCAAGCCTCCTGGGCTTCGATCTCGATGTAGAAGCCCAGTAAAACCTGAAACATTGATATTTCATATTGCAGAGATCTGGTTATTATTACTATTTGCATCCAAACACACAGAACACACAGTTTACTATAGAGGTGACGGAATCTGGTCTTCTGGATGAGGCTTTCCTGGATGAGGAGCAACTTGATACACTTGATATCCCATAGGAAATCCATTAACATGTGACGAATCAACTAATAAAGCCATCATTTCAGCTGGACTTGTTAGCACCAACCCTCGTGGTTGTACTTGACGGTGAAGCGGTAGTCCAATTTGCTGTTGTTGCAGCTGCATGGAGTTGTTGTTATTACAGGCCTTCATATGTCTCTTGAGTGCATTTTGTTGGTCGAATAGTGATCCACATCGTGAACATCGAATGGTTATGGCAGTGTCTTGTGAGGCTTTCCTACTTGATTTGGTTGCTGGAGCTAATTGATCTGATGAGGAGCCTTGCCAGTGCTGAGATTTTACGTGTCGTGTGAGATCTGTAGGACGAAAGTGGATAAGACTTTAATGTTTATCACAAAAGCATTGCGAGTAACAGCGATCTATTTTCTCGCTCAGCATCATTTTGTTACCTTTTTTGTGATAAAACATTTTCAAGCAAGCTTGACATTTATGCGTAGGAGTTCTAGTTGGGTTATGTGTTCCTTGGTGACAGACTAGATTCCATTTCCTCGTGAATGTAGCTCCACAAGATGGATATCCACATCGAAACAGTTTCGTACCATTGTCCATGTGCATTGTAGCTATCAGTCCCTTATTCGCACTTGATTTTGACGTTGACGGCGAAGCTGATGATGGCGAAATATGATCTTCCCCAGACCCGTATTGTGATGCATCATACTGATGAGATTCCGGTTGCCATTGACGGTATATTATAGGTGCTGATCTTGGACCGTTGGTATCATCATTATCGTCCGATTGTCCAAGATCATGTTCAGAAACACCCAATAGTTGGAAGGCAGAATTAATTGGTGGTGTTGGCATGCTGCCATTGCTGTTTGTGTATGTCACGGCGGTTGAGGGTGTGTTATCGGATGACGAGGAAGCGTACAGATGACCCTCTGCGGATGATGCTGACGCAGTAGGATGTCCTGATCGTGGCATAGATAGGAGCGTCAGAACAGCAGCAGCCTCATCGGATGTAGTAACGATTTGTGCAGGTCTCGGCCCGCGCGCAGAAGTTGATGAAACTCGTCTAGATTGATTTTTGCTTAAAGATGGCGGTGCTAGACCATCATTGTTATGCATCCTGCCATCGTCATCCCGTTGTTCAGACATTGTGGACGATGACGAACAAGATGATGAAGACACCATATTATGATCTCCTCGCTTGTTATCCAGCATGGTACTGCTAGTGGTTCCCCATACACTAGGATTCAAAACTTGTTCTCCAGTTTGCAAAACAGTGGCTTCGTCAATGACTTGTTGTGGTGCTTGAGTATAGTATTCGCCTGGTGGAGGCAGCCCATAAGCCCAATGTGCGATATGGTGATGGTGGTGGTGGTGATGAATCGGGACTCCACCGTTTCGATCAAAGAATTTGCCATGTTGCAAATGTTGATGGTGGAGTGGTGCTGTTGCATAGACAGCCACCGTTGGTGAGCCTGTTTGATACTACAAAAATTGACATACGACTGATGAGCGCACCCATTTAAAATATTGCCGATTTCTTCACCAAAAACTCACGTCAGACTCTCTGCCGCCAATGTTTTGCATCATAGTCCGATTGTCCTGAGTAAACGTCTAGACAAGCAAACAATAGTAATGGTCTATCAATCAAGATCTATGAGATGTCGTCGTGGTAGTCTCTTAGTGGATTCATCTGAATGCAGCGATTCTGCTATGAATGAAATACGCAAACTCACCTTTTCCGATGAAGAATATGAGAGATCGACTGCAGTCACTTTAATCTTATCACTTTGGCTACAATAGAAAACACATAGGCGACGCAGTTTGGTCTCGTTTGGCCCAGCAAGTCCAAAATCGTTCGGTGATGAATTTTAGGAGATTTTTCTGCTGGGGCGCAAAAAACTTGGCCGTAGCAACACTGGGGCGCAGCAATTATAACTTTCGAATATATGAGACTTGATTCTCTAGCAGAGCTTCATTACTTATTTCTTGTGCTTCGGATTTCCTTAAAGGGCTTTACGTTTTCCTACAAGAAGCAAAGAAATAATGATATAGATACAAACATAAATTTAAGCTGACGCTATACGTGATTGACTATTAGTTTATGATCTTGCGTGATTTAAAGCATAGATGCTGGAAGTGGTCCAGTGTACAAAGGCTATGGAGAGTCATTCTCATCGCTCATAGCAAGCTCCATACGTTCCTTATCACATTTGAGTATCAATACTCGCCCTTCGATAGTCTCCATGCGTCGCTTCCATACGAGTCGGAGAACTTAAACTCGCAACATGACTTCAAGTCCCGAGCAAATACTGTTCGTTCTAACAAAGTTCAATTTACGCAACACTTCTCCTCTCCATAATACGTCGTCAAAAGTACTACACGGACAAAATTCCTTTCGTTGAGGTGTCATTGGGAGTGCGCCCTGATATACAGGCCACGCGAACTCTAATCCATTCACTACTTTTGCAGCCCAATCGTGTTTGACATAGATTCCTTGACCAGCCTCTTAAAACGACCCAAAAGCGTAATAGATACGTCACCCTCAGTCAAACTACCTACAGGTACGTCTACCACTAAGGCACCACCCACAACAAACTCTACTTTGGCTCTATTGTCTTCGTCAGCACGACATCCAATATCCAGCGTACAACGATTTCTTTTATTACGAGCCATGACTGCAACTGCGTCCAATAGAAAGTCAGCCGAGAGCGTATTCGGAGTACTGAATCCTAAATACTCTAGCTTTACTAGACCGGTCAATAGGTCATATATGGACTGGTTATCTAATATTCGATAAAAGGCCAACCTCAACTCAGTGAGGTTATGACAATTGGCTGTATACATGGTGGGATGAGGCAGTTCGTTAAGGCAGTTCGTCATATTCAAAGTCGGCATCTTGAGGTCTCAAAATAACGAGCGACAATGATTCAAGCTGACTGTCAACTTTTGGAAGCCAGTGAGTCAAACCATGCAATTTTCAGTTTGGTTTAGTTAATAACGACAGGTGTCAGACGTGGGGAAGATCGATGGCCAAGTGTTAACAGTCGGTTGGAGCAGTTTCTAGAATACTCTCAACACTGTTGGGCAACCAATTCACGTACGCTTCAGAGAGTAGATGTAGTTCCTGGGCCAGAAACTTTTCACATAGCTTTATACACACAAATTCATTCATCCCTTTGCATAAGAGACTCACATTGTATAGCGATTTGATGTCTGCCATAGACACGATAATCAGGATCAGTTCGTCCGGGAGTCCTAGCGGATATCGCACCATGCCCTGCATTGGCAATGACAATGTAGTGCTATTCGGATGCAAATTTTGATAAGGATTGTTTTGCTTGGTTGCTGCATCGGTAACAGTTGAGCTCATATCTAGACTGGTTCAAGTCTGTTGTTTGGCAATGTTGGTTGGTGTCATGCCGTTGGACTACCCTGCTAATCAGATAACTTGCGTAAGTATTACAAGCTACATCAAATATTGGAATCCAGCGATGTAGCTTTTGAATGCGTAAGAAGCAAATTCCTAAACTCTCGATGATCCGTAAAAAAACCAAATTTCGAAACCAGTCGGTCTCTAACATATGCATGCGAGTTAGCTCAAAAGTTTCGAAATGACAATGGAAATGAACAATCTCACTTCTTGGGTTGTTGTCTGTTGGCTATCTATCTGTTTGACTTTGTTGAAAAATTGAAAGGAAACTGCGCAGCTTACCAAATAAGCATTCAAGAACGTGACGATGCTGGTTTTTCCTAAGTAGTTCTGGGCTTTATATTAGTGCGTGCTTCGTTGAAATCATTTTATCTTATACGCAACAATTTGTCATGTCGATAGAGCATACTCGAACAAAAGGCTATATACTAAATACCAAGCAAATTTGGTAGATTTGATTGCCAAGAAACGTGACTCTGGAGATCTCGGGCTCACACAATAGTGGAGATTCTTTGCGAAGCATCGACGGCTGGCCGGCTTCCACCGACGAAGATCGCGATGAGCAAACAATCGTTGGAGTGGGATTTTGCCCGTTTCCCGTTTCGACAACCAATCAGGTCCAAAAACGCGTGAAGACGTTCGATCTTGAATAGCTTAAACTGTATTTTGCGCTACTAGTCGAATCACAATACCGCCGGTGCGGAAATGACCGATAAAAATAACCCGCAACCAAGAAGTGTTCAACGAATCATAGGATTGTTTGTTTTTGGGACCAGTGACCAATCTCAAAGATTCGAGTCTCGCTTGAAAGCTTGTTTGAGAATCGAGTCTCTGCGAGATTCTGCAAAAGTGCCTGATGGAGCTGCCACAAGTTCCGTCGTCCTCATCCAAGTTTTCACTCAAGTGGTTGAAACCACATAAACGCGGACTCCCATCTTATTCCGGACGTTTTGCCGTTGGCACATTTGATGTTGAAAGTCCAAAGACTGAGACTGGTCTGCCAGGCGTATTATTCAGGTTGTTATTATGACGCAAGAAAATTGTGCTTGCGAAATTGCCGCAAAATCAAATAACTCATCGATTTGATGTTTACATAATAGGGCATTCTATCCCGCTGACCCATCATGTATACGAAAATTCAGGAAGGCACAATGGAGTCCTAGTATAAATCACGTTGCAGGTGCATTCTCATCGTTTTTATTTCAAAGGACACAAATCTCACAAGTGATTACACATACAGCGTATGGAGAAGGATGGGGCCTTTCCGGGTCTGTTTCATCAATCGTGCTTCCAATACTCTTCTCGCCACGCTCAGCAGCGTTCTTCAAAGCACCGCTCCTATCAGGTGATGAACGACTCCCTATCGTCATATTCTCACATGGATTGGTCGGCAACCGGTCATCATACAGCACGCTCTGTGGCGAGATCGCATCACATGGATTTGTAGTTATTGCATTAGAACATCGTGACCATTCAGCTATTCTGTCTCAGATTGGAGGAGATGCTGGCACACATCTGAAATATATAAGACGAAGAGGGTCTACGCCCGAAGCCCTGTGGAAGTGGAGGGTAGAGCAGCAGAATTTGAGAGCTCAGGTATGTATTACACTATTCAGCAGGTTATACTATTCAGCAGGGTTGTGTTCCTGGACTAACCAATTCATATTTTCAGGAAGTGGCAGCTGCCATTGAAGCTTTGAGAAACATGGATACTGGACGAACAATATTCAACTACCTTGGGGATACACCTACATGGTTTGAATCACGGTTAGACTTCAACAACATGGTCATGATGGGCCACAGCTTTGGAGTAAGAAAACCCGCAAGCCTACATCCAAATGACAAATTCCTTCACACCCTTCTAATACTCGTTTCTTAAAAGGGATTCACGGCACTCTCTGTAACTCAAACAACAAATCCATTCAAATGTGCCGTCTTCATTGACACCTGGTTTTGGTACGCAGCACTACACGGCATAGACCACCTCCTCAAAGACCACCCAACATACAACAATGACGTGACAATCCCATTTCTTTTCATATCCTCTGAGAATTTCCACGAAGCAGAGAACTTGGCTGCAGTGCAAAAGCTCTTCAACAACCCAACAAGAAAGGAGGATTCGATACATAGTCTGATACTGGGATCACGACATCACAATGCTTCTGATTTCTTGTGTATAGCACCTTTGACGCTATGGCTGATAGGGCTTGGTGGTGCTGCAGATCCAAGAGATGTGTTGCGGACGCAGACGGATTGTATACTGGCCTTCGTATCGAGACATGTTCGTCTACCAGAGAATTTGAGACTGCTGCCAAGTAATGAAGCTCTGCTAACTGGAAAGGGAGGCAGTAGAAACGTTTCTGTAGGATTTCAGCACGTCATACCTAAAAAACATACACGAAGGACTTCAATGGCATAACATGCTAATACAACCGAAAAATATAAAGAGTCAAACTACCTTAAGTGGCATTTATAAACAATATCTACACGAGGTACATAATAAGAGCAGCAATAGCGTAAAATATAGCCCCTGCAATGAACCACACCAGCAAGATTGCAGTGATGACCGACAACCATTCCCAGACTGTTGGTTTTATTTTGATGCTCACACTGTTTTCTTTTCTGAAACCTGAGTCGGTATCATCCATGAATTCTCCATAGTCAAAAAACGTGACCATTTGTTTATCCTTCACATAGAAGCGTTCTCGTAGCCATGTATTGAATGATTCCTGGTGGTTTTCATTCAATGTAGATTCAGAGTTTCCTCTCTTTAATGCATCTTCATTACTGCTGCTAGTATTACTTGTACGTGATTCACCAAAACTGATTCCTGGTATACGGTCCAAGTCCAAGCGTTTGATATGGAAGTGGACACGTCTGGGTCCTGTTCCACTGAAAAATACAGTAGTAGGCAAGTGTTTATAGTATGGCACTTCATCAGCTGCTATTCCTGAGTATCCTATAGTAATATCATACAGCGCCGAGAGCTCAGGTCTCAATTTATTGCAACAGAATTGCAACCCTGTTGATCGTGGCAGTAATACATGGACTGGTTCAGGTGATATTCCTGTCTTTACAGCAAATTCATGAGACATCTTTTTGCCTGGTGGTGTATTGAGAGTTCCTTCTGAGCGTGGGAAACAAGTAGGTATTAGAAACTTTCGTCCGTGTACGGGATGTACAAAACTAACCTGGGAAGATTAGCAACCAGTATGGTAATCCAACAGCCTTCATCCCCTGTAGTCTCTTCTGTACCAGTTTCTTGTCCTTTTTCCAGCTCTGCTTTAAAAAGATAAAGCCAGACAGATACATGATTTGACCAATGATGGGTATAAAAATCATGAAGTTCATCAGTATGATATAAAGGGTGCCTTGTGCACAATACATGTGAGCAAGTAAACCAATCCACCACCTAAAACGAACAGATATTTGGTTAACATCAATGAGCACTGCCACTGTCGATCGAAGAGCACAACTGCCAGCACTAACCAATCGGTATAAGTTTGATGATTGGACATCATCACGACCTGATCTTCCTTTGAGAGCTTATCCCAATCTCCACTGACAACAAATTCTACTGGCCCAGCCAGCGCCCACGTAATCAATACCATCCAAGAGGCCAACAAATGCATAGCCCATCGTAAAATCTCGCGATATGCCCTTTTTGAGAACACGTAGAGGATCGTACTTGGCACCAATATAAGTAAAGCAGCAATCCCCATCCCCATGCAAGTTATTACAAAGAAGATGGCGCTGAGTACATAGCGTGGCCATGATCCCGGAGCGAATAGCACTGATGCCATGTCCGATGCGGACTACCTGTTTGTTTACAAGCCCAAAAGTCAGCGTGTGGGTGGGCGAAACATTTGCACACCAAAAAACCAAAAGAAGAACAAGTTGTAGAAGCTGCCTACCTTTAAGGAGCTGCTTTAAACGATTAAAAAATCTTTGACGTTACCCTTTCCCTGATGCTCTATCGAAGCTGTCGATTTACGAGATAAAAAAGTTAAAGCGCAAGTGGAGATTTGCTTTGGTCGGATTCGGGCGAAGCCAGCCAAAGTTAATTTTAGCGAGCAACACGAGCAAGGCTTCCATTCATTCCTCGACAACAATTGAATCTAAAAAATGTTTCTGCGTTCGACGACAGTCTCGAAAGACATGGCACAAGGTCTTTATCACGTTTTGCTTTCAAACAACATTAAACCATTGCATCGCGTGCAACGTACCGTGTTAGGCTAGCCACGTCACGATGTGCCGGATAGATTCTTCAAACCTCGCAATACCTAGTCTAACGCGTCTTTGAGAGGTTATTGTTTGTTAAATCTATCTTCCAAAAACAACCACAGTTCCAGGAACTTTCCAAGCATCGAAGTAGCTGATCTTACGTGAGCTTAAGCTTCTTCCAAGCTGTAAGTACCGACCTCGTAGTCTCTACAAACCATCATGTAGTAATCCTCAACTGCGTGTCGTTTGTTCTTTTCAACCTGAGCAAGAACTTGCCTGTGGCCCACACCAGACACACAACACATCAACCACGTCGAATCCAGCATCTTAACTCCATTCATGTTGCAGCTAAACAGAATATACAACCTATACACTTACAATGCACTCATACTCTCGATTCCTCTCGAAGCAACTTCAAGCCTCACTTTCATCCGTAAAAGCTTCACTCCTCTCCTCCAACCAAGGCATATTACGCCTATCCTTATCAACCATCTTCTTATAAGCCTGTCTCACATTCTCAACCATCTTTGCCTGCTCCTCTGTATGTTCAACAGGTGTCATATCAGGCCTAGTTGTCGTCGCAGACGCCGGCAACACCATCTTCTTCAACTCCAAATCACCAGGCTGCCCACAATTATCAACCAGCTGCATGATACGGGTATAATTGTCAGTACCGACTATATGTTGTTTCAAGTATGGGAGGATATCTTTCAGGCTATCGTATAGAGCGACGTCTGGATCGCGAGGTTTGACTTCGCTTTTATACTTTTCGGTTGTCGTTGGAGCGAGTGGTTGTAATGTTATGGCTTCGTCTTGGTTGATAATTGGTGTTTGGGATGCATGGACTTGATTTTGGATCTTAAGTCGAGATTGTTGCAATGAGCTTTCAGTGATGCGAGATTGATGCAAGTGGCAAATAATGCACAGAGAAACATATGCGTACCCTATCTCGGAAAGTCACGTTTCTATCAGCGCTTCCTCTCTGGCTACCATCTTGTCCTACATCTCTCTTCCTCTTCGTCCCCGTCCCAGTTCCACTACCAGATTCCAAATCACTTATATCGTGCATTATAGAGTCATGACTACTCAGATGATGTGATTCGACACGAATAGAATCATCCATGATTTCGTGCTTTATAGTTTGGGTTGATCGTGGAGGTAGTTTTACAGATACTGGCATATGTGGAAGCACTTGTTGTTGCTGGTGTGGGAAAGACGTTCTCCATCGTTCCAAATTGAATGAATTATTACTATACGATGGATCTCCCCAGTCTGAAGATTCAGCTTGATTGACATCTCTCATAATCACATCTGTACGTTCATTCATACTCACATCGCGATCTGTAGAACCAATACAACTTGCTCGTTGTGGCGTATGTGTTGCCGATATAGCATCACCCTCCTTATTGGAAGCAGGCGATGTCTTTTCTGCCTGTGATTCAAATCGCTTCTTTCGTTCTTCTCGTTTACGAGCTTCTTCTTCATCGTCAAATAGATCACCACGTACTTGGGCTATCGACGTCGTTCGATCCCGACGACTAGAAGTCAGTGTGATGGGAGGAGGCATTGGGTTGTCATTTTGAGTTGTTTTTGATCTCTCTCGATCAGCACGTGGACTTGGTAAATCAATTGGGGTAGTTTTGTTTCGTTGTCTACGTATCGGTTGCGGGAATGCATCTATCTTCGGTGAAGCTCGTTGTTGTCGACCAAGTGGAGTTGGGGATGGTAATCGACGTGGTGGACTGACATCACTGACATCAACAGGTCGATACCTCGAACTATATACAGCTTCTACATCACGATACGGTTCACGTCGTGGAGGAGGCGCCTCGTATGGTGTATCATCACGTGAATAAGAGGGAATGTAAATACCGGTTTGAGCAATATTGCGATTGTCACGTCTTTGCAAATAGAAAAGCAGGGATGGTTGATATTGTGGGATAATTGAACTCAAATTATAATTTAACTTACTCGTAACCTCGACTGTATTGGTCACGGCCTTCATACGAATCACTCTTCCAGACATTATCGTTCAGACGGGAGTTCCTCGACAATGACGGCGCTGGAGGAGGAGTAGAGTCTCTTCTGGGCATTTGCCGTGGCGGACTACCACGACGAGAGTTCAAGCTAGGTGACGGCATACTCTATCAAACTTGGCGAGACTTCTTCTGGAGTTTTAAAGTTCAAAATTATGACACTTTCAGCGGGGTAGAAGGCTATAAATGCAATGATTTCACGTACTTGGACTCGATATCACGAAAACAGTGTCTCAAAACCGCTTCAGATCTGCTACAAACAACTCTTTTAAACTCCTTGGCGACAACGCTTCCAACACTTCGTGTTTCTTATGAGTAAACCTTGTGTATTCAGGCACTTTAAATATCGAATGAAGTTGATTCTTAAACTGAGGTTGAAAAAAATAAAAACTGGCGAAACAGGCACAAGACTAGCTAAAGGACTAACAAACTTAGACAGATTCACGCCATGTATCTTCGTCACTACAGGAAGCAGACTAGGCCCTGATGTTAGCCCCAGTTCAATGCTACAATGACATGTAGATCAACTTACGAGGTCTAAGACATGGAACGCAGCATTCCCAAGGTCACCACTCTCACGATCTCCCTGCAAAGCAGCAGCTGCTGCAAGGCGAGCACGTTCTTCAGATTCCAATCTAGCAGTAATGCTCTCCAAAGCCACGAATCTTGCTCTTGAAGTGGGTGGAGTGAGGTCTGAGGTGTTGATCTAGTACAAACAATTCATTGAGTTCAGTACGGTTTTGTGCGCTCGCTTAGAACTTTACATGAAGAGTAGCCTCAGAAGCCTTCATACGCTCTTGATCTGCAGCTTCGGCAGCCTTCTTTGCAGCTAATGGCTCTAATCGGATTACGCGAGCCATTGGTGCAGTTGGAATGGGTGGTGCTCCCTAGTCGACGAAATAATTCAATAAACTCTCTGGTCCTTCCGCTCGAATATCTTATCTTACCTTTACAACAGGCACAACCTTCTGCACCTGCAACTTTTGTTCTTGCTGCTTCTTGACGTGCTGTTCTTTGCGACCACTCAGACAAGGAATAAACGTCTTTTTATAGAAATCAACAGCCGATTTTCCCGTTCCGAAACACACAAAGAGGAGAATGGACAGCAAGGCTGTGACGTAAATGACGGTCATGGACCGAGAAGTGGAGGCAGAATCAGTGTACTCGTCACTCCAGACAATGTTGATATCTTTGACGGCAGAGTATGTTGCCTATCATAAGTATCGAATTATAAGACAAGTCTAGTATCCTTTTTCTTTCGGGATGACAATGATGTTCTCACCTGAATCAAGTATGCAGTAGCCAACAGATGGTACCCAACACACCAAATCATCATTCGAATCAGAATCTGCAGTAAATTGGCTCGTGATTGTAATGCTGCTGAATGATTGGCGCTTTCGGTAGTTGAGTGGGGAGTCCATGAAGCGGTACCACTTGTTGGTGTAGTGGGTGTCTTGCTTGATGTTGGCTGTAAAGAGCGCAGGATTTGGGATTGGCGTTGGCGGTATTTGACCACGGCAATCACTAGCGATGCATTGAAAAGTTTGATTGTCCATCTTTTGGCTGGGTTTGGTAGATAGAAGATTACCACTTACCAGTAAAAACAGATCCAAAGAAGGTATATATGATGAGACAGATACTAAAGATGGCCAGAAATACAGCTCGACTGGTCCCATTATCACAGAATGAATCAGGCATATAACTTGCACTACATGAAACGATGTGTTTATGTGAGAGACATCGTGCTTTTATCCACAACAAAATTACTTACGGGGCCATTCGTAAGCCCAACACAATACATATCAAGACAATAGGAATACCCAATGCCAAGACAAGATACAATCCATTTCTCCGTCTTTGAGCATCAGAATCCTTTTCAGATCTCAACACTGTTTGCGCTGAAGTCCTGACTTTGAGTTCGATGGCGAGACAAAGACATGCTCCATACAGTGAGATTCCAAGAACGTTTAACAAGAAAGCCTATATAAATGATTCGAAGTTTGAGTTGGATGTTGTTCGTTTGTAACCCTTCAACGCAACATGTAATGCTTGCGAGCCGACAAAAATTATCACTGCTTCAGGCCATGCGACTTCTTCGACTTACTTGCGTCTCACAAAAAGCAACTCCAGGAATCGATGCTCGAATGTTTGGCACATATGGCAAAACGAGACCGCCAAGAGCTAGCACCAGATCTGTGCCTGATGAAAAACGATATGAAAGGACAGCCTTTGCTTTCTTATTTCGAATTGCCGTACCTCCAGACACACATGCCAAAAGCAAAAGTGCATAGTTCTTGGTAGGATAATGCACCACAAAGACCAATGCAGAAAGAATAAATCCAAGAAACGACAGAAAGAGCTGTACCGGCGTCATTATGGTTGGTGGTTGGATCTTGTTATAGGATGAAATATTAAAACGGAAAATCTCGTGTCTCGAGTATAGATCTCGTTCTGATCGGGAAACGAAAAGGCGTTTCTGGCGCTTAAGTGAGAAACCAATCAAGGTTTGTCTTATCGATCACTGATTTAAAGGTGACAGGATGCTGCTTTTCAATAGATCTGTCGATTCAAGTATCGTAGATCTCCTTCTACCCGCGAATGTGATTGTGAGGGAGGTTCGTCCTTTTTGGATTTGTTTTCTGTGGCGCACACGCAGTACACGGAAAGGAGAAGTAGACTTTGAAAACGAATTTTTGAAAAAATAAAATTTTTTTTGCTACTTTTCAACTACTGATACAAAAGTTCCAACGCATTCTTTTCTGTTTTTGTTTTTTGTGGAGTAGGTAGCAGTGGAAGCTATTCTGGTTTCCTTCTTTAATCGTGAGGGCTACGGTCTCGACGAGGAGGGCTTCGTGATCGTCGGGGAGACGGTGAGCGGCGACGAGGAGATCGTGAACGGTCTCGACCACCTCGTGGCGAACGAGAGCGGTCTCGGTGTCCTCCTCCAGCAGCGCTTCCTCCTCCATTTCGGCCGGCGGATGCATCCTTGAGAAAGGGATCATATCGGTCAACTTCTGTTCCACGATGAAACTATCAAAGCAGATATTCAAAACATACCTCCTTAACAAAGATACGAACTTCACGGAATTCGTAATCATCCAACTCGCGGATGGCTTTCTCCATGTCCTGCTGATTGGACATTTCGACGAAACTAATTAGAGCAGACCGAAGTTTCAGTACCAATCCAAAGGCCAGAACCCCAAAGCTCGACTCCATTTATCATACCCCTCTCCATCCCTGTCAACATCACTAAGTTTTGACTATTAGTTCGTGAATGAACAAATATGAACAAAGAAATCCGGCCTTACGCTTTTGAAAGAAAAGTGTTAGCGATGATTCAACTGATTGTAACAGGTTTCAAAAGGATGCTTACCGAAACGGACTTCTCCAGCACGACGAAACAAGTCTTTGAGATCCTGAGCAGGAGAGAGAAAGCGCAAGAAGCAGCATTGCAAAGTTAGAAGATCATCTTGGAGCAGTCAGAGAGCAGAGAGAGAGAAGACCCATCCCAGTCCGTGTGTATGGAGACAGAGCCATCAAATAAACAGTACGCAACAATCCGAAACACGTTGCGAGAAACCACCACCCCGAAAAGACAAGAGCGAGAGAGGGAGAACCACACCAAAACAAGAGTCCTTCCAGCAAACAGAAGTCTCGGTCCTCCATTTCAAAACGTGGCGAGGCGGAGTCGTTCCACAAAGAAAGCAACAAATTTCGCAAAGGGGGTAGCATAATAGAAAACATTCGCCTCTCAAGACCGAGAACTAACCTGCCAGCTTGTTCCACGAGGAAGGCCACCGATTTTCAATCTATTCAAAGAAAAAGGCAAGTGAGGGAGGTTGTCTTGATTGATTGGGACACATTCGACCGAAGACAAGATTGACATACCTGAATTCGCCAGTGCCACGCGGTCCGTTCCCACGAGGACGATCACGTGGTGGTCCACGATCGTCTCGGTCACGACGTCCACCACGAGCTGGCTCGACTTGAATGCTAAAACAAGAGGGACTTAGGTTAGAGATGTGTATTTAACTATTTTCACTTGGGTGCTACTGATGCTGAAAATCCATGGCTGACAGCATCAATAGCACCCATCCATCTAGCACTCGTGTGAGTTCGGCCACCGTAACAGAAATTATACTTCCTCCCGCTTGTTATAGACACAAGAAACCGTTCAACTTTTCCCAAAAACTAAAAGCAATTTTGAACAAGCATTGATCACTGTGCATACCTTTCACCCAAGAAGCGAGTCCTGTCCAAGCCTCGTACAGCATCAGCGGCATCACGAGGATCATCGAATTCGACAAATCCAAATCCGTTCAATACTTTGCAATCTCGAACTCGGCCATATTTTCCACAGAGTCCTTCCAAGTCTCGGACTTCAGTATCACGAGGAATTCGACCAAAGTAGACTCGAGTGTATGACATCTTTGTAATCTATTGACAAGAGTGTCTCCTTTGATACTATAAGCTATATATGGTTTCAACGAGTTTGTCAGTTGCAAGTTTGTGGTTGTGTTGAGTAGGTAAAAAACATGTTTCAAGAGAAGGAGAGGTGACGGACGAAGCATGCAATCCATCGTACTTGTGGCTCTTTACAGCCGGGACTGCGTGGTTGCTCCTGGTTGCTTAAAACCCAAATTTTGAACTTACTCGCTGATCGTGACAATGTAAGGAAAAGCTCGAGAAACACGACGACCTAATGTCGACCAAATCGAAACTTTTGAGACCAGTCAATTTTATTCTTGTATGGCGATTGTTTTCTTGGTGCCCAGACAATTACGGCTTCGTGTCTCTATGTCCCAAATGTGCCCCCCAGTAAAAAAGAAATATATTCGAAAAATTTAAGAGAATTAAAGACAAAGAAAAAAGGGAAAAGGAAGAAAAAGAAAAGTATATTTTATCTTTGATCTACATGTTCTCGTTGCTCGCTATTCATTACGTCGTCCAGCCAACTTTTTGGGTTTTAATTGCCTTATCGCGTGATTAGTGGTCCGAAACTACGCTGAGCACCTGCCTGACTTTTTTCTGACAACTAGAATGAGATTTTGAGCAACTGCAACTCTCTTTCCCACAGGTTTGTCTAGTGTCTCCTCATTCACGTCAACTGCGTGTTTCACTTAGCGTCACTTTACTAAAAAGGGGCTGGGACTGACCCGCCCAAAAGAGATGCCTTGGCCATACCGGACACTGGCCGTGAGGCGGTTTCTTAGGTGTTGTTTACGGCTATGAGAATGCAAGCAAATGAAGATGAACATGTAGCTCGACGTCGTTTCTGGGCAGACGTCGAGTAAGTGGTTTCCTAGTCGGTTCATTTGTAATGCATGAGGTAATTTCTCTTATTTATCTTTAGTGTGTGTCATGTGCATGTTACGAATTTGGCCAAAATCAACAGTTGGACAGTCTATCACCACGTCTACGGCGCAGGTCCTGTCTACCGGCCTCGTAACGTCTCCGATGAATTGGAAGACGCTGACTCCCATACATTCGAGGTCGTGTGTCAAACAGCTCATCTTCTCTCCCATATGAATAAGAGTATGAAAATTTTTAAGAATGCAGGTTTCTCTCGCAGACAAGTACTTCTGGCTATTTATCTACTATGGTTTCCTAACGGAGACTTCGCTGATGATGATGACGATGCTGAGTTGCCATGAAGTTCCTGGAATCGCTATAATCCCCCTATGTTTTTGCAAAACAATTCAACTATGCATCTATATCAGTAATTGATTGGTGATTACATGGCGGGAATAACCCGTAGAGCGGTCAAGTCAGTAGCTTAGGTGTGTTTGACTTAGTCACACTCTTAATGTGTGTGAATTAGTCTCGGATATATGTTGTAACGTGTATATCGCTTATGTAACGGTGACACCCAAACCTATTCGACCATCTGTTCACAAAAATTGGTCGATAGGTAAGTGAGCTACTTTATACTAAATACTACTGGTTGACACCACTTGGTCGATAGATTAACAGGTTATGAGCCCACAATCAATCTAATCTAGTCGACAAGGGTGACAGGGAAAGGCTTCAGTTAACAAATAAATTGTGAAAGGAATCCTATCCATCCATCATGTCAGAGAGTGGTGGGAAGCATCAACGACTTGGAGATGGTGATATAGATGTAGATAGATACCGTAATTGGGCTATTACTACAAGTTTGAAGCTTCGACTTGAAAAAGTATGGAAGGTTGTCACTGGTGAAGAAATTCTGCCAGTGCGATTGCCAGCATCTCAAACTCAAGGAGAGTTCGATGAATTACTAGTTGAATATGAAGCTAAGAAAGTCAAAGCTTTATTGTTGATATTTGAAAGAATCAATCAGCAATCGCAGGTATTTACCAATGTTAGACATTACGATGATCCACATGATGTGTGGATTGCACTCGAGACACAATACATTGTGCAGAACAAAGGTAGATTTTATAGTCTTTGGTCAAAGCTAGCCAATAGTAAACAGGGAGAATCCAATGTTAGTCAGTTTGCTGCTAGCTTGAAGTCTATAGTTAGTGACTTAACTAAAGTTTTTGAAACAATGGCCAAAGAGGAGACTCTCACTTTCAACCCATGGATGTTAAACAAGTTACTTGCAGTAACCTTCTTGTTTGGATTGAATGATACGTTTACTACCTATAAATCAGCTACTGCCAGTAGTAACGATAGAGATTGGGATTTTGATCAGCTATTGAGTGGTGCTCTGGAATTTGAGTCTATCAATAACGAAAATGTAAAGCAGGATGACAAAGATCAACAGGCATTAGCAGCAACCCACCCTAGTCATTAGATTAGCTTATATTGTGTCACTGATATTGCGTGCATACTGCTGACAAAGGTGGCAGTGTGGGCTTGGCTGTTGTGCAAACTGCTGACGAAGATGGC